TCCACACGGGAGCTGGGGAGGCTCTGCTGTTAGCCAGTGAGGATGGCGCAAAGCCTGAATTATTAAACTCCAAAACCAATAACAAGTGTTGGGTCAGAGAGACAGTACAGCGGGTGAGGTGTTGCCCTGCCCGGGGCCAGCCGGGTTTGATCCCCGGCACTGCACATGATCGCCCAAGCACAGCAGGAGATCCCTGAGCAGAATCCTGAGCATATAGCCAGGTGTGGCTACCAAACGAAAAACCAAAATAATGATCATCAGTAATAGGTACTAACCAAAACCAGAAAAGTTGTCTTTTCATTCTCTCTCTAAAAGCTCCATTGCGAGGTCGGAGAGATAGCACAAGGGTTAAGGTGATGCAACCCACCTGGATGTGACCTCGGACTGCACAAATGGTGCCCTGTCCCACTCCCAGAGGTCAACCCTGCTAGCAGTTCTGGAAGGATCCTGGTTTATTTGAGAGGTGCTTCCAGAGACAGAGGCAAGTGGACTAGGGAAGGGAATGCAGCTGGTAAAGGGGATATCTTGGGTAACTGGACTCGTACCTGTAGGGAGCACGTCTTGAAAGTAAATTCATGTGCAAGGCAGAACACACACTTTTTTTTCCCACTCCCATGCCAAAGGCCAGGAAGTGGTCATACTGCCCCGCTGCCTCCCATCAGGCTTTGGGCTCCCTGGACGCATGCGCACTGAGAGGGCTCGGGAGCCCTGGGTGGGAATTCAGTCCCAGTGTAGTCTAGCAGTGCTCCAAGACCCTAGGGTCCTACCAGGGGACCCCAGAACAACTGCTGCGGAGTGGAGAGCAGCAAGTTGCAGAACAGTGAGGGTAGTAGCAAACACAGGAGGAGAAATGAAAGCATCAAGAGAGGCTCCTTTGCTTAGGGGGCCGCACTTGGGTGTGTTTCAGGGCTTACACCCGGCTCTGTGCTAAGGGATCAGTCCTGATACCGGGCGGTGTTTGGGACACCATATGGGGTGCTGCTGGGGATCGTACCCAGGTCAGCTCCATGCAAAGGTCAGCGTCTTATCCTCTGTAATATCACATCGCCACCCCCCCCCCACACACACACACAATTTCTTTTGGGACACAGGAAACAGTAACAGTCATCATGGGAGAGTGGGTGGAACTTGTTGGCTGGGATAAAGAGGTAGGAAGAGGATTTGCACAGTCTCCCTTCTGTGCCTGGTGACCATCGATTCACGGAACTGTCACTTCTTTTGGGGCGGGGGCTGGTGTTTTGTTTTGTTTTGTTTTCCCTGTTTTTCATTTAAACCTTGATTGAAAACCTAGGAACATTAAATGGGGCCCCCTTTTTGCGCCCGGTGCGGTGCGATTGCTTTGCTGAACGATGATAGCCAAGCCTTGCACGAAATTACAGCCAAATCGCGGGTGGAGCGGGCACGTGGGCGCCTCGGAAGAGCAGATGATTCAAACGGGGGATGGGACGAGCAGCTGCGCTCGCTGGAGACCCACGCTTGTCCCGGGTCCCTATCTTGGTGACGATGGTAGCCTGAATGTGTGTACACGAGTGGGGATGGTGAAGGAGGCTGCAAGAAGTCAGCCCCCACCCCCCCTCAGTCTCCCTTTTCCGTCCCCAAGCAACCTTCCCAGCTGGAATCATCTTGCTTTTGTTTTGGTCACACTTGGTTATACTCAGGAACTGATGCTAGTTTTCTGCTCTCGCGCGATCCCTGGCGGTGTCTCGGGGAATATATACGGTGCTGAGGAGGGGCGGAGGGATGGAGCCAGGCGTGCCTTCTTGCAGGCCAGTGCCTTAACCCCTCCACTGTATCTCTCCCGTCTCCACCTTGCTATGCTGCATGCTCAGTGCTGGCTGTTTCATCTTTGAGGTTCAAGCGGTGACGGTTGAGCACAGTGTCATGACTCTGAGTAAGAATTGTAAAACGTCCCAGGAGCCCGAAGACAGTTCCACGGAATGGAAGCTGGTCATAGAGGAGGTGAGGACTGCAGACGGTGTTTATTTATTGAACTGTGGGGCGAACAGTTGCCTCGCTCCAGTCAGGCAAGCTCTCGAGAAGCGAGCCCATGATCCACCTCTACAACTACAACTGCTTTGAGGTTTTTGGTCATTTGGGGACGCGGTGGTGCTGGGGAGGGAGTGGATCCCGCGGCTGGTAGTTGGGGTGAGTCTCCAGCCCTTCCTTGCAGCTTCGTGGGGTCAGATCCACGCAGCATCACAGGGTTATTCCTGGCACTGTGCTCAAGTGATTCCTGGGCCCGAGCGATAGTCCAGCAGGGATGGTCCTCGCTTTGCATGCAGCTGACCCAGGTTCGATCCCTGGCACCCCACAGGGTTCCCCAACCCAAGCACCCCCAGGAGTAATTCCTGAGTGCAGAGCCAGGAGTGAGCCCTGAGCATTGCCAGGTGTAACACAAAAACACCAAACACTAAAATCATAAAATAAAAACTAGGGTTGGCTGTGTCGTGCGAACGCCTTCATCCTGTGCTATTTTTCTGACCCTTACTTACTCTTTTTTTTTTTTAAAGTGGAGCAGGAAAGAAATGAGACATGAGTGTGAGCCTCTGAAAAGTAAGAAAAAGAAAAAGAAGAAAAAGAGAAAGAGTCGAACCTCAAGCAAAAAGCGCCACCACCAGCGCCGGACCCGCAGCCATGGCAACGTCCAGCCCGGGAAAAGCCAAAGACGATTTACTAAAAGCAAATGGTAAGAGGGAGTTGGAGCAATAGCACAGTGGGGAGGGTGCTCGCTCTGCATATGGCCGACCAAGCCGGGTTCGATCCCTTATGGTCCCCTGAGCACTGCCAGAAATAACCCCTGAGCATCACTCAAAAATGAAAAGCCAGGACTGGAGCAATAGCACAGCGGGTAGGGCATTTGCCTTGCACGCGGCCGATCCGGGTTCGATTCCCAGCATCCCATATGGTCCCCTGAGCACCGCCAGAAGTAATTCCCGAGTGCAGAACCAGGAGTAACCCCTGTGCAACGCCGGGTGTGACCCAAAAAAAGCAAAAATAAAAAACCAAAACCAAAAAAAGGGGGCTGGGGAGATAGCACAGCGGGTAGGGCATTTGCCTTGCACGCGGCCGATCCGGGTTCGATTCGCAGCATCCCATAGGGTCCCCTGAGCACCGCCAGGAGTAATTCCTGAGTGCAGAGCCAGGAGTAACCCCTGTGCATCGCTGGGTGTGACCCAAAAAGCAAAAAAAAAAAAAATCGAAAAGCCAACGGTGAGAGGGGAGGCAGGGGGTTCTATGCCACAGGAACAGGGGAAGGACAAACGGCCTCACTTCTATTGACAGATCTCCATCTCCCCGTGACGCTGAAGATGGGCCTCCGCTCGGCAGAGAACATCAGGAGTTAATCTCCTCCCCGCCAAACACCGTTCAATAAAAACCTGCAATCATTTTCCAGAAGAAACAAGCACAGGTGCTGTCTTCTCCCAGGCTGGATGCGCCTGGAGACAGCCACCGTCTGGGTCGCCCCGAAAAGTTCCACCGTGCAAAGACTGGGGGCAAACAGAACGCTCAGACGGGGCGCGGCCCCTGCCTGGGGCTAATGCCAGGGAGGGGTTTGGTCTGTGCCACCACCGTTTACTTTTTTTTTTTTTCTGCCAGAAATTTAAGTTCAACGGGCTTGATACAACCCTGCTGCATCTTTATTTGGGGGTGGCGGGGCGCACACCATCGCGCTCAGGGAGAACCGTGCAGTATAACAGGGAACACCCTGCTCCCCCCTCCCAATTCCTCTCCTTAATTCCGGCTTTTTAAAATTGAAGGTGTTTTAAATTCATGGCGGCAGATAAATGACTCCCTCCCCTCCACTAAAATTTTAATTAATAGGGGGTGGGGAACCAGAGCATTGGAACTCGCTGCTGCTAGCCTCACCTCCCACCTTGGGGGCAGCCTGGCTTGGAGGGATAAGTTCTCTGTAGAGGTCCATGCGCTCCAGAGCTTGCAACCAGGGAAGGGCGCGCTGGACTGTCCACCTCAGACCGGGAGGAGGAAGAGGAGTCGCTAAAATTACAGGCAGTGGCCGGAAGCCAGCGTGGGTCATGCCCAGCGATGCCTTCCCCGCCCCGTGACGAGGTTCAGACTGGGGAGGGGGGTGGCTATCAGGGGCTCCTAAGCTGGGGAAAGGGTGTCCGGGATAGAGGCTCCGAACGCCCCAGGTAGGCGCCCCCTGGCATTTGGGGGAAACCCCAACTTCACGCCCCCACCTCCATCAGCAGGGATCCGTTGCAGCCCGTGCCCGCTCGGAAGCTGAGCTGGGCAAGGCATGGGGGTGGGGGGCAGTGGCTTCCCCCCAGGTAAGGCTCAGCCTGGACTAGGACCAGAGGATGAGACTTTCTGTGACATCTGGTGGGCAGGGCTTCCGGGTCCCCCCAGGGGGCGGGGCCTGGTGCCCACGTGGGCGCATGTCCAGTGCGCAGACTTGCTCGCTTTCAGTGGCTGCTGGGCTGGCCAAGGTCTTGCTTCGGGAACCCCGACGCCCAGACCTCCTTGTGCTGCGTGTTTGGGGGGCGGGTGCAGGGGGATAGGAAGTCCAAGGCTTGGGTGATGCTCTGCCCCGCGGCTATGGCCCCCGGGAGTTGCAGAATGCAATTCCTGCGCAGTCAGGCCAGTTGGCGGGGGAAGCTCACAAGGCACTTTGGGGGGCTGGAGAGGGTCCCTGCGGTGGGAGGGTGGGAGGTGCCGACTCCCAGCGCCACTTTGCTGAAGGAACGTTTTAATACTGTGTTCACAGGATCTGCAGGCCGGGGTCCCAGCCAGGGGTTTTTGAGGTCTGAGGAGGTTCAGGGGCCCATCGTGTGTGTGTGGGGGGGGGGCAGCCCGCAGCCCTCGGCACCCCGTGTTGCTTGAGAGGGAAGACACACCACCTACTGCCAGCCCGTGCATGCTGAGACCAGCCATGCGCCCCCCATGAACCCTGCCAAGCAAGCGATACCCGCCACCCCATGCCCCGCTGCCCGTAGTACAGGAACCGAACCTGGTGGGGGGGGGGCAGCTGAGCTCTGACAGAAGGCGCGCAGGGGTGGGGTGAGGGGTGACCCTGAGCTTAGAAACAGCCCTTGGAGCTCCAGCACGGGCCGCAGACCCTGTGGAGGCTGGGGGGGGGGCGGGGCACCAGGGTGGGGACACTCCTCTAACAGCTGCAGCCTCCAGTCTGGGGGGCCGGCGTGTCCCCCAGGGCGGGCCCTTTCCCGTTGCTGCCCAGGATGGCACTGGGCTCCAGGGACTCGTTCATCTTCTCGCAGATGATGTCCACCAGGCGCTCGAAGACTTGCTTCACATTGATGTTCTCCTTGGCACTGGCCTCGAAGAATTCAAAGCCTGCAGGGATGCAAGTGGGGTCCCTGTGAGGCTGGGGACGCCTTTCCGGGAAATCAGGGCGCAGGGCCTCAGTCCATACTGTGGGCACAGCCAAGCACGTGGGTTTTTTGTTTTTTTTTTGGCTTTTCAGGTCACACCCAGCGATGCACAGGGGTTATGCCTGACTCTGCACTCAGGAATCACTCCTGGTGGTGTTCGGGGAACCATATGGGATGCTGGGAATTGAACCCGGGTCGGCTGTGTGCAAGGCAAATGCCCTCCCCACTTTACTATCGCTCCAACCCCAAGCACGTGTTTTGTTTTATTTGGGGGCCGTAACTGGTGTCGCTCAGGGCTCATTCCTGGCCAGGCTGGGGGTGTCCGCGGTGCGGGAAACTGAGGCCAGGCTGAGCGCAATGCGACTTCTGACATGCTGCACTATCTCTCCTGCCTCAGGACGCAGCTGATGATAATCCACACTGGCCACTGGGGTCGGACAAGGCTGGACCATGTGTAGAATCTCTTCCAGAAGGTGACTCAGTGGCCAAGCACCTGGAATGCCTGGAACTTGGGTTTGACCTCTGTCACCACACACACACACACACACACACACACACACACACACACACACACCCAGCTCTCAGGCAGGGCCCGATCACTGGGCTCGATCGCTGCCACCACCACCATGTGGTCTTCCCGGCATCTGCCGGAGCGGCTCTCCCTCCCCCAGCACAAAACTGGGAGTCGCCCCAAGCACTGATGGGTGGGGACCCCAGAACCAAAAATAAATAAAATAAAGCAATAAAAATAAATTCTTGGTGATCTATGACTCGGGCTGAGACACCCGCCCCGCCACCTGGCTGCAAGGAAGCCAAGTCACTATTTCCCAGGGGCGGGGGGTGGGAACAGCTGTCGCCAGGCACAGGGGCCAGAAGCTGCTCCTCTGGAATATTCTTAGCAGTAATAGTGGCCATTGTACTGGGGCCAGAGCAACAGTACAGAGGGGAGGGCATCTGCCTTGCACACTGCAGTCCCAGGTTTGATCCCGAGCATCCCACAGGGTTCCGCAAACCCTGCCAGGAGTGATCCCTGAGCATAGACAGAGCTAGGAGTCAGCCCTGAGCGACGCTGGGTATGGCTCAAAACCCAAAACCAGAGAAAAATAGTGAACACTGGTGATCTCTTTCTTATAAGGGAAAAAGAGGATCCCAGGGAGACAGCGCAGCTGTTAAGATGGCGTCTTTGGGCCAGAACATAGACTGGCAGGGAGGGCCTTGCACGCGGCTGACCCAGGTCCAATCCCCGGCATCCCATAAAGTCCCCCGAAAACCGCCAGGAGTAATTCCTGAATGCAGAGCCAGAAGTAACCCCTGAGCATTGCCAGGTGTGACTCTGAAAGTGTGTGGGGGGAAGATGTTTGCCATGCACCTGTCCAGTCCCTGGCAACAAACAGTGTCCCTCTAGCACCTCCAGTGGTCACTCTTGACCACAATGCCATGAGTAGCCCTGGAGCAGAGTTGCGTGTAGGCCCCGAACAAAAACCAAATGCCCGGGTAGGAGTTATAGTACTGGGGTAAGGCATTTGCCTTGCACACGGCTGATTTGGGTTCTATCCCCAGCATCCCATATGGTCCCCCGAGTACCGCCAGGAGTAATTCCCGAACACAGAGCCAGGAGTAACCCCTGAGCATCGCTGGGTGTGACCCAAAAAGACAAAACCCAAACGCTCACTGGAGAGGTAGTTGAGCCTGCTGGCGCTTGCCTCAAACATGTCCGACCCAGGCTCTGTCCCTGACACCCAGGAGTGATTTCTGAGTGCAGAGTCGGGAGTAGCCTCTGAGCATCGCTGGGTCACGATGCTTTTCGGCACAAACCAAATGGAACTCAAACACTCAAACCAGTATCAGCTTCCTCCCCGTCCCTGCTGCCACAAAGCCTTGCCACGCCCAGCCGCCCTGGTGCCTGGCGCAAAGAACGAACGAACCAGAAGCAACCCCTGAGCATTGCCAGGTGTGACTCTAAAAGTGTGTGGGGGGAAGATGTTTGAACGAACGAATGAATGAATGCAGGGGAACGGCTACCGTCTCTTTTTCCACAGAGCCCAGAGAGCATCGATCAATGCTACTCCATCGTCCTGCAGGACTAATTGAGCCTCAGCCCATTGGAGCTGGGAGGCTCAGGGTGGACGCAGGGCCGGAGCACCTGGCTGGCGGACGTGAGGCCCCAGGGTCGATCCCGGCACTGCCTGGCGTGCAGAGTGAGTGCAGAGCCGGACCGCTCCATCCGGCAGGCAATGAGGAGAGAGCTCAGCGGGTGGATGTGCAGGGCCCTGTCCTGTCCCTGCCTCTCCCCATCGTGGCCACTCGTTGGCTCTAGTGCCTGCCAACCCAGCGGAAGCTATTACCACCCTTCAGCCCAGGAGGAAGTTTGGGCGCTGGGAGCTGAGATCACCCCGGGGTTAATGTTCAACTGGAGCCAATCTGAGCTCTTTCTTGGAAAACAAACAAGGTCTCCACCTCAGCTGCCAAGCTGGAGAAAGGGAAGCACAGAGAGGGAAGGCGGCGTCCCCGAAGCCACACAGCACGGGGCTGCCAGCTGGGAGTCTTAAACTTCAGGTGCTCTCTTTCTCTCTCTCTCTCTCTCTAGTGCTCTCGCCACTTCCCTTGAAGGAAGTCCTGGAGTACCAGAAGATATGCATTCAACTTATTTTTAAATTTTATCTTTTTTTGCTTTTTGGGTCACACCCAGTGATGCAGGGGTTACTCCGGCTCTGCACTCAGGAATTACTCCTGGTGGTGCTTGGGGGACCATATGGGATGCCGGGTCAGCCAAGTGCAAGGAAAACGCTCTACCTGCTGTGCTATCCCTCCAGCCCCTCAGCCTATGTTTTTGTTTTAGTTCAAGTTGCTTCTGCAATGCTGCGGGAGCCTCTGGTGCTGGAGATCAAACCTGGGCCTCTCATACGCGTGCGCTCTGGCGCTTTGAGGTCGCCCCAGCCTAGCTGATAGGAGCACCCCCAGCAGAGTGTGGGGGCCCACAGCCGCAGCTGGCCATACTCAGGGAGCACACAGTGCCAGAGGCAGGACTCAGGGCCCTGCTGGCTCTGCCCTGCACTCTCTCCCGGGCTCCTCAGCGGCGTGAACTGGGAAAGGAAATTCCCTTCATCGAGATGCCACAGCCGCTTCCTCCGACCCCAGCCTATCAGCGCCAGGGCTTTTGAGGTCACTGCCACTGCCAAATTCTGGAGTATCCATGGGACCTGAGCCCTCGGAATTGAGGAGGGAGCATGCCATGCATGTGGCCACCCGGTTCAATCCTCAGCACCCCATAAGGTTCCCTGAGCTCTATCAGGAGTGATCCCTGAGGGCAGAGCCAGGAGTAACCCCTGAGTATGGCCCAAAAACCCAGAATTCAATTTTTGTTTGTTTGTTTAGGGGCCAAACCACTGGGTATGGCCCTAAGACAAACAAAACAGAACAAAAAACCCCCATATCCGGCATTTTGGGGTCTCAGGCTGGAAGGAAGGTGTTCATGCTTTTGCCTTGCATGTGGCCAACCTTGGTTCTATCCCTGGCACTGCTGTGTTCCCTCGAGCACTGCCAGGAGTGAGCCCTGAGCACAGAGCCAAAAGCAAGCTCTGGGCACAGCTGGGTGTGACCCCAAACCAAAAAAAAATTTTTTTTCAATTCTGTCCTTCCTTCCCTCCTTCCTTCCTTTCTCCCTCCTTCCCTTTCTTCCTTTTTTTTTCTTTTTCTTTTTGGGTCCCACCCAGCGATGCTCAGGGGTTATTCCTGGCTTTGTACTCAGGAATTACTCCTGGTGGTGCTTGGGGGACCATATGGGATGCTGGGGATCGAACCCACGTGCTAGGCATACGCCCTACCCACTGTGCTATCGCTCCGGCCCCACCTTCCTTCCTTCCTCCCTTGTTCCCTCCCTTCTTCCTGTAGTGCCAGGGATCGAACCTAGGATGTGGCATGCTCCTGACCACATGCCAAATCTAGGTCTCCCTGCTTTCTTGGAAATAAGTTTTTACCTTATTTATAGGTGGCCATGCTCATTCATTGGTGAACAATAGGGGACAGAGACAGAGGCTGAAAACATTTCGCTCTCTGTCCCCTTTCAGCATGTATGTGGGGGACCTTTCCTGGGACCACAGGAAGCAGCCCAGGACCCTGCTCTGCTGCTGCAAACTTGCCATAAATTCCACTGAACTGACCAGAGTAGAGCACCCAGCATGACTGTGTTCCTTTTACTTGGCTGTACAGTATTCCTCCCTGTGACTTCACGACTCTTTGAGTCTGAGCCAGAAGGCTGTGCAATAGTAGCTGCATGGCTGGAGCCATCTCCCTGCTGGGTGACTATCACAGAATCACCGCCCAAACCTGGGCAGTGCAACCACTATCCACCAAAGCTGGATGCCACACTGCCAGACTCACTGCTGTATATGCAAACGACCAAAAGGTCCATTGGTAACGCAGGGATGTAGTATTTGGTTTTACTGCTTTGTTCTGGGGTCACAGCTGACAGTGCTCAGGGTTGACTTCAGGCTGTAGTCAAGGATCTCTCCTGAGTGGAGTGGGTTCAGGTTGCCAGGGACTGAACCTGGGTCATGTGCATGCAAGGCGAGTATCTTACCCACTATCCTGTGTTTCTGGCCCCCTTTTAAAGAACTGGACTGCTTAAAGGTCCCCCCGACTATGAAGGGGGCTGCCAAGGGCACTGCACACAAACCTCTTTCCACATGGGCTGGGGGCTACTTACTTTGGAGAAGCCACACCCAGTAGTGTTTAGGGCTTACTCCTGGCTGTATACTCAGGAATTACTCCTGGTGGTACTTGGGGGACCTTCTGGGGTGCAAAGGATGGAACTAGGGTTGGTCATGTCAAGGCAAGCACCCTCTCCACTACGTTATCTCTGCAGCCTCTAGGTGCTGCTTTACTTTGTTGCTCCGGGAGCTACTCCCAGTTCTGCTCAGGTAGTGTTTGGGGGACCCTGTGCAGGGGCTGGAACTGGGTCTCCTGCATGCAGAGCCCACTGAGCTCCCTCCGGCCCGGTCAGAGGCATGTTTTTTTTTTGGGGGGGTCACACCCAGCGATGCTCAGAGGTTACTCTTGGCTCTGCACTCAGGAATTACTCCTGGCAGTCCTCAGGGGGACCATACGGGATGCCGGGAATCGAACCTGGGTTCGGCGGCATGCAAGGCAAACGCCCTACCCAGTGTGCTATTGCTCCAGCCCCCTGAGTCAGAGACATTTTCAAGGGAACAATCTAGAAGGGTTTGTTTTTGGCTCCCAACAGGATAGGGTAGGTGAAATCCCCAAAACGCAACAGGAAGGCGGGCGGCCTCTGTTCCTGCAGACCTTCCAGACCTGGGTTGGGGGCGGGGTGCTCACCCAGGTCGTCCGCGAGCCGCTGGCCGTCCTCGGCAGGCACTGCGCGCTCGTCCTCCAGGTCACACTTGTTCCCTACCAGGAGCACTTGCGCGTTGTCCCAGGAGTACGTCTTGATCTGGGTGGCCCTGGTGAATTGGGGAGGGCCACGAGGTGAGGGGCCTGGGGCAGGTGTGGAAAAGGGGCAGAGAGCAGGGGTCAAGGCCAGCCGCACTTACCAGTCCTGCACAGCCATGAAGGAGTCCTGGTTGGCCACATCGTACATGAGGAGGAAGCCCATGGCACCGCGGTAGTAGGCCGTGGTGATGGTCCGGTAGCGCTCCTGGCCCGCGGTGTCCTGCGCAGAGCAGGGTCAGGCCCCAAGATCAGGCCCTGCCCTCCCTGCAGGCCGAGGTGATCACAGCCCCTGTCCAGTGGGGGAGGCACACGGGCTGTGCACCTTCCATTTTAAGGGAGGAGGCACCACCCTGCCCGCACAGCCTCCAGTCTGATGGAAGAGGCACGGGCCTGCCTGCACAGCCTCCAGTCTGATGGGGGAAGACACGACCTCCAGTGTGATGGGGGAAGACACGGCTTGCCCACACCAACTCCAAGTCTGATGGAGGAGACATGGTCCTGCCCACATAGCCTTTAATGTGATGGAGGAAAGCATGGGCCTACCTGCACAGCCTCCAGTCTGATGGAGAGAGATGACCCTGCCCACACAGACTCCAGTCTGATGGAGGAGACATGGGCCTACTCTCACAGCCTCTTATCTGGTGGGGAGACATGGGCCCGCCCATACAATCTCTAGTCTGATAGAGGAGACATGGATCTGCCAGCACATCCTCCAGTCTGATGGAGGAAGACAGCTCTGCCGGCTCAGCTCCAGTCAGATGGAGGAGGCATGGCCCTGTCCGCACAGCCTCCAGTCTGATGGAAGAGGCATGGCCCTGCCCGCACAGTCTCCAATCAGATGGGGGAAGACATAGTCCTGCCTGCACAGCCTCCAGTCTGATGGAGGAGACATGAGCTGCTCTCACAACCTCTAGTCTGATGGAGAAGCCAGGGCCCCACAGCTCAGTCTGATGGAGGAGACATAAATCTGCCAGCACAGCCTCAAGACTGTGGGTCTGAAGCCCCAGGTCTGCCCACACAGCTTGGCTCTGAAGGGGCGTGCTGGGCTTCCATTTGGTGGGCTTCTGCAGGGACTCATACAGACTCAGGAACTCTTTAGAACGCCCTGGTGGATGGTTCTCCCTCCATGGGGGCTGCTCACAGCAGCTGGGCCCAGAGCCCAGGTGTGGCCCCAAAGCAGACTCAGGTGGGTCCCAAAAGTCTCCTGATCCCACCTGTGGGTTCACACCATATTCCGCACGGTGCCTGGGCCAACCCCCCACCCCCGTCTGATGACTGAGGGGTGTGGAGAATCCTCCTGCCGGTCCCCCCTTCCCTGCCCGCTCCCCCGGGGCCGGCCCCACGCACCCAGATCTGCAGCTTGATCCTCTTCTCATTGCGGTAGATGGTCTTGACCTTGAAGTCGATGCCCACGGTGCTGACAAAGGCGGGCGTGAAGGAGTCGTCGGCGTAGCGGAACAGGAAGGACGTCTTGCCCACCGAGCTGTTGCCGATGATGAGGATCTTGAACATGTAGTCGAAGTTCTGGTCTGCAGCATCGCGGGGCGCAGCAGAGGGTTCTCCGGCCGACGCCATCGACAGGGTTGGGTGGGCCGCTTCTGGGGGCAGTGGGAGATCTGAAATCTTCCGCCTCTGGGGAGGCTCAAGAGAGCTTGCACCCCAACCCCCAGAGCCTGGGTTCAAATTCCAGCTCGGACACCAGGGGGCGCTGGCAGGGCCCTGCCTTCCCTCCACCTCTGGGGTGCTCTTCTGGAAAATGGGACTGTTGTCAGACCTAGGGGTCTGGGTTTGGGGGGCACCAGCACAGGCCGCTGAAGCACAGGCTCTGTGCCAGGCACAGTGTGGGGACTTGTCCTGGGGGAGCAGCTGGAGTACTCAGGTGGGGTCTGCCGGCTGGCTGGCGGGCTGATGATGCTAGCGGGTCTGGGTCGAGTCTTCCCTGCCTGCTTCTCTTTCCGGATCCCACACCATGGGGTATGTGTGTGTGTGGTGGTGGTGGGGGGTATGACAGGGTCACTTTCATGAGCTACAGACATGACTTAAAGGCCACTTCTGGGTCCCAAAGGGCTCGGCCACCTTCTGTTTGTCCAAGGGGCTGGGCCATCTCCCTCCGGGCAGGGCTGACTCAGCGCAGGCCCAGCCCGGGCCCACGATGGCGGGGATGGAGGGAGTGACCACGATCCATTCCCAGAGCCACGTATCAATCAAGACGGCTGCGGGCAGCACCATGCCATCCCTCGGCCACCATCTGTCTGTCCATCCGGTCTGGGCAACAGAGGCAGGTCCTGGGGGAACCCTGCGGCCCGACCTTAGCCTCAGTTTCCCCAGTTCTGCAAGAGCGGGGCCCCCTATTCCTGAGACAGCACAGGGCATGGTGGCAGAGCAACCTCCGGGAACGCTATTTCTCAACTGCCTGTGGGACTTTTATTCATCTTAAGAGGGCCCCCCCCCCTTTTCCTGCCCTGCCAGCTCTGGGGCCCCACCCCGGGTTCCGGGAGAACAAGTTTGAAGAGGGGAAGAGTAGAGGCAGGAAACCTTTCTCCAGAGCGGCCAGGCTGCGCACCCCACAAACACCTGTCAGCGGCTCCCCACTCTCTGGACCAGCTGCACCCGCACCGCCTGGCCCCCCTCCGCCAGCCCGGGGGAGGGGGGGCGCTTCCCTGGAGAGCTCAGTTGTGCTCCCCTCCCCTGGCTTTGGGGCGCCCCAGCTGGTGCTGGGGAGGACGGAGCTGCGTTTCAGCGCCATATGGTCCCCCCCGCGCGTGCCCAGCTGGACTCCCCGCCCCGCCCGCGCCCCTTGAGCGCTGCCCAAGAAGCCCAGCTGGGTGCGGGGGAGGGGAGAGGCGTCCCTCGCCGCTCGCCTTTGTCCCCCAGGCCCTGGGTCCTCCCCTCCGCACCCCGCACCCGCTCCCACACCGCCCCCCTCCCAGCCCAGACCTGCGGGAGGAGAAGTTGCGGAGCCGGGTACGCGCCTTCCGACGGGGTCACCTGACGTGGTGGTGGGGGGCGCAGCCCTCGGGTGCTGAGACTCCGAACTTGCTGCGGCGTGATCCTGGCTCCGGCCGCGACCCCGACCCCGACCCCGCTGCCGCCGCGCCCGCAGCCACCCGGATCCCGCGGCGGCTCCGCCCAGGACGGGGCGGGCACAGCCCCAGGGGCGTGGCCACGAGGGGCGTGGTCGCGCAGGGGGCGGGGCCGGCAGCGGCTCCCGGGCCAGGAGCTGGCGTTGGTCCATCACCATCACCGGACAGAAACTTTACCTTTTCCGTTTTTTGGGGGCAGATGGGGGGGGGCGGTCGTCACACACGGCGATGCTCAGGGGCTACTCCTGGCTCTTCATATGCCTTAGGATGAACCCCCCGATTTAGGGAGATGCACCTGTGATGCTCAAGGGCTTGGGGGTACTCAGGAACGCAAACCAGTGCTTTACACAGTAAGCTCGTACCCGCCGCAGCCTCACCTCTCGCTCCTGATCCTGGCTTTTAGGGATCAGAAAACTAAGGTTCGGAGCAGGTAGTGTTTGGCGAGAGACCACATAACATGGAGTCTGGCGGCCTGACCCCCGGCGGGCCCTGCAGGAGTGAATTTCTTTTAGTTTGGGGCCACACGCGGCAATGCTCAGGGCTTACTCCTAGCTCTGCACTCGGGAACTACTTGTGGCAGTTTGGGAGATCATATGGGATGCTGAGGATCAAACCTGGGTCGACCACGTGCAAGGCAAATGCTCTCCCCACTGTGCTCTTTCTTCAACCCTCTGTAGGAGTGATTCTGGAAGGGTGGGCTTGGGCTTGAGAAGGTGGTTCAAAAGACCTGGGAATCTTGGGTTGGTGGATCCCCAGGGTCTCGGAACACCCCTGGGAGTGATCCCAAGCACCCAAGCTAGAAGTGGCAGCCAAAGCACTGGGCGTACAAATTCCCCCTCCAAAATGTTCACATTTGGAACTGGGAAGACTCGAGGCCACACCTTGCAGGCAGAAAACCTGGATTTGATCCCCAGCACCAAAATAAAAAGTTATTGTTGAGGGGCTGGAGCGATAGCACAGTGGGTAGGGCGTTTGCCTTGCACGCGGCCGACCTGGGTTCGATTTCCAGCATCCCATATGGTCCCCCCCGAGCACCGCCAGAAGTAATTCCTGAGTGCAAGCCAGTAGTAACCCTTGTGCATCGCATTGCTAGGTGTGACCCAAAAAGAAAAAAAGTTATTGTTGAAATCAAGCTAACCCACCCCCACCTTGCTGACCCCTACTCCGTGGTAACTGTAGCAGCTGTTCCCAGGGCCACCAGGTGGAAGAAGGGAGGTGACATGCACCAGTCAGCCACAGCAGCCCATGCCCAGGAACAAGTTATCCCAAGTTTCCTTGGCACTGACACCCCAATTTGGCCTCTATGGCTTTTTGGGGGCTGTTCTGGGACAACAACATCTGAGGCTGTTCAGGGACAACTCATGACTCAGTGCTCCAGAGATCCTGGAGATGTTCAGAGGACCATATCTGGACCTAGTGGATCATCTCTTACACTAGACTTAAGGGATTATCTTTTTTTTTCTTTTGCTTTTTAGGTCATACCTGGTGATGCACAGGGGTTACTCCTAGCTCATGCACTCAGAATTATTCCTGGCGGTGCTGGGGGGACCATATGGGATGCTGGGAATCGAACCTGGGTCTGCCACATTCAAGGCAAACGCCCTCCCCACTGTGCTACTGCTCCAGCCCCCGGGATTATCTTTTGTAGTTGTTTTGGAGCCATACCTGATGGTGCTCCCGGCTCTGCATTCAGGAATCACTTCTGGCAGGCTCAGGAGACCATATGGGGTGCCGGGGATCGTACCCAGGTTGGCTGCATGCAAGGGGAACTTCATCCCGGCTGTCCTATTGCTCCAGCCTCCACCCTCCCTTCTGTACACTATAGTCTATCTTTCCAGCACCCCTGGATCTTATGAAGGTGAAAGGCAAACCTGGTGGGGTCCCTGAGGAAACAGTGGATGGCATCTCTGCCTCGTTTCCTCCTTTGGCACTTCCCATGAGGGGGATCAAACCTCAGTGTTTATGTCTGCAAGGCAAGTGCTGCCCTACTGAGCTCCGGCCTCTCCCGACTCCCATTTCCCAGGCCACCCCTCCTCCCAGGTCAAGGGGGTGGAAAATCAGGCCACTGGGGGGACCAGATCAAGCCATGGCCGCACTGTGCAGTGCTGGCCCACAGTCACAGATAGTGCAGTATCCGGGGCCCGATCTGGGAGAGCCCGGCAGTGGGCAGAGCTGACACACGGTGAATCCTCATTGGTGGGGTGCACTTTGCTGCCCCCCCCACAGCACACACCCCATCTCCCTGCCTCTCCGCTGGACAAAGTGACAGTTGGCAGTTCCCAAAGTGTATGGATTTATTTCGAGCCCCAGCGGGGCCAGAGGCAGTGAGCAGCTACAGGCTGCGGAGACCCAGGGCGAGGCCGGCGAGACAGAGGCCGTTGGCCAGCAGACAGCCCAGATTGCAGAGGGTCGACATGCCGTGGTAGCGAAAGAAGGTCTGGCGCAGGGCTTTGTACTTGGGGTCCTGGGCCTGCAGCTGGCGGTAGGGGTCAGGGCCCCGGCGGCTGCCCGGCGCATCCTGGCCCAGGCCGCGCTCCTTCTCCACCCTGTACAGCGCCCACATGGCCCCTGAGGTCCGGGGCTCCAGCCAGCGGTCGTTGACGGCAGCCAGCACCAAGCTCAGCAGGAGCAGGAAGACCTGCAGGGTTCCAGGGATGAGAAAAGCCAGAACTCCGGGCAGGAAAACCCCACCCACGGCTGGGTCCCCTGGTGGGCTCAGCGCCTTCCTCGAAATCCAGACTAGCAGCCCCCAAGGGGAGGCTCCACCATCTGCATTGTCCCCTCTCCCAAAATTCCTTGAGTCTCATCTCCTTTGATATCCCGCACTCCTGGTGGTGCTCAGGATTGACTCCTTGCTCTGTGCTCAGGGCTGACTCCTGACAGAGCTTGGGGGACTGTCTGTGAGGTCGGGTATTGAACCCGGGTCTGGGGCATACAAGCACCACACGCTGGTGTATCTCCCGACTTGCTACCCCAATTTGGGACAGAACAGATGTGAGATGTGTCCCCTTGTCCCCCCGCCTCATCCCCCAACATTATCCTCTGTGGTCTCAGAACAGATACTGTTCCCACAGGAAGCAAATGAAAAGGTCGGGGGGGGGGGGGGTCAGAGAAACAGTCAAGGGGTGAAGGCACTTGCCCCGCATTCTGCCAATCCTGATTTGAACTCCCAGTGCTGCATATGATCCCCCAGCACCCCCAGGAATCAATCCTGAGCACAGAGCTAAATACTCTGAAGCCCCAAGTTCCATCACAGACCACAATCAAGAGTGGCCACAGGGGTTGGAGCGATAGCACAGCGCTAGCTCATTTGCCTTGCATGTGGCCAACCCGGGTTCGATTCCCAGCATCCCATAGGGTCCCCCGACCACCATCAGGAGTAATTCCTGAGTGCATGAGCCAGGTGTAACCCCTGTGCCTTGCCAGGTGTGACCCTAAAAGCAAAAAAGCAAAAAAGCAAAAAAAAAAAAAAGAGTGACCACAAAATCACAAATCAACAAATAAAACAAAAGGTTTGCCATGGGGTTGGCGTGATGGTACAGGAGGGCATTTGCCTTGTCGGGGGCAGATCCAGGCTCCGTCTCAGAGTCGTCACACGGTTTGCCCCTAACCCCTGTCACAAGTGATCACGGAGCTCAGAGCCAGGAGTCAGCCCTGACACAGTCGGGTGCAGCCCCAAAAACAAAACCCGGAAGGTTTGTCAAGGCCAGGGAGTCGCCACAAAGGGCTGGAACTTTGAAGCCCCAAGTTCCATCACTGGGGTACCGGGGGTATTCCAAGAACTGCCACGTGTGACCACCGAAGCCCTCTGGGCGTGACTGTGGCCCAAAAAGTTAGCCAAGTTCTAGGTACCCATAATCCACACGTGTCTATGGGATTATGGGATTCCTGCTTTTTTGAGGGGGCACCAGGAACCTCCAGTGGTCACTCCCAGTGCCGCTTTGAGTGGTGTTTGAGGGAAATCTGCAGTGGTGACATTAAGCCTAGGCTCCCACCTGCAAAACTTGAGCCCCATTTATCTCCTGGGGGATCGGGATTATTCTGGCAATAGCTCAACGATTCCCAGACCCTCCCTGCTCCCCTCTGAGCAAAATAACAGGGATGGGGGCAGGGCAAGATAAAGAAATCCGATTCACAGATGGTTCCTGGCCTGGTGGCTGGGGGCAGGAGACCAAATTCCCAGTAGAGCTGGTTTTCAAACAATGAACCGAGGTCAGTGCCCTGCGCCCAGCTGAGTCACGACAGCTTGGCAGCAGGCCCAGCCAGGAGGAGAGGCAGTCGCAGTAGTGGAAGACACACCGGGGTCTGGACAGGGCTGCTGGGAACAGTTGTACAGGCTGTGCACTGCTCAAGAGTTGTGAGGGGGCAGGGGAAGGGGGGAAGCCAACTTAGATCCTCCAGGAAAAACGGGGCGCTTCATCGTTAGGGCTTTTAAACAATTCCCCTCAAGATGTGGCCAGGGGTGTTAAGTGGGGAGGGAAGAAAGAGGCTTTGGAGGGGGGTGGATCTCGAGGCCTCCTACCTGGCTGGACTCCCAGAATGTGATTCGAGCCCAGGAGTACTGTGAAGCCAAGACGCAGAGGTTGACGAAGGCGCAGGCCACAGAGACGTGAAAGTAGAACGGGAAGAGTTTGCTCTGCACGAGGCCAAAAGTGTGCCGGGGGAGGCCTCGGAAAAGAATGAAGCCTGTGCGGTGCAGGGGATCGTACACTCACGTCAGGACGGCCTGCCCTGGCCCCCGCGTCCCCAACCGCGGTTGTCATGCTTTCCAGGCCGAAGATCCCTACCTGAGGCGAAGGTCACCCACATTTGCATGCCCCAGGCCCCTGACAAGACCAGCAGATGAACCACCCTGGCCAGGCCGCCCAGGGGTGCACCCTCCTCCATGCTGCAGGCCTGGAAAGGAGGCACCGGAGGCTCAGAGCTTGGCCCAGTGGCCTGCAGATGCTGGCAGCCGAGTTCAGGCCCGGCTCATGGTCATTCTGCAGAGATCCCTGGGAAAACAGAGCAACCACAGGGAATCCCGCGACTGTCCCCCACTTCATCTCTCCATATAAAGCACGTCTGTACCACGGTCTCTGGACCTCAACCTCCGGGACGCCCCAATTCCAACCCCAGCAGCTCCAAAGCGTGCATGCAATCCAACCCACCACAGGTCTCTAGAGCAAAGCACCCCCATCTCCCGTAACACAGCCTCTGATTTCACGATGAACTCCCCAAGATCACGCCCACCGCGGGGAACCCCGACCTCAACCCGCAGCACCCGGAGGCGCCGGCTCCGAATCTCTCGGGTCAGGCTGGCTGGCTCAGTACCTCAACTCCCGCGTTCCCGCGGTCGCCCCAGCACCTCTTCCGCCACCTCCTAGCCTAGGGCCACGAACTCGCCCCGCCTCCTACTGGGCCCGAAGCCAATCGGCTCTTAAAATTGCTCCCTCCGCTCCCGCCCTCTAAGATAGGAACTAGTCGATTCGCAGAAACGCAGCCTAAAATCCCGCCCCTGATAGGGCTTTCCTCCTATCACATCGCGATTTCTAGGAGTGGCGGAAGCGAGAAGGCGCCAATGAGGCCTGGGTCTACACCGGAGGGGGCGGAGCCGAATGCAAGCCACGCCTCTCTCTGTGACTCTACCTTGGGGTTCGGAGCGTTTGACCGCAATGGTGTCCCCACTGGGTCAGATTTCAGCGTCACCGCGGGGGACCGGCTCCGCGGTTCCTCATGGGAAAGCATGAGCAGGTGGTACGTGAGAGGTGGGTGAGGAAAAGGGTCAGGATCCCGGAGGGCTCAGCGGTCATGGCCTCGGGGGTCCAAGCTGATGACCCCGCCCCCTCCCCGACAGAATTCTCCCGGGACAAATTTAGGGAGAAATTGATGTGGAAGGGGCAAAAGGAAGGGGGGCCTCGCCCGGGGATCTGTCTCCGTTGGTAGAAGAAATAGCTCTGCCCTTCTCCGTCCCTATTATCCCTGCTTCCTAAAATCGCGACACGGGCACGGAGCGGACTGATTTTCTTAATTCTAACACCCCAGGAAGATGTGTCATCCCATTTGGATGCCTGAGAACCCTGAAGCATGCAGGAATTCAGTAACTAAAAGGGGCAGAGCTGGGATTGGGACCTAGTTGGAAGATGGCCCTGGCTTAATCCTCATACTGGACTGTCAAGGGTGTCCCTAGGGACAGCTATTTTTATTTTTTATTTTTATTTTTTTTTTGCTTTTTTGCGTCACACCCGGCGATGCACAGGGGTTACTCCTGGCTCTGCACTCAGGAATCACTCCTGGCGGTGCTCGGGGGACCCTATGGGATGCTGGGAATCGAACCCGGGTCGGCCACCTGCAAGGCAAATGCCCTCCCCGCTGTGCTATCTCTCCAGCCCCTGGGACAGACATTTTTAAAGGGTGTGAAACCTCCGAGTGGCGGCCAGTCCTCCCAGAGATGCTCAGAAAGTAGTTTTTGTTCTTTTGCTTATTTATTTATTTATTTATTTATTTTTAAGGATTAGGGGCTGGAGAGAGAGCATAGTGGGTAGGGCACTTGCCTTGCACACAGCTGATCTGGGTTCAATCTCATCCCATATGGTCCCCGATCCCTGCCAGGAGTGATCCCATAGCACAGTGCCAAGAGGAGCCCTGAGAACCACCTACTGGTATGGCCCCAAAACAACAACAAGACAAAATATTAAGGGGTAGGGTTGGGGATATGGCTCAAGTTGTAGAGTACACACCTTGCCTGTGAAAAGGCCCTGGGTTCGATTCCCGGCACTGCCACATGGCTCCACAACAAGGAGATGTTTGTCTAAAGGAAGCGGGCCAGAGACATGCCAAGGTAAGGCACTGACTTCACATGCAGCCGACCTGGTTCTAATCTCAGCGTGGCTTAGGGTCCCCTGAATACTGCGTGAGCCCTGAGAAAAGCCAGGAGTAAACTCTGAGCACCACTGTTGTGGTCCCAAAGCAAGAATTAAGGAAGATGTTACAGAGGAAATTCTGGTAGGATTTTGGGCTGGAGTGATAGCACAGTGGTAGGGCGTTTGCCTTGTGCGCAGCCAGCCCAGCCTCACCGGGTTCGATTCCTCCGCCCCTCTCAGAGAGCCCTGTGAGCTACTGAGAGTACCTCGCCCCCGCGTGGCAAAGATGGCAAGCTCCCCGCGACGTATTCAATATGCCAAACACAGTAACAACAAGTCTCAAAAAAAATGGAGACATTACTGGGCCTGCTTGAGCAAATCGATGAACAACGGAAGGACAGTGTTTTAATTTATAGTCTTCTTTTGTGGGTGGACCCTCTGCAAGTGTTCAGAATTTTCTTCTGGCTTTGCACTCAGAGATGACTCCTGACAGGACCAGGAGGACCATAAGGGGCCCCCAGGATGGTACCTGGGTCAGCTGCATGCAAGTTAAGTGCCTTACCCACTATACTGTCTCTCTGGCCCACTGGTAGGGTTTTGAGGGATGCATAGGAGTCCTCTAGATTCCTGAGCCAGGGATTAGAACACTGGACGTAGGGCCTAACTGGGACAGAATAGAAAGGACTCAGGCTGTAGGGTGTGTCAAGGAGAGTTTGGGGGTGTGGGAGCCAAGTCTGACTGGCTTCCCTCTCCTCCATCCCAAAGCGACCCTCTTCTGGCTGGCCTGCCCCAGGACCCCGACTTCTGTATGCCTTGTCTGTTCTCGACTTCCGCCCATTCCAACGTGTGTGTCTCAGCCAGCGGGAAGTATGAACAGCACTGGAAGAGTTCCCAGAGAGGACATGCTGGAGCTGGGGAACCCGGAGCAGCGGGAGCGCTCCCTGGGGGACCGCTGGAGGCCCTCACCTCTCCCGATACACCCTTGGACAAGATCTCGGATTCTGCTGTTCCCTGGTCCAAAAGATTTGAGACCGCGGGGCCGCCAGCAGCCGCTGAGAACTCTGAGATCAGCACAGACTGGCAGCCATCAGGGGTCCCTAGACGTCAGGCCAATGGGTCCGCACTTTCCTCTCACCCGGAAGCCCAGGAGCACCCTCACACTCCGGACATTGTAAAGAAGACTCACAGCATCACTAAGGTCACCCTGCCAAGAAATTCCATCTACTGATCCAGGGTGGGGGGAGGGTGTCCTTTTTGGGGGGCGGTACTCAGAGTGTTCTCCTGGCTCCTGGTGGTGCTCGGGGCACCATATGCAGTGTCAGGGGTGGGATCAGGGCCAGACCCCTGCAAGATACCTGCCTTACCCCTGTGCTGTTTCTCCACCCCCAACGGGAGGTCCCCCAAGAACCCTCACGCTGGTGATTCCCGACGCTGGACCATGCGGGGCCCCACTAAGCAGGTCTTAAAGGACAGGCAGTGGAGCTGAGATGCAATTGTCTGAGATTTTTTGGTTTTTGGTTTTTGTTTTGGCTTTTTGGGTCACACCTGGCGATGCTCAGGGGTTACTCCTGGCTCTGCACTCAGGAATTACTCCTGGCAGTGCTCGGGGGATCCTATGGGATGCTGGGGATCGAACCCGGGTCTGCCATGTGCAAGGCAAATGCCCTACCCGAAGCGATTGTCTAAGTTTTGGCTGTGAGAACCTTGGGCAGAGGGACACGAGGCGGAGGAGGAGGTGGCGCTCAGCCCCACTCGTGTCCAAGGCCCCCATGAGATGCCAGTGTGCCCTGTCCCCTTTCCCTAGAAACCTTCCGACACCAGTTCTTCCAAAGGCAAAGGTGAGAACCCGCGCTCCAACAGGGCCGAGAGTCCCTTCCGCCACCTGGGCCCCAGCACCACTGGGAGTGTCCCCTGAGCACAGCACCAGGATCGGACCCTGAATACCACCGGGTGTGATTCCCCCAACAAAAGAAAAGAAATTCCCCTCACTTCCTTTCGCCCCTGCCCACCCCCCGCCTCCAGAGACTTGCCCTCCATCTTCAGCCCTTTTTTGGTTTTTGGTTTGGGGGCCACACCCAGCAGTGCTCGGGGCTTACTCCTGGCTCTGCGCTCAGAAATCCTACCTGGCAAGCTCAGGGGACCACCTGGGGTTCTGGGGATTGAACCCAGAGAATCACTCCTGCAAGCTCAGGGGACCATATGGAGTGCCGGGGATGGAACCCAAGAAATCACTCCTGTAAGTTCAGGGGACCATATAGGATGCTGGGGATTCAACCCAAGGAATTACCCCTGGCAAGCTCAGGGGACCACCTGGGGTTCTGGGCTTGAACCCAGGGAATTACTCCTACAAGGTCAGGATACCACATGGGGTGCCAGGGATCGAACCCAGAGAATCACTCCTGCAAGGTCAGGGGACCATATGGGGTGCCGGGGATCAAACCCAGGCTAGCAGGTGCCTCCCCACTGGGCCATGGCTCAGGCTTCCATCCTTAGCCCTGATGTTGCCCAGCCTCTGCCTTGTCTCCAAGAGTCACCCCTCCAGGGTCCCTCTCACCTCACCACCCCCTCAGCTGACCTTTGCCCTGCTCAGGCCCCGCCCACTCCCTGCCTCCCCTGCTCGCAGCTAAGTCCTCCCTGGGGATCGCCGATGCCCAGAAACTCCTGCGGTGTGAACTGGAGTCCCTCAGGTGCCAGCTCCAGGCTCAGACCAAGGTGAGCAGCCTGGCCCCTGGGCCCCGGTGCCCCCCAGCCCCAGCCCCTCAGGCCTGACCTGTCCCCGACCCAGGCTTTTGAGTTCCTCAACCACTCTGTGACCATGCTGGAGAAGGAGAGCAGTCTGCAGCAGACCAAGATCCAGCAGCTGGAAGGCGAGTCCCGGGTCGGGCAGAGATGGGGGCGGGGGGGGGGGGAGGGGGGGGGCCGAGCTGGGCTTGCTGACCCTGCCCTCCCGCCTCTGCAGAGCTGCTGAACCTGCCTGGGCACCAGTCGGAGAAGGAGGGCTGCAAGTGGGGCTCGGAGCAGGGCCCCCAGCAGCTGTGCGAGGCCCTGGCGCAAGGCCTGCGGGGGCTGGAGAAGACCTTGCGGGACAGCGAGGAGGTGCAGCGGGCCCGCACCGCGCGCTGCCTGCAGCTGCTGGCCCAGGAGATCCGCGACAGGTGGGGGGGGGGGACTCGTCACAGCGTGGGGGGGGCTGTGGAAGGCTTGGCATCGGGGAGACAGCAGGCTGGTGGGGGTGTGTTTGTATCAGTGGGGGGAGGCCAGAAGGCAGGAAGAAGGGACGGGGGAGGGGAGCGGGCGGAGGGGGCCTCAGGCTGCTCTGCTCCCCTCAGTAAGAAGTTCCTGTGGGAGGAGCTGGAACTGATCCGAGAGGAAGTGACTTTCATCTATCAGAAGCTTCGTGAGTGGGGCTGGAGCGCCAGGACAGCGGGGAGGGCATGTGGCTAACCCGGGTTCTATCCCCGGCATTCCATGTGGCCCCCCAAGCACCGCCAAGAGTGATTTCTGAGTGCAGAGCCCTGAGTGTGACCCCAAAACTGCTCTGCGCTGCCCCGTGTAACAGTCATCCCACTGAGCATCTACTTGCTTGAGCGGGCGCCAGTAACGTCTCCATTCCTCCCAGCCCTAAGGTTTCAACAGCCTCTCCTCTCGTCCTTCCCAACTCTGCCATATTGGAGGCTCTTTAAGGGCCAGGGTCTCTCTTTAATGAGACCCATTATTGCTACTGTTTTTGACCCAAAAAGGTAAAAAGGTAAAGGCCCTCCCGTTGTTCATCGATTTGCTCGAGCGGGCCCAGTAACGTCTCCATTGGAGATTTTGTTGTTACTGTGTTTGGCATATCAAATACATCACTCTCAGTAGCTTGCCGGGCTCTCCGAGGAGGAATGACCCAAAAACTAAAACAAAAAATTACTAAAGGGGCTGGAGCGATAGCACAGCGGGTAGGGCGTTCGCCTTACAAGCGGCCAACATGGCCGACCCGAGTTCGATTCCTCCGCCCCTCTCGGAGAGCCCGGCAAGCTACCGAGAGTATTCGATATGCCAGACACAGTAACAACAAAGTCTCCAATGGAGACGTTACTGGGCCCGCTCGAGCAAATCGACGATCAACGGGAGGGCCTTTACCTTTTACTAAAGGGGCCGGAGCAATAGTACAGCAGGGAGCACGCTTGCCTTAAATGCATCTGCCCCTGATTCGATCCCCAGCACCCAGCATGGTCCCCCAAGCCCACCAGGAGTGAGCCCTGAGCACAGCTGTGTGTGGCCCCCAAACCAAAAAGCAAAACAACAGCCCCATGAGTACCCATAAGAGCCCACAGCCAGGGTGGGTGGGGTCCGGTTCATGCGGGAACACCCTGAGTCTCGGAGTCTCCCCTAAAGAAGTCCAGGAGGAAGAGATTGCGGAGAACCTGGCAAACATCCAGAAGATGCAGAAGACCCAGATGAAGTGCCGCAAGGTGGGATAGGGGGATGCAGCCAGGGTTGAGAGGTCACAGCCACCCCCCCCACCCCCATGCTGGAGTCAGGGGCTGGGATTCACATCTCAGCTCCCGCCCCCCGGTGCAGTGAAGACTCGAACCAGCCATGGCTACAGCTCCCTGGCCTCATGGATTCATCTGTGCAATGGGCATAGCCCCACAGATTCTGAAGGGACTTGGGCGGTCAACACTTGGGAGGCAATTACTGAGCCCCTTTCTCCCGACATGGCCACGATCCAGGCTAATGGCTCACCTCAGCCCGCACCCCAGGTTCTCAGCAGGATGAGGCATCAGGGCTGCGATGTGTCCAAGTGGTCAGAAGACGATATGCCGATGGGAAGCCCCAGCTCCTGGAAGAGCGACCTCCAGAAAGAGCTCAGTGACATATGGTGATGCCCAGCCCCCTGTCATCCCTGACCTCCAAACCCTGATCCCTGCTGCCCTGCCCACACACTGCCCCCAGACGAAACAGAGACAATATAGTCCCCAAGCACCCTGGAAGCAAGCACACAGCTTCCCCCCTCACCACACCCCCTTCCCAGGACTCAACTCTGTCCCCAGCCCCGAGCACCCCCAGGTCTCCCAGCACCCCCTCTTCCTGCAGGTGCGCCGTGCACATGCTGCAGAACTCCGTGGACTGCGCCTCAGTGCCTGTGGGGGGCCGGCCCAGGGCCATGGGCCTCAGGGGTGAGGCATCTTGGGGTGCAGGGGTCACTCACAACTTCACTAAGGAATGTCCTAGAGATCGCAGGAAGGGGACTTGGGAGGGTTCATCCACTGGCTTCTTTGAGGGTTGGGGGGGCGGGTGGATGGAGAGAGACCCCAGGGGCTGGAGCACACAGGAAGCCGGGCTCCCTCCTAGCATCCCACGAGCAGCCTCGAGCACCCCAGGGGCTACTCCCCCCAAAAAAACAAAAGAAGGCCAAGGGGGTGACATGCTAAGGCAACTGAGTCTACTATGCGGTCACGTTGATACAGCTTCAAGGGACATGGGCCCAAAGACAAGGCGGTCCCTCAAGGGTGACACTCAGTGCCTGCACGTGGGGGACAAGACCTGTACCTTCCCAACAGGGAACAAGGGACACCTCTGCCTGAGCCCTCCGCTCCCCTGCTGGGACTCAGACACTGACTCGGACCCTCAGCAGCGGCCATTCAGCAAGAGCTGCTGCCCACTGGGTGTGGACCTTCCCCTGACCCCCTCACCCCTCCTGGAGCCCCACAGTGTGGGGTGCCCCTAAATCCCAGCCATTTGCTCCCAGAAGGCTGGGGGTGGGGGTCGCGTGCCCCCAGGCTGGGTCCTAACGCTCTCTTGAGCAGCTGGGGCTGCTCTCTCCAAAGACCCCCTCAGAGAGAAAATAAAGAAGATGAGCCCCTTCTCTGGCTGTGCTTTCCCAGTCCTGTGGCAGGGCTCGGTCACATTCCCCACCGGAATCCTCAGCGTGGATACCCCAAGGCCCACTTGCAATGCGCTTCTAAGGGGTCCTAGAGTTAAGGAATTTAGTATCTTGGGGCTGGAATGATAGGACATTGAGGAAGGTGCTTGCTGAGCCAGGTTTGATCCCCGGAACCATATATGATTCCCCGAGCCGGCCTGGAGAGATCCCTGAGCACAAAGCCAGAAGTAAGCCCTGAGCATCAATGCATTTGGCCCCCAAAACAAAAACAACAAAACGGGCCAGAGCCATAGTACAGCGGGTAGGGCGTTTGCTTGCACGCAGCCGACCCAGGTTCAATCCCCAGCATCCCATGTGGTCCCCCAAGCACCACCAGAAGTAATTCCTGAGTGCAGAGCCAGGAGTAACCCCTGAGCATCACCAGGTAGACCGAAAACGCAAAAAAAAAAGGAATTTAGTAGCCGGTAAGGTCAGGGTAAAGACCATCTAGAAAGGACCAGGTGAGGGGTTTCCACGCTGGACACACCAGTTTTCTGCAAAGGGGCGAGGGGGGTTGGGGGGGATGAAAGAGGGGACGTAAAGAATCTGGCCTTCTGTCTCTATGGCCCTAAAGGGACAACAGGTCCAGGTAGGTCGCGTCCCTGGGTCTCGCTCTGGCATCCAGCTTCTCCCAAGAGCACCTTGCCCCGAGATCTTCCTCTTAAACCCGCGACCCCCGCCCACCCCATCCTTCATTCCCTGGGAAAAGGACTCTGGCGGCCCCGCCCCCTAGAGCCCGGGGCCCCGCCCCGGAGCGCGCTCATAGGACGCCGCGAGCGCCGCCTCACAAGTATGTAAATGAGGCCCTCGAGACCCCGCCCCTCGCTCGGCCGCGGAGTCTGCGCGCGGCGGCCCGGCCGGGTCGAGCGCTTCTCCATCCCTGCATCCGCGGGGGCCGCGGTCCGTCAGTCTGTCTGTCCCGCGGCGCCGGGTCGTCTAGGGAAGATCGGGGACCCAGGCAGCGACTGCCTCGACCCGGTGAGAGGAGAGTCTGGGGCACCCGGGGCAGCCGCTCTCTTCGGCTTCCGACGACCCTTGATCTGTCCGGTCCGTCTGTCCGGCTGGGCATTGGATCCTGAGAGTTCCAGGCAGGAGGATGGGGAGACCTTTGCAGGGGAAGGGGCGGGGAAGCCACCAGCTGGGGCGTCCCTGCGGGCTGGGGGAGGGGAGCCCGGGGAGGGGGCGCCCCCTGCTTGGAGAAGGCCAGCGGGGCGGTGGCGAGTGTGTTTGTGTGGTTGTCATTATGTGTCCGCGTGTGGTTGTGTAACTGTCATTGTGTAGCTGTGCGACTGTCATGGTGTCTGGCTGATCGGCCTCAGAGGTGTGCGTGTGCATGTGTGTGTATGTGTGTGTGTGACTGTCTCCTGGGGCTGTCATTGTGTGGCGGTGGTACTGGTGCTGGTGCTGGGGGTTACTCGGAAGGTGTGTGTGTGGTGCCCGTGTTCCCCCAGCCGCAGCGGTGTGTCTGTGGTGGTGGTAGCACGCCTGACCGTTATTGTGTGGCTAATGCTGTGTGTGCTACATGATGGGGTGGGGGAGGGACGTCTTCCGTGTTCCCATGTGTGGCCACGATCACATACACCCTTGCGTGGCTCTGTGTACTGGCCATCTAGGCTGGACCGGGGACCGCCATGGTGCCCCTTGGGTCTCCAGCCATCAGAGCGCAGGCGACGCCGTGCCTGTCTATGACAGTCATCCAAAGCCTCAGGGCTGGGGGTGTGACCCGCTGTGACTTGTCCTGGGCCCTCTCCCCCGCTGTCTGTGGCAGCTGGCTGCTGTGTCTCGAAGTGGCTTCGGGTGGGGGGTGGAGGGGTGGCCCCCGCGGGTCCCTGCGACTGTGTGTGCTGAGGATTGTTTGATCTGTGTGGGCGTCTGTGGCAGTCGTGTACGTGCTGTGCTGTGGGGGGGTGCTGTGTGCGGTGGGTGTTGGGCACCTGTCTGAATGAGCCCGCCTGTCTTCTTCACCCACAGGCTTGGCACCCAGCTCGGTCCTGGCAGCTGCCATGCGCGTGTCCCTGCTAGGGGGGTGGGCCATGGCTACGCCTTGGATGTGGGATGGAGGTTCTGACCGTGGGGTGCACTTTGTGGGGGCCCGCGTGGGTGATCCTGTCTCGGTGGATGAGAGAGGGGCTGTGCCCGCTATGTATCTGGGACATAAGGTGACCCTCCCATCAGGTCACACCACGGAGCACGACGCGTGGAGGGGGCATCTGGCCCCGAATGCCTGCCCTCACCTCCCTGGACCTCAGTTTCCATATCTGTGCCATGGGCGGGACCACCCCTGCCATGCTGGTGCAGGCCACTGGGTGCAGCTGTGAGGTGGCCGACGGGAGGCCATAAGACCTTGCCCAGGTGAGGTGGGTGGGCACTAGCCTGTGTTGGCACGGGGCCACCCCTGGTGCTGGGGAGGCGTCTGCGAGGAGGAGGGGGCAGCTGGAGGCAACTCAGCTGGGAGGAAGGGGAAGGAGGGAAAGAGGAGAGGCAGCTGGGAGAGAGGGAGGGACTGGCCAGCTGCCCGCACCAATGCCCACAAGAGGGAGAGGCCCCTATGGGCTCTGGGAGAAAGGGTCTGGCCATGGGACATCCAGAGCACGGTGCCTCCTGCAAAGTATGTGGGGGAAAGATGGGACACCCCAAAAATCTAATGGGAGTGGGGACCTAAAAGGGGAAGGGAGGGCCCGAGCCATAGTACAGGGGCAGGGCGCTGGCCTTGCACACGGCTGACCCCGGTTCGATCCCCGGCACCCCAAAGAGTCGCCCAAACCCCATCAGGAGTGACCCCTGAATGCAGAGTAAGCCCTGAGCACGACCAGGTGTGGCCCCCCGACAAAACTAAATAAATGAAATGAGGAGTCATCCTGGGAAGGAGGAGAGGACACCCCAAAAGACTGGGCACAGGGTCTGCTGGGTGGCTTCGTGGCATGCCTTGCATGTGGGTGACAAGGATTCCACCTGTTCCTGGCCACCAAACCAAAAAACCACCCAGGGGGTTCCAACGCCTGGAGCACTTGCTTGGTGCACACTGGGCTCTGGTGGCTCTCAGCACTGACCCTGAGCACCCCGCCCAGCCCCCTGCACGTAGACTCTTGTATGTAGACTGTGGGGGAGACCACCCTAAATTCGCCGGTGCCTCTTGGGGGCTGGGTTTGAAGAGTCTTGTTTGGAGGTCCCCATAGCTCAGAGGTCACTGAAGGGCAGTCCTGGTTCCGCCGGGGCCTGGCCAGGAGCTCGAGGGGTGGGGCTGGGTGTGGGCGGGGTCTTCCCTGATACCCCCTGCCCCGTGCTCCTCCGTGGGGGGGCCCAACTTGTTTCCCCTCTCAGCAGGCCTGACCTTCACCATGGCAGGAGGGAGACCTCAGCTGAAGAGGAGCTTCTCCATCATTCCTTGCTTCGTCTTCGTGGAGGTGGGCAGCCCCTACAGTGCCCCCATTTCCCTGACTCCCTCACAGACTCGCAGCAGGAAGGGGAGCGGGGTGCCAGGCCCTGTCTCCCCTATTCCAGGCCCGCCATCCTGCTGCGTGGTCTCTGAAGGTGGCCGGGAGCTTGCACTCAGGAGGGACCCTGCCTGCACCCCCACCTTCCCATCCTTTCTGGGGGGCTATAGGCATTTCACATGTCCTCCTGGACCTCAGTTGTCTCTCTGTCAAGTGGGCAGAATTAGAGGCTTTCTCTCTCCACTTGGGCTTTTCGGAAGGGAAAGGCAGAGGTTGTTCCAGACAAGTGTCGCTGGTGTTGGAGGCCACCTTCTGTCGCTGCTACTGACTGCCCTATGAGCTGTCCCACTGGTTTGTTTCTCTGCCTCCGTCTCCCTCCCTCTCCCTGATCCTGTCCCTCTCTCAATTTTCTGTCCGGTCCCCTTCCATTCTCTCTCTCTTTTTCTCTTTCACATCTCTTTCCTTGTTTCCATTTCCATCATTTTTCTTCTCCATCTCTTTTTTGTGGGGGAATGCTCCCAAATAGTGCTCTGGATGCCCCTGTGTGGGCCCCTCCCAGTGATTGTCTGTCAACCAGGCCTGAGTTCAATGCAGGGACCAGAGGACGTGGTGCTGCTGGGGTCCTGTGGTGTCCGGGATCCCCTGAGTCACCCTGGAGGTGCTCCTAGGTCATGCCCAGGGATGCTCATGGGACCATATGGTACCCGAGACTGAACTGGGGTCAGCTGTCTGGGACGCATGCGCCGTGACCCCGTGATCTCTCTGCTTCCCTGTCACCTCTTTCCTCCCCCCAAAACACTGACTCCATCTCTTCTCTTTCCCCTGGTCTCACCCCTGCTGGGGGGCAGTCGGTGCTGTTGGGTGTGGTGGTCCTGCTCGCTTACCGCCTGGAGTTCACGGACACGTTCCCCGTGCACACCCAAGGGTTCTTCTGCTATGACAGCACCTACGCTAAGCCCTACCCTGGGCCCGAGGCTGCCAGCCGAGCGCCACCTGCACTTATCTACACCCTGGTCACCGCGGGGCCCACCCTCACAGTGAGATTTTGGGACTGAGGGGAGTGGATTATTGCTCAGACTGGAGGAAGACTGGAGGGCTTCCTGGAGGAAGGGGCAGAGGGGGAGCCACGGCGGTGAGGTAGGGTCACTGAGGAGGGTGGAGGGCTCAACTCTGCTGACTGGGCTGTTGCCCACAGATCCTGCTGGCAGAGCTGGCCCGTGCCTTTTTCCCTGCACCCCCCTCGGCCATACCCGTCATCAGAGAGAACACCATCGTTTCGGGGGCCTGTTGTCGCTTCACCCCCCCACTGCGGAGGCTGGTGCGATTTCTGGGTGAGTGACCCAATACTGGCGTGGGTGACGCAGGAGTCTTTTGCTAGGGCTGTCCAAGAGGGCATATAGGGTGGGGACAGGCAGGATGGAGGGCAAGAGCATGAGCATTGTAAGAAGACTCCAATGCTGCCAAAGGCCCAAGAGGCCAAGGGGGGCACAAGACATTAGGGAGCAGAGAGGCATGAGATGAAGCCTCCTGGGGTTTGAAATGTGTCCCAGGGGCTGAAGAGGTAGTACAGGGGTGAAGATCTTGCATGCAGGCCAGCAGGAGGGGCTGAGCCACAGCAGAGCAGGGAGGGATTTGCCTTGCACAAGGCCAACCAGGGATCGATCCTTGGCATCCCATATGCCCCCCTGCCTGTACCACCAGTGTAGCGTCAGGAATCATTCCTGAGCACCCCAGGTGTGGCCAAAAAAAAATTTTTGCATGCATGCACCCCAGTTCAGTTCCTGGTACTGTAGAGTCCCTTGAACACCGCTGGGAGGTTACCCCCTGCCAAGCACAAAGCCAGGAGTAGCCCCAGAGCACCACCAGGTTTGCCTGCCCCCTCCATACATAGACACTCCAAAAATGTCACAAAATAGCCTAATGAGGGTATGGCTCAACCCCTCCTGCTGGGTAGTGCTGTGGAGTGATTTCAGCTCCACGGAAGCCACCTAACAAAGGGCCCCTGGTCATTAAAGTCCCAGGGGCAAGAAGTGTGGAGTGCCACCAAAATGGTCCCTAGGAAAGAAGACTTATGGCCCACGTAATGGGGGACAGAAGCCGGGGTGTCCCCAACATGCTTCAAAAGCAGCCCTGGTGGGGAAAAAGGGAACTTAGGCGACCCACAAAGGGATTTGCAGGAGAAGCCTCCTTGGGGTGTCAAGATTTTCGCCGAATAAGCAAACCCCTCCACTTCCCTTCCCAGGAGTCTACTCCTTCGGCCTCTTCACCACGACCATCTTCGCCAATGCAGGCCAGGTGGTGACCGGCAACCCCACGCCGCACTTCCTGTCCGTGTGTCGCCCCAACTACACAGCCCTTGGCTGCCTGCCGCCCTCACCCGACCGGCCTGGGCCCGACCGCTTTGTCACAGATCAGGGGGCCTGCGCCGGCAGCCCCAGCCTGGTGGCTGCCGCGCGCCGCGCCTTCCCCTGCAAGGACGCAGCCCTGTGTGCCTACGCGGTCACCTACACGGCGGTGAGCCCCAACACGGGGGCAGCGGGGTACAGCTACGGCAGACTGTGTCTTGAGTCCTTGGAGACTCAAGAGGCCAAGCCCCGAGGAGGGCGGGCGGGTAAACCACGCCCATGTGGGCGGAGCCTACCCTCTTGCACCGCCCTGGCTCCTCCCCATGGTAGGGCCACGCCTCTCTGGGCGTGGCCTACCCTCCCATGAGACTCTGGGTTTCCTCCCAGTACGGAGCCACGCCTCCGTGGGCGGAGCCTATCCGCTCAAGGACCTTGACTCCGCCCCCCTTGGCGGGGTCACGCCCCCTGAGTCGATTCTTCTTAGCGCCAGTGAACCACATTACCCGCCTCTCATTAGGAGGTAGCTGTGTCCCCAGGATGGTACAGGTCCGGGATATTAGCTAGAACAGAGAGGTGGCCTTTATAGCTCGGCCCCTCAGGGTTTGGTTCCGCTCTTTGCTGGCCTGACCACGGCCCTGGCTGGACTATGCTGGAATTCTGTTCTTCACTTTCCCCTAGTCGCACGCCCTGTTGCTCTGATGCCTTTTCTTGTTCCCGGGACTGGCGGTTAGCCCTGATGATTTGAGAACCCCAATTTCTGGAACTTCTGGTCCTACACCCTGGGCTCGTGGCCACGCTCTCACCCTGCAGGAGTCTTCTTCCTCTCTAACTCATCTCAGGTCCTATCCCTGTCACGGTAGCCATGCTCCAACCACCGTAAGAGGGGTCCACAACTTCAATCCCCTACCCCTGGGTCCCCCCCAACTCTTTTCCTGCCCCCGGGCGCTCGGGGGCAGCTCTTCAGCGCCCCCTGCTGTTTCTGGACTTGGGCACGGTCCAGCGCCTCCTGACCAGTTTTGGCTCCCACAGATGTACGTGACCCTCGTGTTCCGCGTGAAGGGCTCTCGCCTGGTCAAACCCTCGCTCTGCCTAGCCCTGCTGTGCCCCGCCTTCCTGGTGGGCGTGGTCCGCGTGGCCGAGTACCGCAACCACTGGTCAGATGTGCTGGCCGGCTTCCTGACTGGGGCGGCCATCGCCACCTTTCTGGTGAGTCCACTTCTTCCTGCCCATCCTTCCATCAAGTCATCCCAGAGGATAAGGGGCAGCCAAAAACCCAACCACCCAGTAACAAAATAATATATTTCTTGTAATGACCACACCCCAAGGATGCTTCAGTGGGGGCAGAGGGTAGATAGGCTTGAACCCAGGGCCACCATGCATATATCACCTAAACCATATCCTGGCCCTAATGATAAATATATATAATTATGCATACATATGTATTTTATATATGGGAGCCATACCAGCAGAACTCGGGGGCTACTCCTGGTCTTGCATTGAGTTCCTTTCAGGGGCTGGGGTGATAGCACAGTGGGTAGGGCATTTGCTTTGTATGCAGCCAACCTGGGTTTGATTCCCAGCATCCCATATGGTCCCCCGAGCACTGCCAGGAGTAATTTCTGAGTGCATGAGCCAGGTGTAACCCTTGTGCATCGTGGAGTGTGACACAAAAAGTTCATTTCAGTGGTGCTTGGGGAATCATATGATGCCAAAGACCCAGCTCAGGCCTCATGCATGTAAACCTGTACTCAGCTATCTCCTGGCTCCCTAATGAAACATTTTTAAACATCAAGATGAGGGGCTGGAGAGATAGTACAGCCAGTAGGGCGCTTGTGCTGCATGCAGCTGACCTGGATTCAATCCCCAGCACCCCATGGAGTCCCTGAGCCCCACCAGGAGTGATCCCTGAGTAGACCAGGAGTTAGCCCTGAGCAAGCTGGGTGTGGTCCAAACACCAGTAAATAAAACAATACACATCAAGATGCCTATGAACCACCTGGAGAGAGCGCAGAAAAGACTGGGCACACTCAGGGATCCCCCAGCACTCCCTGGAGTGCCCAGAGCACTGAGGCATAAGTAGCTCTTGAGTACTACCAAATAGAAAAGGAGGGAGAAGAAAAAAAATGGGAAACCTCCCTATATGTAAATAGCACCTACCTCTCAGTAACGCGAGAAAATGCTCTGGGAGCTGGAACTCCATGCCTAAAAAGATGGGGGGTGAGATTTGAGATTGACCTTATTGGCACTGGACCCCCAAAAGTCCCTCTCCCCCTGTAATAGGTCACCTGTGTCGTACACAACTTCCAGAGCCGTCCACCCTCTGGCCAAAGGCTCTCCCCCTGGGGGGACCTGGGCCCAGCCCCCACTGTGGACAGCCCCCTCGAAAAGTTAAGTGTAGCCCAGGTAAGGGGGGCCGGGGGTGCTCCCGGCTGGAGCGGGTGGTGGGTACAGGGGGACCAGAGGTGCCAGAAGCCAGGCAAGAGGTGTGTCTCTGGGGGGGGGGGTTGTTCTCAGGGTGTTGTGTGTGTGGGGGCAGTCTGGGCTTGAAGTGCATGGCCCCCCAAGAATGCTGACTTTCCCACTGACCCCCTGCTGGAGGAGCCCTGGGGGGCCACTAGCCCCTTCCCTCTGCCTCTTTGTCGCAGGAACCCGAGACGAGTAAGCCGCCTGCGACACCTGCACGGCTCACCCCATCCAGTGAGTGCTGAGGGGATTGGGGGGTGTCAACGGTCAAAGGGTGAAGCTTCCAGAAGGCGTTCCGTGCCGTTCCCAGCTGCCTTTCCCCAAGCTCTCTGACGCCCTGCCCTCTCCCCCGCCAGAGCCGCAGAACTGTGCCCGCCGTGGCCACCTGATCCCCAGCTGCGTGTCTTCGCGGGCTCCTGCGATGTGCTCGTCGCCACGTGTGCCCCGCCCGCGGTTGCGGTCCGAACCCTCGCCCCTCCCGCTGCCCATGCCCCTGCCTGCACCGCCCCCCAGCCAGGGCCCTTCGCCCTCCTCGCCTGGGCCTGGGGGGCCGGGTGGGGGCGGCGGGCGTGGCCGGAAGCTGCTGCTGCCCACGCCCCTGCTGAGGGACCTCTACACCCTTAGCGGACTCTACCCCTCGCCCTTCCACCGGGACAACTTCAGCCCTTACCTGTTTGCCAGCCGTGACCACCTGCTGTGAGGCCCAGTCACACCCCCCCACGCCCTGCACCCCAATCTGCACAGTCCCCTTTTCCTCCCCTGCCACGCGCGTGCGTGTGTGTTCCGTGTGCGTGCCAAATCCCACGCCCGCCTCCCCGCCCGGGCATCCGAAGTCGGTTGGAGCTGGGGCGGGAGGTTCATCCCACCTCTCTTGCCCTCTAGGCCCCCAACGGGCCCCTAGCTCTGAAGTGGGGTCTTGCGATGTGGGTTTTTTTTCTTTTTTCTCAAGGCCAAAGGCTAAGCTCATTGGCTACTGGCCAGCCAATAGGCTCCCCTGGTTCTCAGAATTCTGCTACCACAGAGTTGACTCCGACCAATAGGAGCCCCAGAATTTGGAGCCCAGAAAGTTGACTCTAGCCAATGAGAGCCCCTGGTCCCCAAAAGTCCGACCCAACGTATAGTTGATTTCAGCCAATGGGAGCTTGAAAATCCCTCTTTCACCTCGCGCATCCTCTGGCCAGTGGGCTACTGCAGCCCCGGTTCAGGGTCGCGACAACCCTGGAGTCTGGGGAATTTCGAGGGTGGGTGGGTATGATTCCAGTCCATGGGGGACCGCCCATGTCTAAGCATATTCAGAGGAGAAATTTGGACTCATTGTCCGCGGCTGCTCCTCAGTTATCAGCGTCGGGCCAAGAGGGTGAGTAACCCCGTACCAGGGTCCCTGGGGCTCTCCTACGCCCTCCCCTACATCTCACCCAGATCCTTCTAAGTTCCTACTTCTGCAGGACTTGCCCCAGTTCAGAGGAATTGGGGTTCAGGGTGCTGTGTCTCCCCCTAAACCCATTATCTATTAGGGCTATGGAAAGGACTTTTTTTTCTCAGAACCACCCCCACCCGCACTCTTCACACTGCTCCCCCATGCCTCCACCTCATGCAGATGTGCCATGCTGGGGGGCATAGGTGGAGTGGAGAGGCTCCCCCACCATGGGCATCAAAAGGCAGAAGAGATACAACCCCCACTTTCCTGATCTCCTCATCTTTAATAAAGACCGGTTTGTAACAGAAGTTGATCCACTATTTTCCTCCCCCTGCTTATCTGGGGTGGGTGAGTTGTGGGGAGTCTTTCATCCAGATTCTGCCCATGGGGGGAACTGGGTCTAGGTATATTCTCACATTGTTTGAGGGTGAGTTCGGAGAGGTAATGTGGGGCCAAGGGAGCAGCGGTTTAGGTTGGAATCCCAGCTGTACCCTTCCTAGCTGTGTGTCCTCAGGAAAGTTAATTAAGCACTCCGTGCCCTTGGTTCAGGGTCTCCCCACTCCATCCCAGCCATCTCTCTTGTTTCTGTTCCTGACCATGGCGCCGGGGTACAGGAAATAGGGCAGGGCCCCTGGGGATCTAGACAGCAAATGGAGATGAGGAGGACCCTTAAGATCCAGCAGCATCTCTGCTATGAGAAGTGGATTCGAGAAGGGGCTCCCATGGTGAGATTCTGCCGATCCCCAGTTATCACGAATCCAACAGGCTTGGGGCAATAGCACAGAGGGTTAGGGATCCTCCTTTGGCACGAGGCTGACCCAGATTCGATCCAATCCCTGGCATCCCGCAGGGCCCCCTGAGCCCTGCCAGGAGTAATTCCTGAGTGCAGAGCCAGGAGTAACTTCTGAGCACACTGGGGTGTGACAAAACAAGAACAAAAAGAACCTAACAGACCCAGAAGGGTAAAAGGGTCAGTGTACCCCAGAAAAATGGCCGAACCCTTAGGGCTGGAGTGATTGTACAGTGGGTAGGGCATTTGCCTTGTATGTGGCCAACCCAGGTTCAATTCCCAGCATCCTATATGGTCCCCTGAGCACCTCCAGGAGTAATACCTGAGTGCAAAGCCAGGAGTAACCCCTGTGCATGGCCGGGTGTGATCCAAAAAGCAATAAATAAATAAATAAATAAATAATGGCTAGACCCATCACAGAGGCTCTGAAGGACTTCCGGCAGGACATTTGTGCCCATAACCACCCACGAGCCAGGGGGAGTCTGCTTTCCTTCACCTTCTCCTCCACCACCCAATCATTTAGTCATTCAGCAAACACCACGCACTGAGCACCTGTGGGCTAGGCACAGAGACATGAAGCCTCACAGCCCCCCCCCCCCGCAGCTTATATTCTGACTGACATGAGATGGGCAACAGACAGGATGCCAAAGCTGTCGAGGGAGTCAGCAGAAGCAACTGCAGGAAGGGCACAGAAGATGGTTCTTGCCAGGCGTCTGTATCGAAACGTGACTCGAGCAACAGGCGGTGACGCCTCGCTTTCATCGACTTCACTCGATGTGAGTAATCTGGCTTCCCCGCAGAGCAGACATTTCATTCCCTGCCGCTTGCCCTGGCCCCACAGGAGATTTGGACTGCAAAACGTGTCTGCACCATGTCCCCAGGGGCCAATTGGAAACGGTTCTGAATCCCCAGGGCCAGGGTCGGGGGGCTGGTGGGGCAGGGAAGGACCTCCCAGTGTAAACATGTGTAGGGACCAGGGAGCAGGTGCCGCGGGTCACAGCCTCTGCTCCAATTCTGGTTCAAATCTCGGGACAACATAAAGTGCTGAGCACCCTCAGGAGTGGCCCCTGAGCACAGAGCCGGGAGAAAGCCCTGGGAACAGTTGGGTGTGCTCCCGCCTAGAAAAAGAAAAATAGGGGCTGGAGCGATAGTACAGCGGGTAGGGCATTTGCCTTGCACGCGGTGGACCTGGGTTCGATTCCCAGCATTCCATATTGTAAAAATTCTCCAGGAAGATTTTTTACAGACTGACTACAGCGCTAAAGCCAGATTAGTCATTCCTAACCCTAGCAGGGTCCAAATCTAGTTATTACCTTTTGGATCATGACAGTGTTTGACCATGACCAAGCTCTTAACTTATAGTTAAGCATTATGGCACTTTGACCAGGCCCATCTCGATGCCAGGGTAGCACATAGCTTACCACTTGCCCTGGTTCCATTCAGTCCCTCGTCGGGACCCTGCTTTTGAGGGCGCTAGGAAGAAAGGGCAGCTGAGGCTTAGGTGAGAGAACAGATGCCCAGGAGGAACATATCATTGAGAGTCATGTTACAAAAGCATAGCATATACTGTCTTCTTGTGTCCATACAAAAAGGACATTGCTCTGAATAAACTATGCAAAGGACTTAGGGAGAAGAGAAAAACAATATTTACAAGTTAACAGAGCACAAAGAAAGAAGTTACAAATAAACACAGAGGAATGGGAGCACTGTGATGGGAGCAACCCAATAAGCTACCTGAGGCTATGCAGGAAGGACAAAAACAGTGTTATCCTTCATCATATGGTCCCCAGAGCAATACCAGGAGTAATTCCTGACTGCAAAGCCAGGAGGTAACCTCTGTGCATTGCCAGGTGTGACCCCCCCCCAAAAAAAAAAGATAAAGGAATTGAGGTTCCAGGTCTAGGACGTGGGATGGGAGGTGAGGCAGAGAGGTGGCGGAACCCTGCAAATATTGACAGCTGGGCTGAGGGGAAAACTGTGCGGCTGGAACCACGGGCAACGGGGGGCGAGGAGGGGGAATGAGGCGTGAAACGGATGAGAATCGCTGCTTCCAGGCTTCACACCATCCATCTCCGCCCTGGGCTGGCTGGCACGGCCGCGTGCTTTCAGCACAGCGGACAGCACCCGAGCCTGAGGCTAGCGCTGTCCGTGGTTCTGGACAAGAAAGGGTAAAGTGGGGGAGGGGCGCGCCGCGCCTGCGTGGCAAGCTGGCCATCTCCAGCCCGGCGCGGCTGCCCAAGTCCCTCAGGGTGGAGCCCTGGTGTCCCCCACCCCGGCATCGCGGGAGAGACCCCGCCCCCAAAGCAAACAAAAAAAGAAATCGGGTCAGGGGCGGCTCAGTGGCAAAACGCCTCCGCCTTCCCACCCATGTCCTGACCGCAGTCCCAAATCCCGCCCACAGGTGTGGCTCACAGACGGGTGGGGTGTGCGACCCCTGGCGATAAGCCCCAAGAATATGGAGCCTCAATATGGGCCTGTGTACAGCACCCCGCCCCCGCTCATGTCCACAGGTCCCCTTCCTCCAGAAAGCCCTCCAGGGAGAACCCACACTGATGAGCACTTGCTGTGTGCTGCACCTGGACCCACACTGTGCATAAACCACACACACACACACACACACACACACACACACGACTCAGCTGCCGTTCCCTTCGAGAGTGAGGCAATCAAATATGGAGTGTTGGAAGTAGGAAGTTCTTCCAAGGGAAAAGAGATACAGTGACGGGGTTTGAGCCTTGGCGAAGGTCAGGGTAGGTCTCTGAAGGCTGGGAACCAGGTGGGAATGGCACGGGGAACAAGTCACAGAGGGCAGATGAGACCTCGGGCGACCATATTCAGCTCTCTAGGTCAACACCCTCGTGGGGGCGTGTGCTGGGGTGTCTGATGATGGGAGGTGTTGCATAGTGAGGCTGCATGTGTGATGGGGGGGTGAGGTGCGTGCATATGTGTGTGTGTGTGTAGTACACTGATGTGGGGCCTGGTTGTGTGGGTGGGTGTCTGGGGGGATGTTCTGGAACCGTGTGCTGGTTCCAGAGGGAGCGAGCAAGCCCAGGAAATCTCAGTTCCTCCCTGCCCCCTAGTCTCCTGGCAACTACACCACTTTGAAATTACCAGGAAACCCAGTTGCCAAGGCAACGGGGGCGTGAGTGGCAGCTCGGGGGCCAGCCTGGGCGAGGATCCCCAGGAGGCCTTTCCCAGGAGGCTCACTCACCTTCCTCCTCCTCCTCTGTCTGTTTTCTCCTCCATCCTACTTGCCTCGCTTCATTCATTCAGCTAAAGAGCTGGAATCCCCCTTGGGGCTCTGCAATATGGAATGGAAGCGAACAGACAGACGGGGGCCAAGCTGTGGAACCAAGGGCTCTTCGTCCCACCTGGTCTCTTTCTCTCCCCGCCCCACCCCCATTCCCCACTTTGGTTCGTGACCCCACCTCCCCTTCGCAAGCCACAGAAAGATCCAGACTCATCTCTCAGAGATGGCTGCTGACGCTCAGGTGCTCTGGGTCCGAAAGATCAGGCAAAGAACGCACCCCCATTCTTCTCTGCTGTCACTGAGTGACATCCGCGGGAACACGCACAATCACGGCCCATCCCAGTGTTCCTCGGAAGAAGCTTAAGTTCCATTTCCCAGATGAGCACACGGAGGCCAGGGCGTTAAAGTCACGTGTCAGATTTGCCTTCAAGTCTGGAGGAGCTCGCAAGAAACGTTCGTGCCGCCTCCCCCCAGGGAAGGATCTTAGCTTCCTGAAACTAGGTTACTTTCGCCTACAAGGGTAGAGCTCGCGAAAGCCGAGAAAACTTTGATGGACAGACACATCCGTGGACCAATAGAAAAGTTACATGCCCTGCAACCAATGAGGCCTCGGCGTGGGCGGAACTAAAACCAGAAAGCGCGCGCTGATTGGCTAGAGATACGTTGCGAATGGCGGAGACGCTGCGGCGTGTGCTAAGCGCCACCAGGTCGGTGGAGGACAATGTGGCTGAGGCCGGGTCGCCTTTGCTCTTGCTCGGCGGTCCAGGCTCTGGAAAGACCACGCTGTTGTTTGCGGCGGCTCTGGAGGCGGCAGGGGAGGGCCGAGGTCCCGTCCTCTTCCTGACGCGGAGGCCGCTGCAAAGCCTGCCCCGCCGATCCGGAGCCGTGCTCGATCCCTTGAGGCTACAGGTAACCGGAGCGGGACCAACCAATGAGTGGCGGGTTGAGGACGGAGCGGCAGTTAGATCGGCCACTGACGCGAAAAAAAGGCCTGCCGGCTCCTCCAATAGGCAGCAGTTTAGCGAGCAGTGGGCGGGACCCGGTAGATCGTCCAATAAGGAAGCCGAGTTGTTGGAAGGCGGCGCGGAAGGGTAAGAGGCGCGACTCAACCTCGGTTCCGCCAGGACGGGAGAGGGTTCCTGCAGCGGTAATTAGTAGTGGAGTGATCACGGTGATTCAATAAATAAAATTATAAAAAAAGGGAAAAAAAATAGTGCAGCGAGACTGGGGAAGAGCTGGGGTCTGGTTTCCCGTTAAAAACCGACCTAGAGGGGCCGGAGAGATAGCACAGCGGGTAGGGCGTTTGCCTTGCACGCGGCTGACCTGGGTTCGATTCCCAGCATCCCATATGGCCCCCTGAGCACCGCCAGGAGTACCTGCTGAGTGCAGTGCCAGGAGTAACCCCTGTGCATTGCCAGGTGTGACCCAAAAAGAAAAAAAAAACAGATGGTGCTTGCTGCCGACCCCTTTTAGTCCCCTGCACTGCAAAACGACTCCAGCACCGCCAGGAGTAAGCCCTGCATAGAATCTAACCCAGCTCTTCTTTCTCTCGCTAGAAGATCCGCTTCCAATATCCACCCTCGACCCAGGAGCTTCTCTGGCTCCTGTGCTCTGCCCATGAGATCCGGGGGCCCGCCCCCTCCCTCCTGCTGCTCGATGGGCTGGAGGAGTACCTGCTGGAAGATCTGGGGACCCAGGACCCCGCTTACCTGGTTGCCCTGCTTTTGGATACAGCGGCCCACTTCAGCCATCGAGTGCGTGGGGGCTGTGGGCTCATGGTGGCCCTGCAGACCCAGGAGGAAAGCGACCGCGGGGATGTGCTGCAGCTCTCTATGCTCCAGAGGTATTTCCCTGCCCAGTGTTGGCTGCACGTAGATGCACCAGACTCAGGACAAGGCCTCCTGCGTGTCAGCCTGAAGCCTGGAGGCTTGGACCCCGGCCAAGAATGGTCTGTGGTCTTCCAATCAGACGGAGAGATGACAGTCATTCCCAGGCTGGATAAGGCTGGTGATCCCTGCACAGACTCTGGTTCCAGGGCTGGAGACCAGCCCTCTGCTTCAGTATGTGAGAACCGCACTATGCCTCAGTTTCTCCAGACCGAGAGACTGACCCCAGGGACACATGCAGATCCAAAGCCTTAACAATTTAATAGTATTATCATGTATATATTAAACCTAACTACCATATTGGGGTATTTTTATTTTACACTTTATTAAAATTGTTTTGTGATAGATAATCTAAGACTTCGTTCTTGCATTGAAGAGTATTAAGATTTAGCCATACATTTTAAAAGATTGTTTTGGGGGGCTGGAGAGATAGCACGGTGGGTAGGGCACTTGCCTTCCATGTGGCTAATATGGGTTTGATCTCTGGCACCCCATATGGGCCCCCGAGCACTGCCACGAATATTCCTGAATGTAGAGTTAGGAATGATTCCTGAACATCACCAGGTATGGCCCAAACTCTACTCCTCCCAAAAAAACAACAAAAAAAGATTGTCCTTTCTCATAATAATTCTGCGGGTGACTGTACCCGAATTTAATCATCATATATTTCATTATCTAGGACTATGAAGGTTCTTGCACTATACGTGCTAAAGCATGCATAATACAGGTGTATGAGGGCTGGAGTCATAGGACTTAGGGAGGGTGCTTGCCTTGCACAAGGCCAACCTGGGTTTCGTCTCCAGCATCCCAGCCAGACTCACAAGCCCGCCAGGAGTGATTCCTGAAGACAGAGACATGAGCAACTCCTGAGCATCGCTGGACATAGCCCCAAAACAAACAAACAAACCCCTTGGAATTACTGTTATCATCATCAGTGAAATAAAACCAAATTGAGGCTCATGAAACCATTTTCCTACCCAGACCACTTGAGTAAACTACATTTCCCAACGTGCCTGCGGTCACAGGGTCATTCCTGTGCAAAGGAATTTCCGAGGAGGACATTGCCCCCACTACTAGGCTAGATGCCTAAAATGGCTCACAGAATCTTCCACTGCTTTCCTCTTTGCTTTTTGACCCACGGGATGCGGAAGAACCATCTATGTGGAGATAATGAAGTTTCTGACCGGAAGTGCCTGGTCTGACTCACCCCGGGCTGCCTACCAGTCCCAGTTGAGATAGGCAGAACCATTGACTCTGCTAAGCACAGTCAGTGGGGAGTGTCTGGTGGTGGCTAGTGTAATGGCTACTGGTGACCTCATTTTCTTAGGGGGAGGGTTCCCACCGCCAGGTCCAGAACGGGGGAGGGTTCCCACCGCCAGGTCCAGAACATCCGACTAAGTGCATGGTTTGATGGCCGCTTGCCCATCAAGCCTGGTGCAGGGTGAAGTATGACTTACGGGGTGTGTGTAGAAACTGATAGGAAAAGACACATACGTGCATTTGTAAGCACTGCAAAGCTGTCGCTCTGGACAGGAAGGATCACACACCCAGCCCCGAGCTGTTGTGTTCTTAGTCTGGGGGTGGGGGGACACACCTCACTGTCTCGGCCTCCCCTGCCACACCAGCTGGGTCCCTAGGCATCTGTGGGCGTCCTAGGAACAGGCCACGTAGCTGGGAGGCGAAGTCTCCGTGGCTGGTCCCAGGCTGTTCTCATAAGGGTTGGGGTAGGGGTCGCCGGAGGGCCCCCCCTGGGCTCCCTGAGAGGCCACTGAACTGTAGTCGGTTGAGATGCCAGAGTCGGATACCAGGAGGTACAGATACTTCAGGTGGGGTGGCGTGGGGGGCAGCTCAGGGGGCTGCGGTCTAGGGCACAGGAGCTGAGAACTGGGGTCCAGGATGGTGTACTCAAAGCTGACCGCTGAGGCCCCCTCGGGCCCAGGCTTTGCGGCCAAGGCAGAGGAACAAGAGGATTCTTCGGAGGCGTCAGCCGAGGCTGCTGGGTCCACAGAGTCCCCAGACTCTGGGAGGTCGTCACCCGAGGGGCTCTGGGGCAGCAGCCACTTGTCCAGCACCAGGTATGAGTCCCGCGCATGCTCAGTGCCTACTGGTTCCAGCAGGGGTCCCTGATTCTCAGTCCCGGGCTCCAGGACAGGTTTCACCCCCCAGCAATGCTCAGAAAGCACTTCCAGGGGAGCAGGAGGGTCTTCCGTGAAGGGGGTGCAGGAGTTCCACCACAGACAGCCATCGTTCTGATACAACCACAGCTGCGGAAACAGCATCCGAGGGTTCAGCCGCAAGAATAGAGAAGGCCCCAGGCCTCCGGGGACCCCCGGCCACCTACCTGGAAATTCCCTTTGTGGGTGGTGAAGAGGCCCTCAAACTCACTCTCGGGGCTTGGGATACCAGGCCAGATCTTCTGCTTCAGCGTCCTGGAGAAGCCAAAAAGAAACGTTTTCCATGGGCGTGTGCCATAGAACGCCAAGAGCCCCGCAGTGCCCGGCCACGGGGCTCTGATCCTCGGTCCTCACCGGCGGTGGGAGAGCAGCGCGAGCACGGCCAGCCCCAGCAGGATGAGCACGAGGATGAGGGAGAGCGTCAGGATGAGCGGGTCCAGGTCTGGGGAAGCGGGAGGAGGTCAAGGGAGGGCCTGCCCCAGGCATCACCCACGACCCATTCCCCCCGCCCCCCATTCCGCCCTGCCCTGAAGCCTCACCGCTAGCCGTCACCAGCGTTGCGGGCTCCGACCAGGCGCTCCAGAAGCCATCGAAGCTGGGCTCGGCCATTCGAGCGCGGACGGTGAAAGTGTAGCGGGTGGCGCCCCGCAGGTTGCTGAGCAAACACTCAGTGCGCCCGTCCAGGATCTCCACCTGTGGGCGGCAGCGGAGTGAGGGGGTAGCCAATAAGCGGCCAGTGGAGACAGACGCGGGCATTTGGGGGCGGGCCTCCAAACCAACCCAGCCAATCCAATCCCGCGAAGGGACACAACCTCTAATCATCACCCGGGAGCTGCGGAGAGGGGGCGGGCCCTGGAGAGCTCAGGGCCAATCAAGGCCACAGTCCGACAGAAGAAGCAGGCCCCAGGGCCAGGGCGCTAGGGCAGTCGGAGGGCGCTTCTCTTGCACGCAGCCCACCCGGCATCCCATAGGGTCCCTCAGCACAGCCAGGAATGACTCCTGAGTGGTCCCTTGAAAATGGGGCGGGGCCAGAGTACGGAGGGGCGGGGGCAAAGGTTACTCCTGGCTCTGAGCTCAGCGGTGCTCAGAAGACCCAATGGGATGCTGGGCCGCCTGCAAAGCAAACGCCCTACTATTGCTCCACCCCCTCGCGTCTCTTTTGTTTATTGGGGGGGGGGATTTGTTTTTGTTATTCTTGGCTCTGCGTTCAGGAATTATTCGTGGCAGTGCTCAGGAGACTATATAGGGTGCCAGGGATCGAACCCTGCTAGGCCTTGCTGTTCTACACTCCAGCCCCTTTCTTTTCAACTCTTATTCTTTATGGTGCCAGGGATCGAACCCAGGACTTCAGCCATGCAAGACAAGTGCTCTACCGCTGAGCCACAGCCTGGGAGTTAAGAAGGAGCGGGAACTCGCGGTCGGTTGACGTCAGATGGGTTGGGGAAAGGGGGCTCGGAAAGATCAGCAGTTAGAGGGTGTGGAGCTGTCGTGGGCACTAGGAAAGAGCCAGGAGTGGCCAAGCCCTGGACTGGGGTCGTGGTGGGGAGTAGGACGGGGCTCCCACGGGGCAGTGGCGACGGGGGCCTCACCCTCTGCGCGCCCCCTGCGGCGCTGCCAGTGGAGATATTCACTTCATAGCGAATGAGGCTGGCCATGGGGGCCCCAGGCGGCGGGAGCCAGCGCAGCACCACGTGGTTACTGTCGTCGGCCCGCCGGGCCAGCAGCCCCACGGGAGGGTCCAGGAGCACTGCGGAGAGGGGTAATTCTGGTGGGCGGAGAGCGAGCCCCTTGCTCGACCGCATGCCCGCCCGGTGCACTTACCCACTTCGTTGATGTGGATGCTCTTTTCGAAGAGAGAAAGGCCGGAGGGGGCCACCTTGACGAGCAGCTTCAGGGGCACGAAGCTCGACGTGTCGGCCGTGGGCAGCGAGCACCAGAAGCGCACCGAGCCGCGGGCCGTGGGCGCCTGGTGCAAGCGACACGCCTTCCAGGGCTCGCCCCTATAGGGCCCCGGGAGAAAGGCAGCGGGTTGAAAAGTGAAGGGGGGACGCGGCGCCAACCCGGGAGCTGAAGTTGCTCGGGTCGGGGGCGCGTTCCGGACACAACCACCAGGGCGCGACCCAGTCCGATGTCCGATGCCTCTTTCCCGGGGCTGGAGGAGCGCCGTTCTAGCCCTGGACTGTTCCGACCCCGACCGCTAGAGGGCGCGTCAAACATCACCCCCCCCCACCCCCCCACCCCCGTTTCCCATCAATGACCTCCAGGGGAGGCGTCATCCAGCTCCCAGCACCCTAAGGCGCCCCAGGCTGCCAACTCCAGGGTGCTGTGGCCCTCACGCACGCCCGCTCCCTCCACCCCGGCAACTCGGGGCGGCGGGGCGGGGGTGCCACGTCGGTCAGCCGGGTCCAACTCACTCGAACTGGTAGGAGAAGCTGTAGTTGTTGGCGCTGACCCCGGCGCTGGCCGCCGCCTCCCAGAAGCACACCAGATCCTCCAGGCGCTCCGTGAAGCACAAGAGCTCTTGGGGACCGCGCGCCGTCAGCATGGCCACTAGCGGTGGGGGTCAAGGGAGGGGAGGGGGTGCAAGGGCTCATCCCGAGACACCCCCATCCTCCCCACCCTCCTGCTGCCTGCGCGGGTAGATAAGCACAGAGCCCCGCCTCTCCTCTCCCCAGAGGGGCCCCTCGAGGGGTCTGCGGAGGTGGAGCCTTGGAACCCCGGGAACAGGTTGCTCGCGCGCTCTCCCCACCCCTCCCCACCACCCCATGAGGGCAGCGCTCGGCCGGCCGCTGCCCCGCCCCTGCTCCCGACCGCCCCGTGGGTGCGGGTGTGCGGGGGGCGGGGCCCCCTATCGGCCCCCGCAGGCTCCGGGATGCCCGATAGCGCCAACCGTGCCCCCCACCTCGCCCCCTCTCTGTACCGGCTGGGACAGGCGTCTGGCGCGCGCGCCCCGCCAACCCTGTTTACAGTCCCGCGGCGCGGCCCTCCGCTGGGCACGGGACTCTCTGGTCCCCACCCGGAGGGTGCACCAGCCCCTTTCTGCCCCCGCGGGGGACACACGACCGCCTCCAGACCAAGTGATACCTCTGACCCACTACAACTGACCTTACGCCCAGCTTCTGCCCCAGGTCCGAGTTGGGGACCTAGGTCCCCTCCCTTCTCGGCTTACCCCGCCAGAACCCAATGGAGGGGTTCAGTCCCCTGAAATTCCGAAAGCCAGGGAGGGTCCAACACACAGATCCAGTCCTACCTTTGCTCTCGAACTTGGAGTCCGTGGGGGTGGGAGGGGGAGCCCAGGCGGCCCCAGCGAGGAGGAGGCAGAGGGAGCCAACTCCGGGCCAGAGGGGCAGGCCCCGGGGGTCCATGATACAGCCCCAGGGCTCCGGGCCCCCCTTCTTCCTTCCCTGGCACAGTCCACAGCTGGGTCAGCAGCTGCTCCCTCCGCCGGACACAGCTGACCAGCCCCTTCCCGGCCAGTCGCCTCGAAGTGGCAGCTCCCTGGAGGGGGCGGGACCAGCATTCAGCCTGGCTGAGATAAGGGGGAGGTGACTGCCCCGCAGGGCCTGGCAGAAGGGGGCAGGGGACCCAGTGGTTGCTGGGGCAGGGAACAGTTCATCCTTTCCTGCTGTGTGACATAGGGCCAGTGACTTGCCTTGTCTGAGCTTTGTCCTCATCTGTCAACTCCTGACACGCACACAGAACATTCCAGAAATGTAAACTAGTGCTGGGACTAATCCCCATCTCTGGCCAGTCTGGGGAGGAATAAGATAATCATCTTGAACGTGACTAGTGGGAAATCGACCAGAAGAAGAAATAGAAATATCACATGATTTCACCTTCCGCGGTTGGCTTAAGGAAATGGTGCCAATGAACAGAATAAAATCAGAATAAGAGGCCAGAGCGACAGGACAGTGGGAAGGGCGCTTGCCTTGCATATAGCCGACCCTGGTTCAGTCCCTGGCATCGCTTATGGTCCCCGTTGCCTGCCAGGAGTGACCCCACAGGGGTAAGTCCTGAACAGCGCTCAGGGTATGGGTCAAAAAACAAAACAAAGGGGGCTGGAGTGATAGCACAGCGGGTAGGGCGTTTGTCTTGCACGCTGCCGACCCAGGTTCGATTCCCAGCATCCCATATGGTTTCCTGAGCACCTTCAGAAGTAATTCCTGAGTTCAGAGCCAGGAGTAACCCCTGTGCATCGCCAAGTGTGACCCAAAAAGCTTAAAAAGAACAAAAGAAAAGGTTATAAGGGCTGAGGATGTGACTCAGCAACAAAGTACTTCTTACACGCATGCAACTGGGTTAGATCCCTCACAGGTCAAAACATAAAAAAATAGGTACCGGATATAGATCTGACCAACCAGGATACGATGATTCTCGGGAGCAAAGTTATTGGCTCAATAAGTCACGTGACACAAACTGGTCCAATGGACTTTTGCTCTAGGATTAAGCTGGAGATTGTGGGAAAGGGAGGGTGGAGATGATGAGGTGCTCTCTGACAGTGACCCCAGGAGTTGTAAGCCTGACTTGGAAGGGGACTGTTTCTACTTTTGTTTTTGTTTTGGGGTCACAACCGGCGATGCACAGGGGATACTCCTGGCTCTGCGCTCAGGAATTACCCCTGGCGGTGCTCAGGGGACAATATGGGATGCTGGGAATCGAACCCAGGTTGGCCGCATGCAAGGCAAACGCCCTACCTGCTGTGCTATTGCTCCAGCCCCAGGGGTTACTCTTGACTGTGCTCAACGGTCACTCTTGGCGGTGCTCATGGGACCTGGGATGCCGGGGATGGAACCTGTGTCAGCTATATTCAAGGCAAGCACCCACCCTTCCTGCCTGCTCTATTATTGCTCTGGCCTTTTTTTTTTTTTTTGCATATTTTCCCTTTTCTCTCTCTTTGAGCCACCTCCTGTGACATTCAGGAGCTGCTGGCAGTAGTGTCCTGGGGACTGTATGCCGTGGAGCATCAAACAGAGGCCCCCTACACACACGTGCATGCTCCAATCAGTTGAATTATCTCTCTGACCCCAAACTACAATGTCTGCTAGCAGAGATCCAAGTAAGAGCATCACTAACTAGACATTTATTTATGTTCTTGCATCCCAAATGCACAGGACGCTCCCTGGCTTCAGAAGGTGCTCATCCTCCCAGCTTGGTGCTCAAGTACTCAGAGAGCACAAACCATCCGATCCAAGGAGATTCACGCCACATCTTCATTCTAGCCATCAGGAGGCAGAAAAGGGACATGGGGGAGGTCACACCCCTCCTCTTGAAGGTCAGGGCCTGGAATTTGTCCACATCCTTCCCCTTTGCTTCCCATTCGCCAAGACACAGTCACATGGCCACATCATGCTGTCCGGGTGACTGAAAATGCCCTTTTTTGACTCCGGCTGGACACATGAAGATCAGCAGTTCCTCTGGGACAGAACTGGGGGCCTCTCACTCTCAGAGTGAAATTCGAACCAAGAAACAGATCGCAAAATGACAGTACGAGCCCCTAGATCCAGCTGTGCCTGAAGCTGAAGCTGGTCGCAACGGGTTGCTCAATGACTTGAGCTGTTGGCATCTAGGACTGTTTAGGAAGGCAGGTTGGAATTTGGGCCACTGGAAACAGAAAGAACCCTGGTGACTGAGGAGAGGTGGAGGGGTCTGGTGCCTGGCTCAGAATTGAGCTCGAGCTCCACTGTGATGGTGGAAGACTGTGTTTGGACTGGTCCAACTGCCACTTCATTCCCCACCTTCTCTGTTGTTTTTAGAGGGTGTCACATCTAGTGGCGCTCAGGGACTTGTCCTGGCCCTATGCTCTGGAGTGACCCCCAGTGGTACTCAGTGGCGTATATGTAGCATCAGGCAATGACCCAGGGTTTGGCTGAGTGCAACGGGAAGTTTTAACCCTGGTACAATCTCTTCGATCTTGGCCTGGAGAGATAGAACAGTGAGTAAGGTACTTGCCTTGCATGTTGCTGACCCGGGTTCAATCCCGGCATCCCATAAGGTCCCATGAGCACCACCTCAGAATCAGAGTGATTTCTGAGTTCAGAGCCAGGAGCATCACTGGCTGTGGCCCCTAACCAAACAAAAAGAACAATCTCTCTGGTCCTGACTTTTCAGAAATGTTTATTTCTCTCTTGGAGTGTGAACACGGGCAGCAGCGCAGGCATTATCAAGGCTGACTCCTGTTTCATAACGTTGGTCACGATTTTTGTTCATTCCCGTGGCTTCGGGAGTTACATGATTCCTCTGGGAAGGGATCTGACCCCCACCCCATCCCTCCCCCTTCTCCTACAGGATGGAGCCCCCCACTGGCCGCCTGTAGCATGATGCCTTTGGGATCTGGTTCCGTAAGGAGCAAAGGGAGGGAGTTGAATGAACTAAAGTTAGGGGGGCAGTCAGAAGGCAAGGGGGTGCACAGAGCTCTCTTGGGGAGCAGAATTTTTTCAGGAGTATAGAGCCCCCTCCTGTCTCTGTGGTTCTAAGGGGCCCCAGGCAGCATCTCAGGTTGGGGGAATGGGGGGAGTGGACCTGGCACCCCCTCTCCGCCGTAGCAGAAAGTCACCGGGTGCGGCTGGACTCATGGCATAGAAGACGTTGGCGTTGTCCGGAATCAGGAGCTCTAGGCAGGGGCAGAGACACAGGTTAGAGGCTCACCATCCTCACAACCCCCCCTCCCTCATCGCCTGTCCTCTCCGCCACTCACCCTGTGACTTTCTTTTTTTTTTTTTTTTTTTGCTTTTTGGGTCACACCCAGCGATGCACAAGGGTTACTCCTGGCTCTGCACTCAGGAATTACTCCTGGTGGTGCTCAGGGGACCATATGGGATGCTGGGAATCGAACCCAGGTCGGCCGTGTGCAAGGCAAACACCCTACCCGCTGTGCTATCACTCCAGCCCCCACCCTGTGACTTTCTGCAGCCAGGCTGAGCACCTGGGTGCTCCTCCCCAGGGAATCCGCCCTCCTCCCCACTTGGCGCCCCCAAAACCTCCCTACACCTCCCTCTGCCACCCACCCCCCAGTCTGGACAACCTCTTGCGCTTCCTCCAGTCCCCCACCCCACCCCCAGAACCCAGACAAGTGGGAACAAACTCAGGTCCCTTGCCTCCTGCAAAGGACTTTCTGCCTGCATTGATTCTGTCTCCCCAACCCCACCAGTTCCCTGCCCTGAGCCTGCTTTACTGGTGGTACTCAGGGCTGACGTCTGGCTCTACACTCAAGGATCCCTCCTGGTGGGCTCAGGAAACCACCCAGCATGCCAGGGATCAAAGCTGGGTTGGCCATATGCAAGGCAAGTGCCCTCCCATTGTGCTATGGCTCCGGCCCCCAGCGCACCTGCTAAGTTCAAGTTCTCATCGTGAACTCGGACGGACACCTTCAAACTCCCAGCCTGTCTGCACCACTCAGACTCCCCCTGGCCCGATTTGGTATTTTGTTTGGGGGTCACACCCAGCGGTGCTCAGGAGCTACTTTGAGCTCAGTGCTCAGAGGTCATAGCTGACGGTGCTCAGGGGGACCAGTAGGTGCCAGGGAGTGGTGAACCCCCACATTCTGCATGACGAGTCTGTGCTCAGCTCATCTCCTTGCGCTTCTCTTTGGCCCCCGACCCTGAATTCTGGGGATGCATGGCCTCTTCCATGCCAAGTCATTTTGTTTGCTTGTTTTTTTTTAGATTTTTTGGTTTCCTTTGGGGTCACACCTGGTGATGCTCAAGGGTTACTCCTGGCTCTGTAATTACTCAGGAATTACACCTCAGGGAACCATATGGCCAACCAAACCCTGGTTGGCCACATACAAGGCAAATGCCCTCCCTGTTGCACTCTCATCTAGCCCCTGTTTGCTTGTTTTTGTTTTCAGGCCATACCCTGCAGTGCTCAGGGCTTAATCCTGATTCTGGGCTCAGAAATCATTCCTGGTCATGCTCAGGGGATGCTATGAGATGCCGGAGATCGAACCCGTATCGACCAAGTGCTGTCCTATTGGTCCAGCCCCTCCCATGCCAGGTTTCGAGAACTTTGGGACCGGGTGATAGTCCTGAACAAACTTGCACATCCTCCGATGCAAGCCCAGCGGCCCCTGAGGAACCTCTGCCCACCACCTGCCGTCCCTGCTGTCTTCTCACCCTTGTCCCCAGGAAGGACCTGGAAAAGCTGATAGTCTTGAGGCCTGGGCTGGGCCACGCTGTGCTTCTGCAGAGCCCGCTGCACCACGCTGGGGGTCTTGTCCTGGCTGGTGAGCTGGGGGAGGCAGGCCGTCAGGGGCACAGACTTGCTCCTGGATGGGGCCTCCCCCGCCCGGCTGCACTCACCAAGATGCTTCGGTACAGGTTCCCGTGGTCATTGTCAATGCTGACACGGATGATTCGCGCCTCGGAGCCTGGCTGCCCCAGGAGTGAGAGAAGCGGGCCACTTGGTGACCGGGCACTAGCCGCATCCGGGCATGGAGGCAGCTGCAGGCAGCGGGGGGTGGGGGTGGGGGCGTGCTGAGCAATGGGAGAGCTGAAGGGCCCTCCACCTCAGGGAGGCACTCAGCGCATTCTCCTTTCGATCCAGAGCAGTGAGCATGTGCACGCCTGCCCACATGCTCACAGCCCCACACGTACACAATTTTCAAAGCCGTTACCAGTGACAGCTAAGCACATGCTCCCGTATTCCCATGCAAGCAACGTCCCCCAGGCACTGCATAAGTGCATCAGCATCACCTAAAACAGGTTCAACCCCCAAACCCAGTGCTGCCCTCAGAGGCATGCGAACACTGTGGTTAGCAGTATTCCTGTGAGCACTCTATGATCACAGCCTCGAAAGGAGCATGACCTGTAGCGAGCAGCAGTGTGCGAGGGACCCAGGCCAAGGGTGCAGTATCGCTTGGGGGGAGGGAGGAGAGTGATTGCATGTAGGAGCACTGTGAATGGGTGAGGGGATGTGTTCTCCCACAGACCACCGTCCCTGGTGCTCAGCAAATGTCAGGAACAATCATCTTGTACACCCCCAACCCTACATACACGGGCTCACAGATGCACATGGACACATATGCCAGCACTCATGCACACACGTGCACATACAGGCACATGCATATCTGCCCAGCCCTGCTACCTTAGTGGTAAGTTGCTGAGGTCCAGGAGAGGCTGGGGGGCTTCCAGGAGGGGGGTCCCTGTTTCTCGGACTGGAAGGGGGGGAACCTGGAGGCAGACTGAAGGAAAGTCAGAGTTGGTAATGGGGGGGTCAGCTGCCCCAACTTTGACCCACCATCTCCATGTGGTCCTTACCTGGAGGTCGGGGAGGAGGGCTCTCCAGGACTCCCACTGGGGGAGGAGCCTCGCTCTCGAGACAACTTCCTGGCAGGGACAGGGAGGAGGTTCCGGACAGACTCAGCGCTCAGAGCAGCCCCAACCTCTGCCCTCGTCGCCCCAACCCACACACAACCCGAAACTCACGCACTGAGGCGCTTGGTGAGGCTGATCCGCCGCCGGACGCGTGGGGAGCTGGGGCAGGAGGCGGCGGGGGGCTCGATGACCCGGGAGACTCGGTAGCTGGGGGAGGAGGCGTAGGGGCGGGGACACAGGAATGAGGGGGGCCGGATCAGAATGTGTGGGAGCTGGAGGGGCCGGCTGGGAAGTGGGGCCTGACCAGGCTCAGAGTGCTCTGGAGGAAGTGAGGAGTGACATGAGGTCAAGGGCAGACGGTCACTGGGGACCGAGGACACAGGGGTGGCTGGAGACCTCGGGTCTCCAGTGGTGTTGGGGGTGCACAGGATGAGGAGGAAGCAGAAGGACATCGTGTGGCGTTGACTTGAGACTGTTCCAGAAGGTCAGACTTGGAGGCCAGATGTTGGTCTGGCTGATGCCAGGTCCCAGAGGTGCCCAGAGACCGTGGACGCATGCCCAGGGCCAGGGTGGGGCTCACCTCTGCTCCTCGCTGAGCTGGCGCTGGGCACGCAGGGCGGCTAGCACGGGCGGCCGCGGGCTCAGGCAATATCGGTCACAGCGTCTCTGCAGCTGCTGGATTCGGGCCAGCACCTCCCATTCCTGGGGGTGCAGCTCTGAGACCCTGCCCCCAAGCCCCCGCCCTGCACCCCCATCCCAGGGCCCACTCACCTTCCTCCGCTTCTCAAAGTTGATGAGGTCCCCCTAGGGGCAGACGGGACATCTCAGGGGAAGCCTCCAGGGTGAAGGGTCAAGAGTCAAGGATCAAGGACAAGGAGGAGAGGACCGGGGTCAGGAGGGCCGTGGGATCAAGGGTGGGGGAGGCTGAGTGTCAGGGGTCAAGTGTCAGGGGTCAGACCTCCAGCATGTCCGGCAGGGCTGTGTCCAGCATGACCAGGTCCGTAAGAAAGGTGCCAAGGTAGGGCACAGGGCCGGGTGGCGGTGTCTGCGGCCCCCAGAGCTTGGGTCAATCCGGGCCACCGCCAAGACCATCTCGCTGTCATGCACTTCCCAGAACCCCCCAATCCACACCGCCCACTCACTGAGGTCGGGCTTCCTGAGGGGGTGTCTTCATCTTGGGGTCCCTCAGAAGCTTCCTCCTGGGAAGAGGGGAGAGCTGAGAAGGATGGGAATATGTTTCTTTCAGCAGGCGCATGAGGGCTCGTTCCCAGTGACCTTGGCACCCAGCAACGCTGGGGACTGGCTGGGCCACATCCAGGGATGCTCACTGTAGGAAGGTGTGTCACCTGGTCATATTTCTTTTCTTTTTTGGGGGGCCAGGGGGTGTTGGGGTGGGACCCAGAGTCGCTCAGGAATTATTCCTGGTTTGGTACTTAGGAGTGGCCCCTGGTGGCACTTGGGGGCCTAGGTGGTGCTGGGGACCAAACTCGGGTCCACCATGTGCCAGGCCGGCACCTTCCCTGCTGGCCTATCCCCATAGCTTCAGGTTCAGCCATCCAAAACTCTGCTTTGGGGGCTGGAGAAATAGCACAGCGGGTAGGGTGTTTGCCTTGCACGCGGCCGACCTGGGTTCGATTCCCACCATCCCATATGGTTCCCCGAGCACCGCCAAGAGTATTTTGTCAGTGAAGAGCCAGAAGTAACCCCTGAGCATCGCCAGGTGGGACACAAAAAGGAAAAAAAAAAAAGCAAAACCCTGCTTTGTGGCAGCAGGGACAGCCTGAACAGGGCAGAGACGGGGGCGCAGGGAGATGCTGAGTGGAGGGTCGTCTGCCGGGAAGTCAGGAGCAAGCGGGGCTCCCTCTGCCCTGGCGGGCCCATGTGGCCTGGCCAGAGCTTATCTAAGTCAGTCTGCTTTCTCTCCCCTCCCCCTGCTGGGGCTGTGCCTGGAGCTCCTGGTATTTGTTGAAGGAATAAATAAAGCAGCGGGCCAGGGGGCAGGCACCAGATAATGAGGGCACCGTGGGAGAGAGGCTTGGACACAAACAAAACCCAAGGTCATCCATTGAAAAAAGAAAAAAAAATTTTCTGTTTAGGTCCACCTGGGGATTCTCAAGGGCTACTCCTGGCTCTGCACTCAGGAACTACCTCTGGTGGTGTTCAGGGGACCCTATGGGATGCCAGGGATAGAACCTGGGTCGGCCACATGCAAGGCAAACACCCTACCCACTCTACTATCGCTGCAGCCCCCCCAAAGGAAAAAATGTTTTCCTTTTTTTTTTTTTTTGCTTTTTGGGTCACACCCGGTGATCAGGAATTATTCCTGGTGGTGCTAGGGGGACCATGTGGATGGGATGCTGGGAATCAAACCCGGGTCCGCCGCATGCAAGGCAAATGCCCTACCCACTATACTATAGTTCCAGCCCTTGTTTTCCTTCTTTGTATCCCCACTCCTAGAGATGCTGGGGGCAGATGCGGCGGGGTCCATGCAGGTACTGGTGCTCAAAACCAGGGTTCCCACATACAGCATATATGCTCCAGCAGTGCTAGCTCCTGCCCCCTGCCCCAGAACATACTTGAAGGGAGAGAAAGGACAAAATTTTCTTCTTTTTTTTTTTTGGTCATGCCTGGCGATGTGCAGGGGTTACTGCTGGCTCAGGCACTCAGGAATTAATCCTGGTGGTGCTCAGGAGCCATATGGGATGCTGGGAATTGAACCTGGGTCGGCCACGTGCAAAGCATATGCCCTCGCCGCTCTGCTATCGCTCCAGCCCCAGGACAGAGGTTCTGATGGCTACAAGAGACGGCCCCCTACCTGGGAGAGAATCTCCCGGCTGCTCAGGTGGTTGTCCTCATCTGAGAAAATCTGCGAGAGTTTCCTGAAGGTGGATAAAGGTTCCCTGCGAGGGCAGGAGGGGGGTCAGGGGTGGGGGGCCGAAGTCAGAGTCGAGGTCTGGTCCCTGCCGCCCCACCACCACCAGGCTCACCGGCTCACGGCCCCCCAGCTGCGTTTGAGCCGGTAGATGGGGTTGGACTGCAGTGCCGAGAGGATGGCCCTCAGCGAGGAGAAATTGCGAAGCTCCCGGCAGCGCTGCGGGGAGCAAGAGGGAGCTGGTCAGCGCCTGCCACTGGGGAGCCTTGATTACTGGACCCTGGATAGTCTAGGGTTTGTGTGTTTACTGGTTTTAACAGGTGGGCTGCAACCAGCAGGGTGTTGGGTTCACGCCCAGCGGTGCTCACTCAGGAGGGCATCTTGGCATGCTGGGGATCAAACTTGGGAAATCTGGTAAGCAAAGATACTCTCCCCGGCCAGATCCTGTGGATTTTTTTCCTTTTTTGGGGGGGGCACATCTAGTGGGGCTCAGGGGTTCCTCCTGGCTCTGCATTCAGAAATTACTCCTAAGTATACGGAGGACCATATGGGATGCCAGGGATCAAACCCGGGTCAGCCGTGTGCAATGCAAACAACTTCCCCAGACCCTGTGCTTTCTGAGCCCAGGTCGGACCACCACGTTGTGTCCTACACAGAAATGTCAGCTCCTGTCAGTCTGACGAGCTCCTAGAACCTGGCCCCGGAGTCCTCCACCCCCCACAATTCCCAACTGTCCTCTGGCTGTAGCTTGTGCCTCAGACTTCGGCTTCCCTTTATTTGTAAGTTCTTTCTGAATCCTAAGGCAGTTAACATCTTCTGAGACTACACTACCTCTCTGAACCCCAAATCTCAACCCTGTAGTCCCTCAACCACCCCAACCCTGGATACATGTGCAAACTCTCTCCCACTTTTTTCCCCACCACACCAAGCTGAGGCTGACTCCTGGCTCTGTGCGGGAGATCACCCCTAGCAGGGCTCAGTGGACCATATGTGGTGCCACGCATTGAACCCCCAAACAGAAAAATAATTTTTGGGATTAAATAATCCCCATTACCACATGCAAGGCAAGCATCCTTCCCACTGGACTATGGCTCTGGCCCCCGACTCCTTTATTTTCAGGGGGAAGGTCACACCCAGTGGTGTTCAGGGCTTAGTCATGACTCTGTGCTCAGCATTACTCCTGGCAGAGATCAGGGGCCATACAGAATGGGCAAGGCAAAAGTCCCACCTGCAGTACTATCACTCCTGCCGCTCATTCACTTCTTTTTATATACATGTCACTGTCACTGTCCTCCCGTTGTTCATCGATCTGCTCGAGCGGGCCCAGTAACGTCTCCATTGTGACAACTGTTACTGTGTTTGGCATATCGAGTACCTCACAGGGAGCTTGCCAGGCTTTGCCCAGCAGCGAGATCCTCTTGGTAGCTTGCCGGGCTCTCCGAGAGGGGCAGAGGAATCGAATTCGGCTCGGCCATGTTGGCCGCATGCAAGGCAAATGCCCTACCCACTGTGCTATTGCTCCAGCCCTTTGATTCCTCAGCATTACTCCTGGCAGAGATCAGGGGCCATACAGAATGGGCAAGGCAAAAGTCCCACCTGCAGTACTATCACTCCTGCCGCTCATTCATTTCTTTTTATATACATGTCACTGTCCTCCCGTTGTTCATCGACTTTCTCGAGAGGTCCCAGTACCGTCTCGATTGTGATACTTGTTACTGTGTTTGGCATATCAAATACGTTATGGGGAGCTTGCCAGGCTCTGCCGTGCGGGCGAGATACTCTCGGTAGCTTGCCGGGCTCTCCGAGAGGGGAGAGGGGCGGACGAATCGAAGTCAGGTCGGCCATATTGGCTGTGTGCAAGGCAAACGCCCTACCGCTGTGCTATCGCTCCAGCCCTCAGCCCTTTTATATACATACATATTTAAAAGTTCAAAACTATTTTTCTGTTTGGGGGCCACACCCGGCAGTGCTCAGGGCTTACTTCTGACAGGCCTCAGAGGACCAATAGAGTGCCAGAGATTGAAGCTGGGTCACCTGCATGCGAATTCAAGGCAAGTGCCTGATCCCCTGAATTTATCTTTCTGGCCCCTGCTTCACCCCTTGAGCCCTGTTCAAGGAGCCCGAATTCCTGCTCTCCCTTTCTGTCCTCGGGCTCCTGCCCCGCCCGTACACATATTTCTCAGGAACCCCGCCCCCTGCTCTGGGATCCATCGCTCCTCCAGTCCTGCTCACTCCTCAATCCCCAGTCGCAGGCTTTCCTGGGCTGCCTTTAGACACCACCCAAGCGCAATCCTCCTCGCTTACTTTATACCCCTCTTTCTGCTGACCCGCTTACTTTCACGGCGTCCGGATCCCGCTTGTGTCCCGCCCCCATCAAGGCCCCGCCCCATTCCCTGCCCGTAAGACCAGCCCCGCCCCTGCCCGCCCAATCACGCCCACAGTCCCCGCCCACAAGCTCCAACCCCGCCTCCGTTATTCCAGTCACGACCACAAAGCCCCGCCCAGTTCCTCCAGCCCCGCCTACAACAGCCCCGCCCCAACCCCACGCCCCGCCCTTCCAGCCCCGCCCCCAGCATCACGCTCCGCCCCGTCCCTCCAGCCCCGCCCCCACAGCACGGCCAAACCCCTGCCCAGCTGCTCAGGACGCACCTGTGCGATGCGGATCCATTTCTCCAGCCGCTGAGCCCTCTGGGGGGCAGCCAGGCCCGGCTCTCCGAGTACCGAGCCCAGCACGCAGCCCGTTACCGTGTTGAACTGCGTCACTGTGGCGCGCACCGTGGGGGCGGTGCCCGCAGCGCCGGGCCGGTCCCGTTGCGACCACACGGAGCCCAGGCACTCCCAGGGCCGCACGCGCGAGAAGAGCTCCTGGAGGGAGTGTCCGATCCCGTCTCAGTGGAACCGCCTCCTCCCCCCCCCACACTGCACCCCTCAACCCTGCCTCCTCACCACGTCCAGCAGGGTCAACTGCTCGGCCACTTCGTCCACACTGAAGTCCAGGAGCTCAGGGCCTTCCCGTACCAGTTCATCCTCCTCCTCCAGGCAGCCTTCCTGGTTGTCTGAAGTTGGGGTCTGGGCAGCACCCTGAGGTCCTGAGAGAGCATTAGAAAGTGTTGGGAATCAGGACTGGCTGTGTGACCCTGGGAATATTCCTCAGCGTCTCTGAGCCTCATTTGCTCCTTATTTTATTGTGGGGGAGTGGACTTTAGCACCCCTGGCAGTTTTAGGGGCTACTCCTGGCTCTGTGCTGCGGCTACCCCAAGTGCTGCCAGGAGTGATCCCTGAGCACAGAGCTAGGAAAAAGCCTTGAGCATCACCTGGCGTGGCCCAAATCCTCCCCCCCCCCGAAATTCACCCCAAATAAAGATATGCTGTTTCTAGCGGCACATTCAGCAGTGCTCAGGGATACTCCCAGTTCAGTGCTCCGATGTCACTCATGGAGGTGCTGATCCTGCTGTGGTCTGGAGTTTTTGATTTTAAATCGTAACTTGTATTAAGTATTGTGGGGTCCTCCTAAACTGGAAGAGACAAACCTAAACCACAGGGCAAAAGGCACTGAGGGAGGGCAGAAGTGATGGTCCAGCAGGCAGTGTAATTGTACATGGGTGACCTGAGTTCAATCCCTGGCACTCCGTAGGTCCCCTGAGCCAGCCGGGGGTTGTGGGGGGGTGATCCCTGAGCCCAGAGCCAGGCTGTTGCACCCCAAAAACAAAAACAAAAAAAAGCAAACAAAAAGGCACTTAGGGAACCTGAGGGATAAAATAGTTGTAACTACTGGTTGCTACTTTGTAAAACAGAAAGGGAAGTGGCTACTTTACTCTGAGGATTAATGAGAGGAATTAGGGATGAAGAGGTCCACCGGAAAAGGATCAAAGGGAACCAGATGGCACACAGCAATATCTCTAAACGGGAGGCAGTTCCTCACTCAACGCATTAAGAAGGTTGTTTTGGGTCTTTGTTTCTGGACCACACTGGCAGTGCTCAAGGGTTACTCCTGGCTCTGCAGTCAGGAATCACTCCTGGTGGTGCTCGGGGACGAAAAAGGGGTGCTGCGGATAGAACTGGGGCCTGGCAGGTGCAAGGCAAGCGCCCTACCAGCTGTTCTACAGCTCAGGCCACCTAGGGAGATGCTCTTACCCTGGGGGTTAAAACTGGACCAGACCCAGGTGGTCTTCTCAAGTGCCCTTTCACACTGTGGTATTTAGAGTTGCTACTAGCTCCAGAGCCCTTTGGGTAAAGAAAAGAAAGGGAAAGGAAAGGAAAGGAAAAAATAAAGGGAAAAGATCCAGGGGGAAGAAGAGAGGAAGAGTAAAAGGAGGGACTGGAGAGACAGGACAGAGGGGAGGGCACTTGCCTTGCACATAGCCAAGCTGAGTTTTTGTTTGTTTGTTTGTTTTTGCTTTTTGGGTCACACCCGGTGAAGCACAGGGGTTCCCTCTGGCTCATGCACTCAGGAATTAACCCTGGCAGTGTCCGGGGGACCATATGGGATGCTGGCAATCGAACCCGTGTCGGCCACATGCAAGGCAAACGCCCTACCCGCTGTGCTATCACTCCAGCCCTGCAAGCTGAGTTTTATTCCTGGCACCCCATATGGTCCCCCAAGCACCGTCAGGAATGATTTCTGAGTGTAGAGCCAGGACTAACCGCTTACCATTGCTGGGTGTGGCTCTCTTCTCCCCCCAATCACAATCACAAATCATCCTGTTATTCGTCGATTGCCTTGAGCAGGCCCCAGTAACGTCTCTTTCATCCTAGCCTTGAGATTATATTCAAGGCTCTTTAGGAGAATGAGACCCATCATTGTTACTGGTATTTGGCATATTGGGTACGCCCGGGGAGTTTGCCAGACTCTGCCGTGTGGGCAGGCCACATTCGGTAGCCTGCCAGTTTGTCCAAAGTAGGAATGAGATAATAAGATGTCACAATAAGATGTCGCGTGGCTGCGAATGCGGCTGCGCGGTTCCAGGAGCTGGTTTTTATAGTCTCTGAGTCTTGGCCGTTGATGGGATTACATGGTGCCAGGGGGCCAGTTGGTGGGTGTGACCCCCGCCTACTGGAATCCTCCCCCCAAAAAAGGAAAAATGAAAGAAAGGGGATAATGAGAGCTGGAGGTGGGGGTGGTCAGCGGGGAAAGCACAGAGACCTGGGTTTGATCCTCAAAATCACAGAAAAGAAGGGAAGGGGCGGAGTGATAGTACAGTGGGTAGGGCGTTTGCCTTGCGTGCAGCCGACCCGAGTTCAATCCCTGACACCCTACATGGTCCTCCAAGCATCACCAGGAGTAATTCCTGAGTGAAGAGCCAGGAGTAACCCCTGAGCATCGCTGGGTGCGGCCCCCCCCCAAAAAAAAGAAGGGAAGAAAAAGGTAAGAAGGGTAAAAGAGGGCTGAGCAATAAGTACTGCCAATAGGGCACTTGCTTTGCACATGGCTGACTCGAGTTTGATCCCCACATTCCATAGGGTTTCCCAAGCACTGCCAGGAGTAATTCCTGAGCATTTTTGGGTGTGGACCCCCAAAATAAAACAATAACAAAATTAAACGGGGCAGGGTGGGAGAGGTGCCCAGCAGCCGTCTGAGGAGGGCACAGGGAACACACAGTGGTATGGAGGAATTGTGCACACATTCTCCTCCCTCCTCCCGAGTTTTCTGCAAGAGGCTGCAAACCCTTCCGATCAAGGACTACAGTGTTTGCCCACGCCTGCGTCAGTGGCGAATACCACTGATGCCTGTCTTTCAGAGTAAGGATCGGTGGTAATGAAGTAGCAGTCTTGACCCAGCCTGAGTGTTTATTTCCTTAGCGACTGGCCTTCCTCTGGGTACTGGGGAGCCCCAAGCCACTGTTAGGTGCCAGAACTCGAAGCTAAATATTTTTGGAATGAGTACAGAGTTACTGGGATGCTTTTGTCTCTGTTTGCGCTCCAGCATTTCCTGGTCCAGGAGCAGAGCTGGGGAGCCCTCAAACACATCAAACAAAATGGGGCCGAAGAGTACAGAAGTAAGGTGCTTGCCTTCCATGGCACCACCTGGGGTCCCCCCCAGTACCACGAGGAATGATTCCTGAGCACCACCAGGTGTGACACCCCCCCTAACCCACCGTCAGAACATTAAGTAGCAGCTGATCTGCAGCTTCGCGAGGGGAGCGGTTGGGGGAACTCAGAGAAACTCCAGCTCGGGCCACCAACCCTCACCTGCACCCCAGGCCTGGTGAAGAGGCTGCAGGTCATTCTTGGGTTCGGCCGCTTCCAGGAAATCTCGCCGCAGCTTCTCCGCCTCCTGGGCCTCGGGGCCCCCTGGGGCCGCCCAGTCCAGAAAGGTGCAGATGCTGCCGAGGTTCGAGTAGGCAGGGGGGTCCCAGAAATCCGAAGGGTGGTCCCGGAGCCAGGACCCCAGCACTGACACCACAGCCCTGGGCGAAGGGGCGTGGCCTCACAGTGGGCGTGGTCTCGGAGGGGCGTGGCCTCAAGATCTGGATCTCGAGGCGCCCCTCCATCCCCAGGCTCGCTTTCAGTTCTGGGGTGACCCCCGCCCCCCCCCCCCCAGGCTGGCCTACCCACCTCAGGTTCTTATTGAAAGTCGGGTCGCCGTCTGCCTCTGGCTTTCTTTCTTCCCTGGGAAAGAGGCCCCGCACCCACTCAGGTGAAGAATCCGGGGAGCAGAGGGCGCTTTGGGGTAGGTGCTAGGCGTTGTGGGGCAGGGAGGGCAGGGATCGCCCAGGGCGGGCACCTGAGATTTGGCCTCGGTGGTGGCGGCGGCGGCAGGAGGAGGCCCAGCAGGCGGGAGGTGGGCACGAAGGCCCGGTGGGTTGCCAGGAAGGCGGGCACGAAGCCGGGGTCCTGCTCGTGGTCTCCAGACACCAATTCGCGCACCAGTCGCTCCAGCTGCGCCGCCCGCAGCGCGCGCACCTTGCTGGTGCGGTAATGCAGGAAGGTGTCGGGGACCGCGGAGCTGGGGGTCTGCGGGGTGCAGGGGGCCGCGGTGAGATCAAGACTTGTTCCCCCAGCCCTCCGGCACCCTTTTTCCAGTTGCGTCCATTGCTCTCAGGCTGATCCGACCCCAAAACGCACATGAGCCCCGCCTCTGTTTGGGACACCTCGACCCTCGCAAGTGCTGCTCCCCGCTACCGGACCGCACCCCCACACCGCACCTCATTCGGTCACCTGGCAATTCTCAGCTCTCCTGCAGCGTTCCGGAGGCTGTCCCGGGTCCCCGCCCTGTTCCCCACCCCTGCTTCGCCAGGTAACTTCCAAAGACCCCCCTCACCAGCTCCGCCCCTCAAACCAGTGTCCAGTTCCGCTCCCGAAAGGCGCCCCCCTTTGGCCGCGCCCCCTCGTTCCAAGCCGCCTCCCGTCGCGAGCCTCACTTCACCCCCAGGTACCCCTAGATCCTAGCCCGATCGCCGTTACGCCTCGCCCTTCCCCCACTCCCGTTACTGCGCCTCCACCGTGTAGCCGCGCGTCCCGCCCGCCCCGCTCACCTGGCCGCCCCCCAGCCCCTGCGCCGGGCTCCCCCGCTGACTGCGCTGGCGCCGCAGAGAAACGCTGTACACCGCCCCGTCCTCCGTCTCCTCGCCCCAGTCCTGCAACGGAGACTGGACGCCGAGGCAGGCTCAGGGTCCCGGGCCTTGGCCATCCTCTGCCCCGCTGACTCAAGCGGTGTCTCGAAGCTCAGCCCTTAGTCCCCTTTCCCACGGCCTCCACTTTCCCCGCCTAAGTCTGGGAGACAGGGTGAAGGGCGGTTCCCGGCTAGAAGAGACTCCTGGGATGCAGACTGGGGACGCCCCCCATCTTTTCCGCTGTCGCGCTCAGAGGCACCCCCCCTCCCACCTCTGTCCCGGCCACTTGGAGCGGCCCGAGGTAGGACATTGCAGCAGTTTCGAAGGATCCAAAGTGTTCGGAGAGAAGTTGCGAGTGGCCCGGAGCTTGGGACTTTCGGGGACCGAGAGATCCGCGGGGCTCTGGGGTCCCAGGACCCTGACCCCCTTACCAGGGCGAGCTCCTTGCCCGCGGTCCGCTCCATGGCTCGCGTCCGTCCTGGTACACGGCACGGCCGAGTGAGACGGAAGGAAGGGCCGGCGGGCAGCGGGCAGCGGCCGGCGGGCGGGGACGGAGGGGCGGGGCGGGGCGGGGCGGGGTCTGTCGGACTGGTCAAGGGGCTCTGGGATTACCCCCCCCCACAAGCTCCCCCCAGACCCCAGTCCCACGCCTCAGAGGGGGCCCCGCCTCTTCTAATACAATCTGTGCTCAGGAGCCTGAAAGGCCACATCTGTCCCATGCATCGCCAGATGTGAGGGCCAGGCTTGTGAGCAGGAAAGAACCTCGCTCCACCCCTTCGCTCAGGTGGAGAGACAGGACTGACCCCGTATGTGTGTGGGGGGGGGTTAGTTTGCGCAATCAGCTGATGGGGGTCCTCCCCGGGACACAGGGGCGCTGTGCCCGAGCCCCACCGGGGTTTTGAAGGGCGGGCTGGTGCTAGGTCAAAAGGAGAGGCAAATACCCAGGGGGCTGATCGGTGACCTTTATTGCGCGATCCGGAGGCCGGTGCGGACCGCCCGGGTTGATTTACTGTGGGAACGGACGTCGCGTGGCCCGTCCCCCCTTCTCCGCTGGGGCGCCACCCGCCCGCTCGGCTCCCGGGTTCGGCTCCGGGCTGTGCGTTCAGCCCTGGAAGAGGCCCCTGGGCCGGGCCCGCCGCTGGGCTCCGAGGGATGGGGCGGTGGGGGAGCTGGGCAGGGTCCAGACGCGCCAGCGAGCGCGCGCGCCTAGTTCCTCCGCGAGCGCCCCCGCTTCTTGCTGCGGGATTCGATCAGTTTCTGGGAGCGGATCTTGAGCGAGGCACGGCTCACCACGTCGTTGTCCTCGTCCTCGGTCTCTTCCTCGTCTGCAGAGGGGCCAGGAAGGGAGAAGCAGGTCGCCCTCGCCACCCTCGGGTTCCCCTGCCCAGCTCGGGCCGCCCCACCCCCACGTTGGCGCGAGGCCCGGTCTCGACCCGCCCCTTTTCCCTGTTCCAACTCACCAAAGAACTTGTCCTTGGTGGCAATGGTGCGTGGCATATGGATGCGGGTGTTGTACAGGGGCAGCTTTCCCTCGAGGTTGGTGGTGAACTAGCGAGGTGTGGGGGTGGGGGGAGAAGGCGGGGCTTCCGGTTAGCCCCCTCCTCCCTTCCCCTGCGCTTGTTCCTCACCGACACTGTTCACCTTTTCTGTCTAGTTTTTCTGCAGGCCGGGCTCTCCACAGGCGTTCCAAATACCTGGCCACATCTCCTTGTCCCCCAGCAGACCCTCCCCTGGTCTCTGACCTGACTCCTTAGGCTCTAAAGGCCAGACCCCTGGTCCTCCAGCCCCAATCCCAAACCCAGACCTTCCTGAAAGTTCCATGGTTGATTCCTGGCCCCTCAAACCTCACCCGTTGACTGGTTGATCTCTTTTTTGGCCACATTCAGCTGTGCGCTGGACTAACTCAAGGGTCTGTGGTCAAGGATTACTCCTGGCAGGCTCACGGGGATGGAACCGGGGTTGGCCACGCACAGGGCAAGCGCCCTACCCACCGCACTGTGGCTCAGGCCCTAGCCCACCCTAAAGCCCCTTCTCAGACTCTCGCCTGGTCTCTAGAAGGTTGCCCCTCCTCCTCCAACACTCCCCTGCCGCCCTCGCAGGGGCACCTCGCGGTCTGTGATGCGGTGCAGCATCTCCGTCAAGTTGTAATTCTGGAGTTGTGCCTGCAGCTTCAGCAGTTTTTCCTCCACGAGGCCCAGAAGGTTGAGCAGAAAGTCGGGAGCTTTGGGATCAAGCTCCTTTTTCGAGAAGACACCATCCTCCTGCGAACGGGGGCGGAGCCAGCTCAACGAGGGGGCGGGGCCTGTGGGGGACCTGTCCCACTGGGGGCGGGGTTTTCCATTCCAGGGCCTTCAGGCTAAGTGGTCACTTCTGTGAGGGGCGGGGCATCTGAGCTCCAGGGCACGGACAAGGAGAGAGTGTGTGTGTGTGTGTGTGTGTGTCGTCACTGCGGGCATAATCTTCAGAAGTGAGGCTCTGGAAAAGGCAGGGTAGGGTTTCTCCCATTGGGGTCGCCCCAGGATTGGAGAGACATTTGGAGATTTGATGAGGGAGTATGGGGGTAAGATTTTCCAACTGTATGTGCTGACTTCCCTGATGGATGGGCCTGGACGCAGCAGCTGGTCGGCTCCTGGTGGGGACTGATACAGGAAAGCCCTAGTGACTGGCTACACCATTTGAGTTGGAGGGGGGTGTCTCATCGAAAGTCTGGGGCGTGGCCTCCAGTGTTGGGGTGGGGCTTCCTGGGGGCAGGGCCTACCACAACGATATGGTTCAGCTTGCGGGCCAGGTGCTCCAGGCCGTCCCTGGCTGTTTGCAGCGTCCGCAGGGCACGCTCCAGCTTGTCCTGGGCCTCAGAGCGTCGCTGTTCTTGCGCCCTGATGCGCGCCTGCATCTCGCTCTTCAACTTTTGCTCTCTGCAGGGAGCAGCAGGCTATGGCTGCAGCGACACGGACCTCACAGTCCCCACCCCTGCAAGACCCCACCGCACCCTCGCCCTCCGGCGCGGTGCTCACCTCACCAGCGTGGTCTCCCCAGAGTACTTGAGGTTCTCGAGCTCCTGCTGCAGACGCTTTTTCTCCTCTTTCAGCTTCAGCAGCATTAGCTCGTTCTCCCTCTTGAGAGTCTCCAACTGAGTGAAAGTGTCGCCCTGGGCGAGGAAGCGCCGCACCACAGCCTGTGGGCCAACAGGCGAGGTCAGAACCAGGGCCTGTGGAGGCACAAGTGTCCTGCCTCCCCAGAGCCCCACACACTGGGGGACCTAATTTAATGGCTTCTGTACAGCAAGCATTGCCAACTGCGTTGATTTTTTTTTTTTTTTTGCTTTTTGGGTCACACCTGGAGATGCACAGAGGTTATTACTCCCGGCTTTGCACTCAGGAATTACTCCTGGTGGTGCTCAGGGGATCACACGGGATGCTGGGAATAGTGCAAGCCAACCTCCCTACCTGCTGCGCTATCGCTCCAGCCCCTGAGTTGATTTTTGAGGAGTCATTTTTTGCAGGGCGTGTTCCTGCCAGTTGCTTTCCCAAATCTTCACACCAGACATTCTGGTGGTGAAACTTGTGAAACTTGCCTTATCCCTCCAGGAAATTAAGCAGGTTTCTTGGGAGGAATCCACCCACAGAGCTTCTGGAAAGGCTCTGACCACAGTGCCCTTGAGGGACACCCCCACCCCCAGGTCTGAGTCCCAGAACTCCTGGCAGCTGCGGCAGATTCTGGAGTCCAAAGGGGGAAGTGGTGAAGGGCTGGGTGTTGAAACAGTCTATGGGGGAAACCTAATCATGAACAACTTTGTAACTGTATATCCCACTGTGATTCGATTTTAGCACGGTCCTGTCAGCACTGTTCTCCCGTTGTTCACTGATTTGCTCAAGTGGGCACCACTAACGTCTCCATTGTGAGACTTGTTACTTGCCAGACTCAACTCGGAGCGATAGCACAGCGGGCCTTGCATGTCTTGCCTTGGAGCGGCCCACCTGGGTTCAGTTCTTCCATCCCTCTCGGAGAACCTGGCAATCTACAGAGAGTATCCCACCCGCATAGCAGAGCCTGGCAAGCTTCCCGTGGTGTATTCGATATGCCAAAAATAGTAACAAGAACAAGTCTCACATTGGAGATGTTACTGGTGCCCGTTCGAGCAAATTGATGAACAGTGGGAGGACAGTGCTACAGTGCTATGATTCAATTTTATTTTATTTACTGATTTATTTATTTACTTTTGCTTTTTGCGATGCTCAGGGTTTACTCCTGGCACTGCACTCAGGAGTCATTCCTGGCAGTGCTCAGGGGACCATAAGGAATGACGAGGATTGAACCCGGGTCGGCCATGTGCAAGGCAAATGCCCGACCTGCTATACGATTGTTCTGGCCCCGTGATTCAATTTTCAAAAATCAAAAATAAATAAATAGGGGCTGAAGTGATAGCACAACAGGTAGGACGTTTGCCTTGCACGTGGCCCGACCTGGGTTCGATTCCCAGCATCCCACATGGTTCCCCGAGCATGGCCAGGAGTAATTCCTGAATGCATGAACCAGGAGTAACCCCTATGCATCTCAGGGTGTGACCCCAAAAAGCAAAATCAATCAAATAAATAAATAAAAGAATGTAAAGGGAGAGAACAAACTTGAGGTCCTGTGGGATCAGGGTTGGTTAGAACTTCCGGGTCTTAGCAAAGTTCTCATGCCAAGCCTTGGATAAGGACAGCGCTCCCACTCTCCCATCTCAGGGTGACTACTGTGTCCACTACTGCTGAAGACGGGCCCGAGAGACAAAAGCCCCAATTCCAGCACAGTTTCCCTGTAAAGAAGGAGTGCCCTGGTGGTGAATAAGGATGGGCGGGAGAAAGCTCAAGTGGGGTTTGCGAGGAATGGGAACTGGAGGAGACAGGGGTGAGGTTAGATTAAGGAGGAAAGAATCGAAGCTTTAGTGATAGCACAGTGGGTAGGGCCCTTGCCTTGCACACAGCCAACCTGGGTTCAATTCCCAGCACCCCACTGGGTCCCTCAAGCCCACCAGGAGTGATCCCTGAGTGCAGAGCCAGGAGGAAGTCCAGAGCACCGCCGGGTATGGGTCTCCCAACCCGGAAAGTAAAAGGAATTGACTGGCTGAAGGGTGGTAGGGGGCGGAGGTGGAGGCTTAGGAGTAGACTTCAGGGGAGTAGAGCAAGACGCGGGCTGCACTCACGTGCGTTTCGGCCACGCCGGTGGCGTCCTTGACCTTGCTGAAGAGCATCTCCATTTGGTACATGCTCCAGCGTCGCTTCAGCTCCACCTCCTTGGCGAACAGGTGATCCTGGATCGTGTCCTCGGGCTGCAGCAACATGTTCTCGCGTTGTGTCTGCTTAGGGTCGGGAGGAGGGAGTGAAGAGTTAGGAGGGGCTTCAGGGAAGTGTTGGGGGTGGGAGACAGAAACAAGTTGGGTCCAGGGAGGAGCACCCGTGCTGGGTCTGGAGCGCGGGTGAATGACCTCAGAGCACGAACAAAGGGGCGGGGTCACAAGAAGGGGACGGAGCCACCAGAAAGGGCGGGGTCCTAAGGGCAGGTTCTGTCTATAAAGGGGGCAGCCTCCAGGCAAACTCAGATTAAGGACTGGGTTGAGCTGTGGGGGTGGACATCCCTAGGCTAGATCTGAGCTAAGATGGGGGTGGGGGAAGACTGTGTGATGTGTGATGAGCCCCAGATTTCAAGGAGGATGTGCTGAGGGATCACAGCCGCGTATTCTGGGCATCCCACCTTCCGCTCCATGCGTTCATTCTGCATTTTCCTGTCCTCCGCTCGCTTCTTAAACTCTGTCACATGGCGCTCCCGTTTCTTGCGCTCCCGATATACGGTCTCCTCTAGATACTGCAGCTGGTTCTGGAGGGAAGGCGGGCAGGAGACAGGGCAACAAAATGAGGCCTACTGGGGTCCAAAGCAGCAGACTCTATTCTGTATGGTTGTCCTGCCTCCCTCCCCAGGTCCTGGTAAATAGACTGGAAGGGTTGTGTGGGGTGGGAACGGTGGTGGTTCCGGTTCTGGAGCCTACAGAGCATGGTGGTGCGCCTGACCTTCCCTCCATTCCCCCTTCCGGGGGGGGGGGGGGGGGGGGAGGCACCTTGGCGATGTCCCGGGCATTGATTGCCTCCTGATTCACCACGTGCAGTTCTTCTAGCTCATGCTTCGCCCTGAGCACTTCAGCCTCCATGGAATCCAGCCGGTTCTCTAAGTTCAAGCTGTCCTCCTGGGGTGCGGCGAGGGGAGGGGGGGCATGAATGGGTGCGGCTGGTCCGTGATCAGCTGTTCCTCCCTGGCACCCACTGCCCTTCCTACTCTGGCTACCTGGAGATAGGCCTTGAGCTGCAGGTAAACACTGGTAATGTGTTCAGCTTCCTCTGCCTTCATCCGAGCCTTCTCCAGGCGGTTCTCCAGGTTCCGCATGGTCTGGAGGAGAGGGCGGGGCGCTGAGCTTCCTCCTGCCCATCATCCCTCCCCAGGCTCCGCCCCCACCTCCTCAGGCTCCGCCCCCAGACCAGCGGGAGGGGCGCTGAGCTTCCTCCTGTCCATCATCCCTCTCAGGCTCCGCCCCTACCTTGCCCCTGGGCGCCCACCTTGGCCAAATCCGTGTTGCTGTCCTGCATCTCCGCCATCTCCAGCTCCCGCAGGTCATGCTGCAGCTGGAGCTCCTCCAGGCGCTTCTGCTTCAGGCACACCTGGTGCCGCAGTGCATTCAGTTGCTTCATCTTCTCACTCAGCCGGTGGTCCAGGTGCTCCAGGGACTGCTACAGGGATGGGGCAAAGCGAAGCCTGAACCCTAGCTCCCCTGGCTTGATGGGCCTCTTCTTTCCTCCTCCTTTTCCGTATCATTTCCATTCTAGATCCCCAGGTCCCCCACTTTCTAGTTTTCCATATACCGGCCCGACTGCCTCTTCTCCATCTCCTTTGCCTTTGGGCTCTCTTTGGTGGGGGGAGGTAGGGTTGGTGGTATTGGGGTCAGACTTAATTGTTCTCCGGGGCTACTCCTGCCTCTGTGCTCAGAAGTGACCCTTGGCAGTCCTGAGGGATCTTTGTGGCGTTCAGAGATTCCATACCTTGAGAGACTAGCAGAGCGCCCTACACCTTGCATCTCTCTATGCCTCTCTCCTTCGCTTTTGGAGAGAAGCCCCAAGCCATGTTCCCCTTTGTCCTTACCCAGCCCCTGGGTGGGATCCTGTTCATCACTTTTCTTTTCTTTCTCTTTTATTTTTGGTTTTGGAGCTATACCCAGCTGTGTTTCTGGCTCTACACTCGGGGACGCTTGCAAGACAAGTGCTTGACCCGGTGTGCCCTCTCTCTCTCTGGCCTCAAGTTTTAGGGTCTTAAAGGTCACTTATACAACCAAGACACCCACAACAAGCCCAGTACCCCCAAACTGGAGATTTAAGTCTGCCTTCCTCCCATGTCCACAGGCACCTCAAAACATCAGATTGGGCCAAGGGTGGGGTCAGTGGTACAACCCATTTATTGCTTACGGGGGAGGCGCTGCTCCAAAACTCTGGTGTCCAGAGCTGTGGAATAGAGCAGGGGTCAGACCCTCCATGCACAAGGCCCCGAGTTTAATCCCTGGGACGGCACTGGGCCCGAGCACTGCTGCGTTGGCCCTGGTGGGCCCCAGAACCTAAATTGCTCAGGAGACCCTCACTTCACAAAACATCACATCCCAAATTGTGCCCTTGACTGGAGAGATAGTCCAAGGGGTAGCCTTGCATGTGGCCAACCAGCTGTGATCCTGGCACTGCATGGTCGCCGGAGCACTGCCAGAAGTGACTGCCCCCAGAGCACAGAGCTGGGAGGAGCCCTCGATTATTGCTGGGTGTGACCCCAAAACTTAAAAGGGTGTTTGGTGTTGGGCGTGCAGGGGGAGACATGATGGGGGGGGCAGTGGGGATGGGATCCGGGCTGGAAAGGGACAAGAAACCTGGTGAAGTCAGGGCCAACCTGGATGTTCCTGTTCTTCAGGTACGGAGCTTCTGACCTCCATTCCTGCATCACCACCTTCACCACCTTCTCTTCTCCCTGAGAGCAGAGGGGCCCCATCACTGCTCAGCTAAGCCACCTCCCCACTGGTGGAACCTGGGCACCCACAGACCTCTCACCTGCAAGAGGTCTTTGAGCTGGTGCTGCAGCTCTCTGATCTTCTCGCGGAGCAGGTTGATGGCATCCTGATTCTTCTTGATGCTCCACTGTGAGCTCTCATAAAAGGCCTTCCGGTCACCCTCTGGGGTCGCAGGGGTGGGTAGGCACAAGCAGTGTCACGGGAGGGGGGCGAGTATGAAATCTACTTCACAGTGAACATTTATGATGTGTTGGATGCCGAATTGTGTTGGACACTTTCCAACTACCCAATACCACTAGCTCATTGGCACCTGGCCATAGCATACCCACTGTACAGCCAAAAAAACTGAGGCTTGCTAGCGGGTTCAAGGGTCCCAGCCTCCTAGTTCCCAATACCTTTGATCACTGTGGAAAATTGCTTCCTAATACTACAACATTCAGGATCCCAGTGACTTCCACCAGGATTTCCCAGCCTCAGTTGGGAGATGCTTTGCTGATTAGTTATTTTAACTATCAAATGATAGGGGCTCCCTTCCTACAATGTGACAAGCCTAAATATTTGTAGACATTACCAACGGGAATAAAGTAGCCCTCTGGAGGCCGGAGAGACAGGACGGGAGGAAAGGCACTTATCTTGCACAGGATTGATCCAGGTTTGATCCCTGGCACTGTATAGGTTCCCCAAGAATTTACACCTGAGTAGAGCCAGACATAGTTCCCAAAATCCAGTGTGTCCAAATCTCTTCCAAAGAAGTAAATAAATTAACAAAATAGCTCTCTTCCACTGAGAACAACTAGGTAGAAAGTTTTATGTGCACCAGGCATTATTCCAAGCATTTTACCCGTTTCAATTATGCACGAGATCATCCTAAAGCGCTCCCCATTTCACAGATGGAGAAACAGTAATTAGTTGAGTCTGAATCTTTGAAAGTCAAACAAGTTAGTCAATATAACATCGGGGTAAGGATTTGAACCTCAAGAATCCGTTCTTCACCACCCGGGGGGGGCGGGGCACAGAAGAGTTGAAAATCCACATCAATATGAAACCTGGTGCTTTGGGGGCTGGGCCCAAGTGTCATGAGAGCAAAAAGGAAGACTATGAACTGGTCTGAGTTTCTACCTCCAGAAACTGGGAGTCCAGATCCATGCCTGTGAGATGTTACATCACCCCAGACCTGGTCAGAGAGAGGACGGGTAGACACTGCTGAGTCCTGAACCCTTGTCTGCCCTCTGGACCCATCTTACCAAGTAGTTGTATCTTTCTTTGTAATTCAGCCACTTGCGTTTGCACGGCGGTTTTGGTGACACTGGATTGCTGGCGTCTGGACCTGAGGTGTAGTGTCGACCAGGCCTGTCCTTTGCTCTTGCTCTTGCCACCAGTCTGGGACTGATTCCCGCCTTTGCCCTTGGTGGTGGTCGAAACAATTTCCTGAGCAGGTTGGACGGGGGCCGAAGTCCAGCACAGTGGGGACATCATGATTGGATTGGGGCCAAGGGCCCCGGGGGGCTAGAGGAAAAACTAAATATCACCCAAGTCCGGGGGTCCCTTTGTTCCAGGTTCCTTAGACTCTGGGAACGCACGTCCCTACCACTTCGCCTGGCTTCTCAGCATCTCCGGGTTGCCAGGCAACCTCCTCCTCCCCCGCCTTCCTCCAACACTCCCTTGGCAACCGCTCGCGTTCTATGCAAGTGCTCTCACTGGCTGCCACTGAGTCCAAGGGCGGGCTCTGGCGGAGAGTGGCAGAGCCGAGAAAGCCGGATGTGGGGGGAGGGACTGTGGGACCACGTGCTTATTTCATTCTCTCCACCCCCACCCTGTCCTAAACCCGCCGTGGTTCGCGGGTCAGTAATTATCTGTTCCGACTCCGGAGACCGCCACTCCCAAGATGGAGGCAACATGCGCCGCCATTAAGCGTGAATCTTCCGAACTATCTCCTCGGAGCTTTCACTAGTGCTAGCCAAGATGGCCGCCCCGGGGGCGCGCCCCCACCTGCCACTCTCAACATGGCGGACGGGCGCCGCCGTTCCCAGTGTGCAGTGTGTGTCGGAAGTGATGCATCGCACACGTTTCCTCTTTCTTTCTGCAGCAGGAACCGTTGGCTGCTGGGCCAGGGGGGCGCGGTGGATAGTGACCTTTGCCCCGACCTCGTGTAGGTGATATATACTCGCGGGTGGGGGCACCTCAGTTTCCTATTGGGGGCGGCCGGAGGGTGTGCGTCGGCAGGGGGGAACCTTGCCCATCGGCCTATTGGCGGGAATTGGAGCGTCCACCCCCCTTTGCTGCTCTCCCCTTCCTCCCTGGAGCAGCGCGTTTGAGGGCCCCACCATTGATTTGAACAAAGTGAGACTTCCTTCCCCGGGGCAGGATTGGGGAGACCCTCCCGGATCGGAAGCAAGTCCTATTGCTCGAGGTGGAGGAATCCGGTTGGCTGCAGGAAGCGGCGCTGCCTTTAGTCTGAAGTGGCGCCGACCGATCGCCTCTTTCTTGCCGCAGCGTGGGGACCCAGCGCAGCTCCCCGCAGCCCGCCTGCTCCCCCAGACCCTGTTTCCGGCTCTCGAGCTCCCGGCGTGATGTTACTGTTTCTGCTGCTGCTTCCCCTGTGCGAGGCGGTGGAGGTCAAGCGACCCCGGGGCGTCTCCCTCACGAGTGAGTGGGGGGGGGGGGGTGTCTAAAGGGATCCACCCGGGCAAGCTTTGTTCCTCCGTTTCCCAGCCTGATATTCAGGGCGGAGGGGCCGTTTAGTGGAGGAAAGGGCCCCTTCCTGACCTGTGCCCCTGATTCCCCATCCTCCACCCCCACCTGCAGATCATCACTTCTACGATGAGTCCAAACCTTTCACGTGTCTGGATGGCTCGGCCACGGTCCCGTTCGATCAGGTCAACGACGATTACTGTGACTGCAAGGATGGCTCGGATGAGCCAGGTGAGGCCGCTGCTTCGCATGGTCACTCATCACCTGCCCGTGGAGCCTTTGCGGTGTGGGGGGATCCAGCCCCATCTTGTCTTTTGGGGCTCCCCATGGGTCTAGGCGGGGTACTGAGAGCAGGGGGACAGCAGCCTAGCAGTGAGAGACTGCCCCCCAGACCTTCTGGGGCTCAGGAGATGGAGGAACTGCCGTCGGGGGCCTCCTGGAGAGCCTCTGCTGACCACCCCTTCTTCCCAGGCACGGCGGCCTGTCCCAACGGGAGCTTCCACTGTACCAACACCGGCTACAAGCCCCTGTACATCTCCTCCACCTGGGTCAACGACGGCGTGTGTGGTAAATTAAACAGGGGAGTGGACGAGGAAGAGGAAGGGATGTGTGGAGGGAGGGGCAGTGCAGGCTGATGGCACCGCCTCCCCCTCCTGAACCCCCTAGACTGCTGTGACGGAACAGACGAGTACAACAGTGGCACCATCTGTGAAAACACCTGCAAGTAGGAATGCCAAGTGCCTCCTCCCTGCAAAGACCCTGCTTCACGGGGGTAGAGGAGGGAGGTGGGGGAGAAACTGAGATCCCGCATCTTGGCTTCTGGGTAGCAGAAGTGAGCCCTGGCATCTCTGTGTGGCCCAGAGCAGGTCCCTCATCTCCCTGTTCCTGGAGCATTCCCTAGTTGAGCGTGGGAAACGGCTCTCGGTCAGGCCAGAACACAGCCAGGACTCGCACCCTGGTGGCAGGGAGCTCTAAATGGGGCTCCCGTTGCATTCAACTTCCGCACCCAGGCTTGAGCCCTGTGCCTTAAGAGGCCCCCAGTAAAGGAGTGACAGGCTGAGTGTGAGGCAGTAGGTAGTGGCGGGGAGTGTGGCGGCCAAAGGGGTGGGGGCTTTGTCACCCACGTGGGCAGGGCTGGCTTGACTGCTCGGACCCCCCACCCTCTGCCTGTCTCGAATCATTGGGGGCGGGCAGTGCTGGCCCCTCGCCACCCACTTTCCTGGTCTGACGCTTCTACCTTCTCTCTGGAGAGCCATGCAGCCCCACAACCCAGCGGGCGTCCCCTGGACTGGGAAAGGGGGTCTTGTTGTCTTGGGCTGTGTGACCCTGCCGACCCTTCCCCAGAGAGAAGGGCCGGAAGGAGAGGGAGACCCTGCAGCAGCTGGCCGAGGTGACTCGCGAGGGCGTCCGCCTGAAAAAGATCCTGATTGAGGAGTGGAAGAAGAGCCGAGAGGAAAAGGAGGTGCGGCGCCGGGAGCTCTATCCCCGGGTCGGCTCGACGGGAGGCTGCGGCTGCCCGGCGCGTGGGCCGTGGGAAGCCCCTTGACGGTGCCCTGTTCTGCGGTTCTGTGTCTGGCACATGGGGGTCCCTAAGCGAGTCCCAGCAGTCAGCGAAGTTCACTGGGGTCCCACGGTGGGGACAGGGTGGAGGTTTCTCTCCTACCCTCAGGATCTGGCCCATGAGGGTGCCCCCTGGATTCAGGGGACAGCGGGAGCCTCTGCGTTCAGGCCACCATTGGGGGAACCTTGAAGTAGGGCCGTTGCCAGGTGACCTTTGGCTCCTGGGTGAGGTCAGAGGTGTCTGGTGGCTGGCCCAGCTGAGGCACCAGTCATGGTCTGGGGGAACGAGAGCCTGTGGAGGTTCAGGTTGATTTCCAACAGCTTGGAGTCCCATTCCCAGGGACAAATGACATCCAGGCTACTGGGAAAGAAAAGTGGGGAGAAGTGAGGCGAGGAGGGGACTCTCGCCTTGACCCATCCCTCCCTACCCCCCAGCAATCTGGGGAACAGGAAGCAGGGAAGACTTCCTGAAGGTGGAGGCCTTTAGGGCCATTCAGAGCCAGTCAGTGTCCCAGGCCAAAGGAGAACGTGAAGCAGGCACTGGCAGAAGTGTCTGTCTATATATGTGTGTCTGTATGTCTTTCTGTCTGTGTGTCTCTGTCTGTCTGTGTCTGCATCTGCCTGTGTATTTTGGGGGTGCAGTTCTGCATACCCTCAGGGACCCAGTGAGCGATGGGGCTGGAGGCATTGCAGGTTGGGTCCCGTGGAGGTGGTTTGGGTCTCACTCCGATGGCCTGCGGGGGACCTTGGGAGGTGTGTGTTCTGGAACGGTCACTCTCCAGAGCGGAGACTGGGCAGGACGGGAGTGGGCCGGAGCAGCAGGCGAGCAGCTCCGTTCTGCCGCTGCAGAACAAGCTCACAGAGCTGCAGGACAGGAAGAAGTCCCTGGCCGAGCAGGTGGAGGTGCTGCGGGCCGCGAAGGAGGAGGCCGAGAAGCCCGAGAAGGAAGCCAAAGAAGAGCACCGGAAGATGTGGGAAGGTACAGCGGCAGGGCTGGGACACGTGTCTCCCTGGGCTGATGGCTTGTCAAGGTGCCTTGGTGTCAGGCTGGAGCGATAGCACAGCGGGGAGGGTGTATGCCTTGCACACAGCCAACCCGGGTTCGATTCCCAGCATCCCGTATGGTCCCCCAAGCACTGCCAGGAGTAATTCCTGAGTGCAGAGCCAGGAGTAACCCTGTGCATTGCCGGGTGTGACCAAAAAAAAAAAGGTGACACCAAGTCTGGGGTGGTTGGTTAGCATGTTTAAACGCCCGTAATGAGGCCGTGTCTGCCAGGGCAGCTGTGGGCTTCCTGATCCAAGGGATGTCGGGATTCGCAGGGGATGAGGGGACAGGAAGCCAGGAAGGCCCTGGCTGCAGGGGGAGCAAACAAGCAGAGGTGGCCCCTGGGCCAGGGCACGGCTCTGGGTGAGCATGATGATCCGGGAGGTGCCCCTCTGCCTTTCCTCCAGGACTGGACTGGTAACGGGCCTTGTTTCTCCTTGTTCAGCCCCGGCTACTTCCCACTGGGGGCCCTTCCCTGTGTACCCCTGGGTTTGGTCTTCCTGCCCTTCCCCTCCCAAGCCCCCCCCCCCCCATATCATCTGCTTATCGGGCCAAGACCCCAGATGCCTCTCCAGCTGCCCTTTTCACCTTTTGGCTTCCGCGCTCCAAATGGAATTTGGGGCCACCTCCAGTGGTGCTCCTGGCTCCTGCAGCTGTGAGAGCATATGGGGTGCCGGGGGTTGAACCTGGGTCAGCCCTGGGCAAGGCAAGTGCCCTACCCGCAGGCCTGTCGCTCCAGCTCCTCCTTTTTGTTTTTTTCCTTAAATGGAAAGTGAAGATGCAAAGGCCCTCCCCTTCCCCCATTGGCGCCCCTGGGGGACGGAGCTTTCCCGCCACCTGCTGGGACTGTCCCAGCAAGTGGACCTCACCGCAGGCCCCCTAAGCCAGGCTAGACTCCCATTGGCTTGTCACGGGTCACGTGGCTGGGCATCCCTGCAGGCTGATTGGCCAGCTCTGGATCACGTGCTCGGGTGTTGGAGCCGGCGGTGACTTCCCATCGGATTTGACCTGAGTAGGGGTCCCGCAGCTCCTGCTTTCGACCGTGGCCGTATCACTGCGCTGTTTCTTTCCTGTTTCCCTTGGATATTTTTTTTTCCCCCTTGGATTTTAAAGATATTCGTTGGGTCGAAGCAGTAACACGGCCGGGAGGGCGCTTGCCATGCATGCAGCTTTCGGGCTTCGATCCCTGGCACCCCATAGGGTCCCCTGAGTCCCTCCAGAATGAAAACTCAAGCATCCAGAGCAATCTGGACCATGGCCCAAACCCCCAGTGCCCCTTTCCCCTTTTCGGGGTGTGACGCCGCCCTCTGTGTGGTCGGCGCTCCCCGGAGCTTGGTTCCGGGTGGACCCCCCCTCGCCCCCCGCATGTCTCCCTGGGGTTCCTTTACTGCTGTGTTTTCTGGCCGAGCCCGTTTGGCCGGTCTCGGCCTCTCAAGCCAGAGTTGGCACCGCCAGCTGTGTCCTGGGTGAGTCCGGAGCTGGTTCGAGTGGCTGAGGCCCCGCAACGCCGATTCACCAAGGCGCGCAGGGCTAGGCGTGGGCTGGGGGGGGGGGCTGATGGGCATTTGGGGGTCTCCCAGGGGTACTGATGCGTTTATGGGGTCTACCTGGAGGTGGCTCCCAGCACAGAAAGATGCAGTATCCAGCAAGACCTTAGTACTGGAAGGTGCAAGCTGATTGGCTGCCTGCCTCATGGGTCCCCTGTCCCTCTCCGGAGGGCGTTGGTATCCATGTGCGTTTCCTTGTGGGGACCTTATGGCTTTGCCACACCTAATGCTGTGCCTCCGCCATCCCCCCTTGTTTATCCAGAAGCCTAGGGGTGTCATCCAAGCCCCCTTGCACATGCATGGCCCACCTACAGCTACATCAGTCCCCACGGCTGAGACCCCCCCCCACCATGTGCACTGCACATGCTCAGCAGCACCCACTTGGCAGGGACAGCAGAGGGGTTGAGGCAGAAGGTGACGGTGCCCCTGCCCCCGTTCCCCAGAGCAGGTGGCCCGGGCGCAGAGTGAGCAGGAGCAGGCACGCGTGGCCTTGATCTTCCAGGAGCTGGATGTCAACATGGACGAGTGGTGAGCACATCTGGACCCTCCTCTGACCTTTAGGATCCAAATGGGGAGCGGGGGGCCCAAGGCTCCAAGACTCCCCCGCAAGGGAACAGAGGCCACTGCCTAGTTGACAGTGGGGACAGAGGGACAGGGTGTGGGGACTTCCCTGGACAGGCGCCTTTTGCCTTCCATGCACACCACCTCCCCACCCGCCCTCCTCCCCTGTCCCGCCTCTGCCCTGGGAACCTCTAGTCGCGGGGTGATCAGAGATCGGGTGCCCCCTTTTCCCCCAGCCCCAGGAGCCTGGAAGCCAGTGTGAGGGCAGGCTCGACCCCATGGGCTTCTGCCTGCCTCCCCCCACCCCCAGGGTCTCAGTGGGTGAGCTGCAGACACACACAGAGCTGGACACGGATGGGGACGGGGCTTTGTCAGAAGAGGAAGCCCAGGTACGACCCCTTCCCCCACAGGGCCCTCTCAGGTGGGGGCGCTATGCCCTTGCCCTGGGAAGCTGCGGGGGGGATGTCTGGAGCCACTGTCTCCCTCTCCTGCCCTGCCCCTCCCCTAGTGCGGCCTGCCAAGCACCTGAAGTGCTGGCCCCACCTTCCCCACAGGCCTCTGCTGCCCCCTTCTGGCCTCTGCGCCAGCCCGGTCCGGCCTTGGTATCAGGCCCCAGATGGGCGCTCCCGTGCCTGGCACCGGGCGCCCCTATCCTGAAAGCCTCCCAATGTCCCTACACAGGCCCTCCTCGGAGGGGACATGCAGGTGGACAGGGTCACCTTCTTTGACCGGATCTGGGCGACCATCAAGGACAAGTATCAGACACAGGTCAGTGTGGGGAGGAGAGGAAGACACCCTCTCCAAAGCCATTGCTGCCAGTTCTGGCCCAGATCCACCGTGACCAGCTGCCCCCCAAACTCCACAACCCCCAGCTGACCCTTGTGCCTCCCTCTTTCCCTGGGGACAGGGCAGGGACACCGGGGCCGATGGTAAGAGTATGCAGGGTTTGCTCCTGAGGGCGGGGTGGTCCTGAAGGCCACAGCTGTGTCCCCCCCACGCCTCCTACCAGGCACTGCCCCCTGAGCAGCCTGCAGCCCCTGCTTCCGACCAGCTGACACAGCCCACGGAGCACCAGCAGGAGGTGCCCCCAGGAGCCCCTGAGGAGGAGGAAGAGGAGGAGGAGGAAGAGCGGGAGGAGGAGGAAGAGGAACCGGAGGAAGAAGAGGAGCCGGAGGAGGAAGCTCAGGTGCCAGGGGAGCAGACCCCCAAGGTGTGTGAGGTGGGAAAAAAGGGGGGGGAGCTGGAGCAATAGTAGAGCGGGTAGGGCTTGTGCCTTGCACACGGCCGACCCAGGTTCGATTCCCAGCATCCCACATGATCCCCTGAGCACAGCCAGGCGTGATTCCTGAGCGCAGAGCCAGGAGTAACCCCTGTGCATCGCCAGGCCAGGTGTGACCCAAAAAGAAGAAAAAAAAGGCGTGTGAGGCAGGGCGCAGGATGGGGTTGGGGGCAAGGGGAGGGCCTGGTGCTCGCTGACTGGCGCTACCCCCAGGAGGCGCCGCCCCCGCTGGCCCCGGCCCCGCCGGCCAGCGCTGCCCCGGAGGACCCCGCAGCCCAGATGCCGCCCTACGACGCCTACACGCAGGGCCTGATCGATGGTAAGGAGCCGGCGCCTGGCGTCCCCCGGGAGCCCTCTGCCGCCTCGCTGGCACCCGCCTCTTGTTTGCGCACCCCTGGCGGCTAGGGAGCCCCTGGCACCGCGGGAGCGCGGTCCTGTGCCCCGGGGAGTCCACGAACTCCGGCGGTGGCCAGGAGGGGTCTGCCCAGCCCTCATCCAGAGCAGGCCGAGGCGCGGCAGCGGGGTCGCAGGGGTGCTTCTCGTTCCCAAACCCTCTTCCCTCGCCTTCCTCCACGGGAGCGGGGACCCCAGTCTGACGTTCTCCCACGCCTCAGCTGCCCAGAAGGCCCGCAGTGAGTTTGAGGAGGCCGAACGGTCACTGAAGGACATGCAAGAGACCATCAGGTACGAGGCGTTCCCCTCCGGCCCCAACCAGGCCCCTGGGCCCTCCCCGTGGCCACCTTCTGCCGGGCTCCCCAGAGAGGAGAGTAATGGGGAGTCGCCAGGCAACCGCCCGGGAGGCAGAGAGCAGGGCCTGTGGCTGCCTGTGCCAGGGTCCCCCGGGAGCCCGCTGGGGCCCTCAACACCACCTTCCTCCTGCAGGAACCTGGAGCAGGAAATTTCCTTCGACTTCGGCCCCAGTGGGGAGTTCTCCTACCTCTACAGCCAGTGCTACGAGCTCTCCACCAATGAGTGGGTGCTCCTCCAAAGCCTCCCCATCACCCTGAACTGGGGGGGGGACACGCCTCTGAGCAAGGCCGCATGATGGGCTGGTTGGCAGGGCGGTGGGAGGAGCCGGGCAGTGACCCAGAACATCCGTCTACCTTTTCCCCCAACAGGTACGTCTACCGGCTCTGCCCCTTCAAACTGGTGTCGCAAAAACCCAAACTTGGGGGCTCCCCCACCAACCTTGGGTGAGTGAGTGTACCCGTCCCCGGTTCCCCCCGCCCCCAGCCCCTGCAGCCAGCCTGTAGCTCTGAGCACCGGGCAATTCTGCAGCACGTGGGGCTCCTGGGCTGGGCCCGAACACGACAAGTACAGCGCCATGAAGTACGAGCAGGGCACGGGCTGCTGGCAAGGCCCCAACCGCTCCACCACGGTGAGTGGCCAGAGGGCGGGCGGTGGGGGGGCACCCCCTCTCCCCATTGCCGCCCCCACCCTGAGCCCTCCGGCGCTCGGCCTCAGGTGCGCCTGCTGTGTGGAAAAGAGACCGCGGTGACCAGCACCACAGAGCCCAGCCGCTGTGAGTACCTCATGGAGCTGACCACACCCGCCGCCTGCCCAGACCTGCCCCCGGAGCTGCCAGAAGTGGACCATGATGAGCTCTGAGCTGCACGTGCAGAGGTGGCGAGGAGCAGCATGAGGGGGGACAGGACAGTCCCCATCCTTTCCTCTGCACCTCCGGCCCCAAAACCTCCAGGCATGGAACCAGCCCCTCAGTCTGCAGACCAAGCCTGCCCCCGGGTCTCCTGCTCCCCAACACCTCCCTGGGGGGCTAGGAACCATACAGGGGCTCCAGGCCCTGCTCTCTGGGGGCCAGACCAGGTAGAGGCAAGTTTCCAGGTCCCAGGGGCCTCTGATGCAGTTAGAGAGTATACCCTCCCGGGACCCCCCCTGCCCCCACACACACCCAGGGCAGCCCCTCCTGCAGGGAACAAATGACTTGACCTGTGACCGTGACCTCAAAACAATAAACGTTGATGGGCCCCCAAATGTCTGTGCTTGCAGCGTTTTGCATGGGGACAGGCTGAACATCTTAACACCTCTTTCTTTCTTTTTTTGTTTCTGGGGCCACACTAGGCAGTGCTCAGGGCTTCCTCCTAGCTCTACACTCAGATCACCCCTGATGGGGCTCCGCGGACCATGGGGATCGAACGCAGGTCCATGTGCGAGGCAAAATGCCCTCCCTGCTAATAGTATCACTCCTGTCCCAAGCATCTAAGATGAAGACATCCACATTTGGGGGTCACCCTCAGGGCATTCACACCAAGGGATCACCCTGAGGGCATTCACACCTGAGGGGCTCATCCTAAGGGCATTCACACTGTTCTCTAATACCGGCAGCGGGGTGGTGGCTGGACCAGGCCCACAGCAGCTGCTGTTGATCCCCACTCCCCTGGTGCTCACACACCCATCAAGGCTGTAAGATTCTGAACTTTTATTTTCTGGCATGAAAAGTACAAATAATTAAACAATTCCATGTAAAAGTCTGTTACCGCGGCCAGGCCTGTAATCCCGGTAATAAATAGTCTAAACGCAACGCAAAGTGTTCTCGTCGGGTTCGGGGTTCGGGTGGTGGTTTTTGTTACTTTTTTTTGTCTTTTTTTTTTTTTAACAGTTCTTCATCACATCCAACATGGACTCTCATAATTGGAACCTTCTGAATAAATAACAAGATGAAGGGAGGGCTGAGGGGCCGAGCCCCCTCCAATGGGTCTGCGCCCCTCCCCCCAGGGTTTGCTAGAAGACCCCAGGCCCCTCTGGGGACCTGGCTGGGCTGGGCTCTGTGTTTTAGGGGGAAACAAAAGTCCCCTCCCAGTCTTTTGGTGGGTGGCAGGGACCTAGGCCTTCATTGCGGGGGAGAGGTGCCCCTCTCCAGAGCCCGGCCCCCCAGGGTGGGGGCACCCCAGCCCTTATTGCTCACAGACGCCTCCGGCACGTGTCCCCGCACGGAGGACGGGGGGGAGAAAGCCCCAGGAAACAGCAGAGGGAGAGGGGGGACCCGCTGGGGGTGCCTGCCCTACTGAAGGGGGGCGGGGAAGTGGGGAGGACTTGAAAAACCACAAGAATAAATAGGTTCGTGTATCAAGAACAAGCTAGGGTCTTCACCAGCTAAAGACTGAAAATATTCTCAAGACGAGCAAAAAAGGATTTTCGTGGACACCCCGGCCGAAGCCACTGGTCACCGGAACCGCCCCACAGAGCAGTCCCACCCCCGGGCCCAGGGGCCACTCAGCTACCGTTACGGTTATTAATAATTATTATTACTTGAATAATTCCACTTCCCTTTGATAAATAAATTAGGCATAACCACGTCTTGGCAAAAAAAAAAAAAAACAGAAAGAAACGAAGAGAACGCAGTGGTCCCTTGAACAAGCCAACCAGATGAGAGAAACAGAAATATACACAGATGTCCTTCCAAGGCGACGGAGAATAAATAGTTAACATAGCAATAAGTTAAAACTACGAGAAGCTAAATTCGGCAAAAAAGTACAAGAAAGTTAACTGGTGCCAGTTTATATCTGGATTTTTTTCTTTTCTTTTTTTTTTAATCTCTTCTGTGTTTGATTTTCTTCTTTTTTTTGTCATTTTTTTTTCTCTTGTGACTTTTTTTTGTCGTTTTGATTTTTTTTTCTCTTTTTTGTTCCTTGCAGCAGAAGAAGCCCCACGAACAACACTGGGAGGGCGGGGAGAGAGAGCTGGGCGCGCGGGACGTCGGAGGAAAGGCAACTAAAGCTGAAATCGGGATTCGCAATTCTCAGTTGGGACGACGGGGAGGGGACCCGCTGCAGGAAGGGGATGGGGGGCTGTGGGGAGGGCTCCCTGGGGCTCCGGCCTGGGGCTTCTGTTGGGATCTGTATGAAAACTACTGGGATAGGCAAAATAATTAATAATAATAATAATAATAGTAATGAAACAGAAGCCCTGGGCCGGGACGGGTCCATGGCCCTCACTCATGTGGAAAGACGGAGAAACCCAACAAACTGAAAGGGGGGGCACAAGTGGACGGGAAAGGAGTGTGGGGCCCCTGGGCCTGGAGGACGAGCTTGGGGGGGCCAGCCTCCCCCCGTGGCCTCATGGGAAACAGGGTCTCTGGCCCAGGGGAGGGTCACATCCAGGGTCAGGGGAATCCTTTGGCCTCAAGTGTTGGGGGGTGGGGAGGGCGGCCTCCAACCCACCGTGACGCCAAAGTGGAACGAGGTATCGTGTGTCTGGATGGACGCTGTGTGCGCACGCCTGCGTTCGGGGCGGCAGGGAGATGGGGGCGGCGCCCCCGCAACTGCCCACCCCGGTGGGTGCGGGGGCGGCCTAGCTGGAGGAAGCGGGTGGGGCCGGGCCACTTACCTGGGCCTGAGGGAGCTAGAGGCATGTTGCTGTGTCTCTGAGTGTCCTGGCTGTGTCCCTGGGACCGGGTGCCTGCCTTTGTGTGCCTAAACCCACGGTGGCCGTGGCCGCGCATACAGGAGGGTGTGCGTGTGCGCGCGCCTCGTGCACGCGGCCAGGCTTGGCCACGCCCAATGCCAGGCCACGCCCACGGCAGTCCCCGTCTCAGCCTCCCAGGGTCGTCCGCGCTTTTGAACTTAGCCCTGACACCCTGACCGTGTCCGTGGGTACCTGGGGGTGTCTGAGTGTGTCTGTGTGTGCGCGTGCACCCCGGCCTGGCTGTTTCTCGGTGCGCTGGTGGCCCCCGGCCGGGATGCCCTGCTCCGTGTTCCTGCCCAGTTGGTAAACATAACTTGCCAAAATATTTTCTTTTTTTTTTTTGTCTTTTTTTTTTCAAGTTCAAGAATCCCCAGTAAAAATTCTCCACGAGGTCTTTTTTTTCCCTTTTTACAAAAATAGAGTTTTTCTGCCCCTCCCACCCCCCCCTTTTTTTTCCTATTTTGTTTCTGTTTCAGCCCCTCCTAGCTGTACCTCATTCTCCTCCTCCGAGGAAGGGCTCCAGGCGAGGGAGCCCCTACCTCCCCTCCTCAAGATTTGCTGTTTTGGGGATTGTTAAACCTGTCTTCCCCCTCCCCTTCTTCAAGGTCACCGAGATGTTAGTGGGGAGGCCTGGGCACCCCCCAGTGACACTGTCCCCAACCATGCCGTAGAGGGTGGTTGAGGGGAGGCCCCCTGCTCTTTCTCTTTAGCTGAAAAAAGAAACAAAACCATCGCCATGAACGAAACCAAGACGAGAGAGTGCACAGCCCAGGCTGGGATGAGGCGGCAGGAGCATGAGGTGGGGGACCCCCGGGCCCCCTCCCCCATTCCCTGCAGACCCTGAGGCCACCCTCCCCGAGTGCTCACCCTATGGCTTCCGCCCTGGGTCGTGCGGGGTCTGCCTGCGCCGTCTCCGGCCCTCTCTCTTGCGCTCTCTCTCTCTCTCTCTCTCTCTCTCTCTCTCTCGCTCTCTCTTTCTCTCTCTGTCTCTCTCTGCTGCCCAGGCCAGGCGGCGCCTCAGGCCTTGTGCTGTTTGCTGGTCTTGAACGACACTTGCAGCACACGCTCACCCAGGCGGTAGCCATTGAGGCTGGCGATGGCCATGGCCGCCTCGTCGTAGTTGGTCATGGTGACGAAGCCAAAGCCTTTGCACTTGTTGGTGGTGAAGTCGCGGATGACCTTGACGTTGGTCACGGCCCCGAAGGGCCCAAACAGCTGCCACAGGACGCTCTCGTCCGCCTCCGGCGACAGGTTGTACACGAAGATGCACCAGCCGGCGCCCCCTGCGCCCCCCGACAGGCCAACACCTGCGAGACCACTCATGCCGTCGATGGCGATGGGCGAGAACCTGGCGATGAGCGACAGGGGACTACTTTGGGGGTCACGCGGGCTCTGCCCTGACACCCCATGCGCACCCCCGACCCTGCCCAGAGCCTGAGGCCCACTCCAGTGCTTCCACTCTGTCCACTCTGTCCGGACCTGAGACCCTTCTCCAGTATTCATACTGGTCCTTCCAGGGTGCCCCAGCTTTGCCCTGACCCTTGAGCTTCGTTGTTTGTTTTGGTTTGGGGGTCACAGCCTGCGGTGCTCAGGGTTTCCTCCTAATCTGGAGCTCAGGGATCCCTTCTGGCCGGATTCAGGGGCCACTATGCAGGGTGGCTGCATTATCCGCTGTTCTCGTTCTGGCCTTGACCCCTGACCTCTGACCCTACCTGTCCTTGACTGTGGAGACCCAGGTCCTGCACACACACACACACACACTGAGCCCCAGTCTGGAGGCAATGTCGGGAGCCTGATTGGAGTTGGATCCAGTTTGCATCCCGGCACTACTGTCAAGCAGGGCAGCCTCAATGGACCCTGTAAAGACGCTGAACACTCCTGTTCTCCACTTAGATCCAATTCAGAGGTTCCCTCATCATAGGTTTGCACCCTAAGGGTGGCGCCTGTGCTTTCTCTGGGGGTGGGGCAGACAGAGGGCCACAGCCAGGACCTGGGGGGAAGTGCCACCCTTTCCACACATCATAGGGTCTTTGAGTCTTGGATCTCAGGTGGGGAGCCCACATCACCGAGAGTGAGACCACGGAGAAGGGGTGCATGCCACATTTATTACTGACTCCATCTTTCCTGCAAGCCTTCATTGTGAGGGTTCCCTGGTCCCGAAACAGGTCCAATCATGGGGGTGGCTCTTGGGAGGTGTTAGTGAAGGGAGTGAATGAATGAGGGAGTGAATGAATGAGTGAATGCATAAATGAAAGGTCAGATTTGGCTCCACCCATGTCCCTCCAGCACTCCAACCTTCCTGAGGCGAACTCAACAGACGGGGGGGCGGGGCTGGAGTGATAGCACAGTGGGTAGGGTGTTTGCCTTGGGACCCGGGTTCGATTCCCAGCATCCCATATGGTCCCCTGAGCACCACCAGGAATGACTCCTGAGTGCATGAGCTAGGAGAAACCCCTGCACATCGCTGGTTGTGACCCAACAAGCAAAAAGAAAACAAAAAAATAGAGAGGGTGGGGAAGGCTGGCCCTGCTGCCAGGAATTCAGCCTTGTCCCCCCAGAGGGGTGAGGATCCCTACCTGCCTCTCTGCCCCCTCGAGGCTCTGCTGGGCTGAGGTGAGTCATGAACAGCTCTGCCATGTACCTGTGAGCACCACCTACAGGAAACCCTCCCTGCATGCTCAAACTGTAGCCCTTTGAGTGATCTGCCCAGCACCTGCCCTTTCCTTTCTTTTTAGTGGTGCTAGGACTCAAAACTCAGGACTCATGCATGCCAGACAAATACTCTACTGAAAGGCTAGAACCCCAGCCCTCACCCTCGGGCCCCCAATCTGTCAAGGACTACATGCGACTCCTGGACAGGGACATACAAAATTAAGAGGGCGAACCTAGGGTCGAGGGTGGGAGGGACCGGGCTGGGGTTGGGGTGGGGACACGAGGCTGGGGACAGCAGGGAGGGTCACTATTACCTTTTGACTCCGTAAGCCATGTTAAGCAAGTTGTCCAGCCTGCAGAAGAGAAGGGGCTGGTCACCGGTGGCCTCTGGACACACCATCGGCCAGTCAGCAGGGGCCGGCCCTCCCCACCCCCACCCAGCAGGCCACAGCGCCAGTGCTGTCCCCACGCGCCTGCTCCCTGCCCGGCTGGACACCGCCTGGCACGGAAGCTCTCAGTCACTCAGCCCCTGCCCCTGCCTGCCTCCCCGTCCTTGTCATTCTCCGCCTGCCCCCACATTGCAGGGTGGATCCCTGTCTCCGATGGGGGGATGTGATTCCTAAACAAAGGTGACAATGAGGGTCACAGTCAACTGCGGGGGGGAGGGGATCCCATCCTGGTCACACAGGATCCTTGAGGGGCTCCCATGTTGCCCACTTTTTAATTTGTGGTTTGGGGGCCATACCCAGTAGTGCTCAGAAGTACCCCTGGCGGTGCTGGGGATTCAAACCTTTCGTCCACTCTCTGTCCCCAACCCCCACTTTGCCTTACACCAGGACCTGGGTTTTAGAATCCTGCATGGTAGGGTTTTCACCTTGCCTTGCAGACAGCACCCTGTCCTATCTCTCTCCCCACCCCCTGCCCCTCTGTGCTTATTTTAAAAGGAGGACAAGCTCTGCTCCATGTCAATTGGGAAACTGAGGCACTGGCAGCCAGCAGCCACCGAATCCCATAACCAAAGGAAGCAGCCAGAGCTGGACACCTGAAAACCAGGGTCATCAGAAACGCCACTGGTAGGCGACGCGCACCGACCCTTTCACACACAGTGCGCCCTTCCGCCTACGAGGGCCTGGCCCGGGGTCATGCGGGGGGCACGCGGGGCATCTCACCGGAAGCGCTGCGTCTGGTGGTGCAGGGGCCCCGCATAGCGCCGGGCCGACGACTGGTAGAGGTGCGTGAGCAGGGCCTGGCCGGTCTTCTGGCTCGGGTTGTTGGCGAACTTGACCGTGATGGGCTCGGCCGCGCCCAGCGGCTTCTGCCCGTTCAATCCCTTGATGGCCTCCTCGGCCTCGATCCTCTTGTCGAAGCGGATGAAGCCCACACCCCGGGAGACGCCTGCCAGGGCGGGGGGTGGGCTGACGACCTTGCGACCCCACCCTTGCCCCCAAATCGAGGCTCGCCCTGCGATCGCCACGCTCGTTTTTTCTCCCCTTTATTTGTTTTTTGGGGGGCGGGCTCCCGAGGTGCGTAGGGGGGACCAACAGGGCAATACCAAACGGTGCTGGGCACTGAGCCTGCCTCCCGTGAGAGGGGGGCATGCTCTCCAGATCCTCAATGCCCCCGCTTTTTTCCCTTTGCCCCCTCCACAGCTTCCTTGACCTCGCCCTCCCGCCCCACCTCCCACCCACACCTCCTCTGGCCCCGCCCTGCCCCTCTGGCCACGCCCTTCAGCCCCACCTCCCGCCCCCACCTATCTGGCCACGCCCTCCCCATCTCCTGACCACACCTCCTTTGGCCCCATCTCCTGGACACGCAGCCTGACCTGTGACCTGGTCCACCAGGATGCGGGAAGTGATGATGCGGCCGTACTGGGAGAAAAGCTGTTCCATCTCCTTCTGGCTCATGGTCTTGGGGAGGCCGCTGACGTAGAGGTTGGCATCCCGGATGGACGCGGAGCTGGGTCTGGCGTAGGACACCTGGAGGCCGAGCAGTACCCATTTCTGTTGTTGTTTTTGTTTTGTTTTGTTTTGGGGCAGTACCCATTTCTGAATGCAGAGATCCAGGCCCCCTCCAGCCCTTCCGAGAGGCCTTTTTTGTGTCTACCTCGCCCCAGGATCTCCAGTGAACACCGTGGGTGAGGTTGGAAGACCCCTGTGGGTGTCTGGGGTCACCCAGGGCCACCACCTAGCTGGGAACCTACACTGAGCCCCGGAGATTTCTGGCCACCTGTTCAATCCTGAAAACTCCGAACCTGCTTCGGTTGCCTCCACTTGCCCCACAAGGTCTCACACATACACGAGCCACACCTGTCTCCCCTCGCCTCTCCCTTTCCTGTCAGTGATCCGGGGGGCTCAGTCCCCAGGTTTGCAACCCAGACAACCTCTTTCACATTTGCGCTCAATCCACCTTCCTGTCTTCTCCCCACTTCCACGCTCACCCCCACTAACCCAGATCACCCAAAGACCCGCCGGTGACTCCGCCCCCTCTCTCACCCCCCTTCCCACCCGCAATTGTTCTCCCTACAACGGCCAGAGGGCGTCCGCGAGCCCCGGGCTGGAGCACCAGCATCTTCTGCTTACACTCAATAGCTCCCTCTTTCCTCTGCCTTAAAGCCCTTTCTGGGTCTGCCAGACCCTAACAGACGCCCCCAGCTTCCCTCTGCTTCATCCCTGTCCACCTCCCTTGCCGCTGGCACCGTCCTTCAAGGTCCCCAACACACTGGCTGCCTGGCTGTGACTGGGCATTGTCCCTTCCCGGGTCCTGCTCCTGTTCCTGCCTTCTCCAGCTTTGGGGTGAAATGACCTCTCTTTCCCTTCCCAGCCGGATCCAGTGCCTCCCTCCCCCCTGCGCCCCACAATCTTCCCCTTCCTTGTGAATGGGACACGTTTTCCGTCCTGTCATCCCCAGGCCCCGGGCCAACAATGGAGTCTGCAGTGGTTTCAAAAATGCTGGGCGTGTATATATTTATTCCTCCCAAACAGTGGTGAGTATTGTCAACGGGAAAGAAAAGTCCATTTACAGGGTGGCAGGGCTTCGTGTGACCCCATCTGATTGTATGTTTATCACTCAGCCTGATGTGCGGCGACCTGGGGCTGCCCTGCGGGAGGGAGTACCCCGCCTCCACATCAGCCTCCGACCATGGGCAGACATGGTCATGATCAGGGTCAGCAGGGTCGCCTTTGGTGGATTCACTGGAAACAATCTTTTTTAAAAAGAATGAAAGCTGGAGCGCGGGGAGGGCATTTGCCTTGTACACAGCTGACCCAAGTTCAATCCCCGGCATCCCATAAATTTCCTTGAGTCCTGCCAGAAGTGATCTCTGAGTGCAGAGCCAGGAGTAAGCCCTGAACACTGCCAGGTGTGGCCCCAAAACCAAGGAAGAAAGAAAGAAAGAAAGAAAGAAAGAAAGGAGAAAGAAATAGAAAGAAAGAGAAAAATAAAAAGAGAAAGAGAGAGAAAAAAGAAAAAATAGAGAGAGAAGAAAGGAAAGAAATAAAGAAAGAAAGAAAGAAAGAAAGAAAGAAAAGAAAGAAAGGAAAGAAAGAAAGTTGAGAGTACATTGGGGTTGTCATGTATGTACCTGACCCGAATTCAATTCCCAGAACCCCATATGTTTCCCCAAGTCCCGCCAGGAATGAACCCTGAGCACAAAGTCAAAAGTGGTTGAGGGGGTCCTACACCCCCACCCTGAATAAAAAGAAGAGTTGGGGAGTGAGGCATTCGCTTATGCACAGCAAACCCCCACTTCATTCCTAGCACAGTCTAGGGTCCCCTGGCACTGGCAGGAGGGATTCCGGAGTGTCACTGGCTGTGACCTCCCCAGAAAAATATAAAGGGGGCCAGGGGAGGCGAAGGGGAGGGCATTCCTGCATGGCATGGGGGAATTCACGTTAATACTGTGGAGTACATCTGGCAGCATGGGGGGTGGGGGGAAATGGAGTAAGGAAGAGACGGCTCAGAGGGGCTGGGGAGCCAGTTTGATCTCTGGCACCCCTGAGGGCAACCGCTGAGCAGAGAGCCAGGAGTGGGTTCCGAGCACTGCAGGCTGCCTTCCAACCAAGCCTGTTGACCAACGGCTGTCATTTAAACACAGTGACTGCGTGGTGCTGACACAGCAAGCATACCCTGGTGGGGAGCTGTGTGGTTTGGGGCGCGGGAACCGGCTGCTGTCCTCTCCTGCTAGGGCTTCCCCGAGCCATCCCAGGACGTGGGTGGGGGGCTCCTTCCACACCCCGCACCAGGAGGGGCCTGGCAGTATAGAATTTAGGCTGCGAAAGGGGGCTGTGTGGTCAGGCCACGCCCACGGTCTCCTGCACGAAAACAAGCACGCAGGCAAATATACACACGCACGCACCGCTGCCTTATTCCCGGTGACACCCGGGTCTAGTGAACCGCGAAGTCCCAGAACCACACACACTCAGGGGCCAGTAGACAGGTAGGCGCACAACTCCCTGTCACCATCACAGGGCACATGCAGCACCCCCCTAGGTCACCTCGCGACCCCCAGACACGCGGGACACACCCAATGTCTCCAGGCCCCGGGGAGCAGCCTGTGAGTGTCTGGCCAACACACGCAGGGACCCTCACACAGGGGCCCTCCGGGGCTGGAAAGCTGGAGAGCACTGGCGGGACCCCAACAGAGCACTCCCTTCCCCTTGTGTAAAAGGATGCGACCCCTGTACCAGGGGCACTGGGGGCCAGATGGGCAACTCCCCCCCCAGCCTCCCCTGGGGTTCAAAAGCAGATTTACAGGGCGGAGCCCAGACACCCCCAGGCAAACCAAGAGAGGGGGGTTTCCATGGTGATGCCCCCTCCTGGGAGTGAGGCTTCGCTGGGGCCCAGCTGTGGCAGGGTAGGGGAGGCCCTTGGGGGAGGGGCGTTCATGGGTGGGGGGAGGGGCTGCTCCATCTCATCCTCCCCCCCTAATTAAGTTCCAGATGGCAGATGCACCAGCCCCTCCCCCAGTTCCCTGACAAAGGCCAGGAGGGGACAGCTCTCCTGAGCCCCAGACCCTCTCTCTGTGAGAACCGGGAACCGAGGTTTTTAGAGGTAGAACCAGCCCCCCACCCCCAGGGACTGCTTTCCTGGGCCGATGGGGACAGGGACCCACGACTGCCCTCACCTTGATGGTCTTGGTCTGTAGTTTGAGGCCATTGAGGGTGTTGATGGCTTTGTCAGCGTCATTGGGGTCCGAGTAATTCACAAACCCATAGCCAAGACTCTGACCTGTGGGTGGCATGAGGTAGTGAGGGAAACCCACCCCTGCCAGCCCACCCCCCACTCCCCACATCCTGGCTTCCCTGAACCGCCCACTCCAGGGTGCTGAGAAACAGCATCACACCCTCAAGCTACCACAGAACCCTAAGTTCCACCTGCCCCCATCACCCCAGAGAGTGCCCACTCACCTGCCTCCCAGCCCCACCTCACACCCCTCAGGATCTCCCCGGCCCCCCAGGCAGCAGCCACCTGTGATCTTGTCCCGAACCAACTTGCAGGACTCGATGTCCCCAATGCTGCCGAAGAGACTCTTGAACTCGTCCTGGGTCATGTTCTGGGGCAAGTAGTTGACGATGAGGTTGGTCTTGCTGTCATCAGTGGCTCCGTTGGTACCCAGAAGCGGCCCGTTGGGCAGGGCCGGGCCAGCCGGACCCCCCCCTGCCACCTGAGACTCCATAGCCCCAAGTATCTGCTGGAGACAACAGGCCACATCTGCTCACAGCCGGGCCCCGCCGGGCACGGGGCTCGGTGGGATCTGTCTGTCCTGTGGGGCCTTATTCCGTCTAGCCCCAGTCCCCTCACGTATCCCAACATATGGACCACAAGCAAAACACTTTACAACCAAAAAGTTTCCAGCTGCTCCTGGAGTTTCCTGTAGATGCGCCCTTGGTTCAGTTCGCTCTAGTTTCCCATGACTCTTCACTTAGGTTTCTGTTTTACAGGCGGGGGGTCTTTTTTTTTTTTTTTTTTTTTAGATTTTGGGCCACATCCAGCAATGCTCAGGGGTCACTCCTGTCTTTATGCTCAGGAATCACTCCTGGTGGTGCTTGGGAGACCATGTGGGGTGCCGGGGATCAAACCCAGGTCGGTTATGTACAAGGCAAACACCCTCCCCGCTGTGCTATCACTCCAGCCCCCAAACTCAACACTTCTCTTATGCACAGCCTTTGTCTAGTGCCAGTAACAGTCCCAGCCCTGTTCTGGGTAAAACCGTTTCTTGGGGCTGGATAGCAGGGAGGGCGTTTACCTTGCACGTGGCAACCCAGGTTTGTTTCCTGGCTCCCCACACAGTTCCCTGAGCGCCTTCAGGAATATATTCCTGCGCACCACCACATGAGGCCCCAAAACAAAACAAAACAAAACAAAACAATTTTCTCTTTCAGGGGGAGCCTCCCGGGAAGTTGGAAGAGGGCCCAGAACCTTTCCTGGCGTTTCTCAGCCAATCTGCTGCTGGCTCAATGCAAGAGTTAAGGGTGGGGTGGCCCTTGGGCCTTGTGAGTGATGTTGGGGACCACCTTGGGAGTACTCAGGGGCCATGTGGTGAGGATCACACGGGCCTAACCTTAATCTCCACATTATCTCCTTGGCCCCTTTGTTAGAATTTTGTTTTGGAAGGCCACACGTGTTGGAGTTCTATTCCCAGTTCTGTGCTTGGGGATTATTCCCGGTGGTGTTTGGGAGACCACATAGGGTGCCAGGGGTATGCTTTTTAAATGTTTTTCGGGGTCACACCCAGCGATGCTCAGGGGTTACTCCTGGCTTTGCACTCAGGAATTACTCCTGGCAGTTCTTGGGGGACCATATGGGATGCCAGGAATCAAACCCCAGTCGGCTACTATGCTATCGTTCCGGCCCTGTGCTTCCGTTTTTTTTTTTTCCTTTTCCTTTTTGTAGTGCTGGGGGGCTGGAGTGATAGCACAGCGGGTAGGGTGTTTGCCTTGCACGCAGCCAACCCAGGTTCGAATCCCAGCATCCCATATGGTCCCCTGAGCACCGCCAGGGGTAATTCCTGAGTGCAGAGCCAGGAGTAACCCCTGAGCATCGTCAAAAAAAAGCAAAAAAAAAAAAAAAAGTCCTTTTTGTAGTGCTGGGGATCAAGCCCGGGTCCTACTCCTTTTGGAGATTGAGGGGCTTGGGCACAGCTGGAGGTGCTCAGGACTACTCCCACCTCATTGCCCAGGGGTCTCTCCCAGCACTGCAGGGGGCAGAACCCGGGGCTCCTGCGCATGAAGCCTGTCTCCAGCTCTTTGCTTGCTCTGTGCAGACAATGAGGCCACATCTGTGGTTCCAGGAGGTGATGCTTTAGACAAAGTCAATGCACTCCCAGGTCAGGATGGACTGTGGGGATTATAGATCTAGGTTCAGGATGACTTGGCAGCACTACCTGGTCCTGGAGGACCACCAGGGTGAACCTAGAACCCCAACATCAACATATGAACCTCTCCATCTTGCCTTCTTCCTTCTGCTTTTTTGTTTGTTTGTTTGGGGGACCACACCTGGTGATGCTCAGGGATTATTCCTGGCTCTGCACACAGAAATGACTCCTGGCGGTGCTCAGGCAACCATATGGGATGCTGAGGATCGAACCCGGGTCATTCAGGCACAAGGTAAATGCCCTCCTGGCTGTACTATTGCCCCCCTCTGTTGGTTTTGCTTATTTGTTTGATTTGGAGCCACACCCAGCAGTGCTCCTGGCTTACTCCTGGCTCTGCATTCAAGGATCACTCCTGTTGGAGCTCGGGGAACCATATCATATGGGGTGCTGAGGGTCAAACCCCAGTCAGTGGCAAGCAAGGCCCTGACTGCCGCTGTCCCATCTCTCCAGGCCTTCTTCTTTCGACTTCTTCCAACTCTGAAACAATTGCCGAGGGCATTGTAAGGGCCCCTGGGATAGCACTTTCACTTTGCTTTGCGGTGTTTTCTTTGATTTCATTCTTCGGGGACCACGCCCAGCTGTGTGTGGGGGCTCACCCCAGCAAACACCTCCCCTCTGTTTTGTCTCTCTGGCCCTGCAGTGGGGGTTTCCAATACCCAACACACCGTATGTTCTCCCGAGCACTGTGGGGAGCTACTCCTAGGCCTGGGCGCTGAGCTGGGTGTAGCCCCCCCAAAAGGATTCAAAGGCACCTTGAATTTCAGCAGGAAAAAACCCTGTGATTGATTAACAATATTTGCTGTGACCACAGAATCAGAGAAAGAAGCTTATCATCGTGGCCACCCGTGACCCCAAATACTAATAGCAGAATTGTTCCCCAATACAGGTGCTATGGTGGGGCCCGGGGCAAAGTGATTTTTATTTCCTCAATCACAAGCCTGGAAACACTCACCTCCCTCCTTAAAAATACTACCCTGGGGCTGGAGCGATAGTACGGCGGGTAAGGTGTTTGCCTCACACGCGGCCGACCTGGGTTCGATTCCCAGCATCCCACATGGTCCCCTGAGCACCAGCAGGGGAGTGCAGAGCCAGGAGTAACCCTTGTGCATCGCCGGGTGTGACCCCCCCCAAAAAAAAATAGCACAGAGGGTAGGGCATTTGCCTTGCACGCGGCTGACCTGGGTTCGATGGTCCCCTGAGCACCGCCAGGAGTCATTCCTGAGTGCAGAGCCAGGAGTAACCCCTGAGCATCGCTGGCTGTGACCCAAAAAAGCAAAAAAAAAAAAAAACTACCCAGGAGTCTGGGAAGAGAATACAGCAGCAGGGAAGGGGCTAGCCTGGCATGTGCCAAGCCCGGGTTCAATCCCTGGCATCCCATACATTTCCCAGAGCCCCACGAAGAGTGATCCCTGAATACAAAGCCAGGAGTAATCCCTTAGTGCCACCGGGTGTGGTGCAAAATAACTACAAAAAAAAAAATACTCGGGGGGGGGGGTCGGGGAAGATGGGGGCAAGGTGCTTGCGCGGCCTACTCCTGCCCAGGCTGGCCCCCCACAGCGCATGGCCTTCCAGCACTGCAGGCTTGACCCCAGAGATGCCTGGATCCTGCCAGAAAAGCCCTGGGTGGGCCCGAGCAGTCCCACATCCTTGGGCCCTGGCACCAAATGCCAACCCAGTGGGACCTGGTGGGTGACTCATCCCTGCAAGTGGCCCCAGGCCCCCCTGAGCGTGGTTGGACATACCTGTCCCTAAAACCATGCTGTAGATTTGGGCTGAGGATGTGGCTCAGTGGGGAAATGCATGCCTTGGGGCCAGAGCAATAGCACAGTGGGAAGGGTGCTGGCCTTGCACCATCCCTGGCATCCCATAGGGTCACCCCAGCACTGCCAGGAGTAATTCCTGAGTGCAGAGCCAGGAGTAACCCCTAAGCATCACTGGGTATGACCAAAAAAGCAAAAAAAAAAAAAGAAAGAAAGAAAGAGAAAAGAAAATGCGTGCCTTGCATGCCTGAGGTCCTGCATTCCATCCCTGGTACTTAAAAAAAAATCCAGACTAGAGAATATGTGAGAGGTATGGCACCTGTCTTGCGTGTGGCTGGCCCCAGGTCCATCCTGGCCCCGATTGCTCTCTGAGCAACACCCCCACTTCCACCAAATGCTATAGACTCCATTTTTTTTTGGGCTACACCCAGCAACACTCAGGGGTTATTTCTAGCTTTGCGCTGAGGAATTACTCCTGGCAGTGATCAGGGGGTCATATGGACTGCCGGTGATGGAGCCGGGGTCAGCAGCGTGTGAGGCAAATGTCCCTCCCTTCTGTACAGCTGCTCCAGCCCCTGGATCAATTTCTGAGCCCTCTCCAGCTCCAATCTGCACGTTGAAACCTACCCATTGGGGGGATGGAACTTGGAAGTGGAGGGGGCCTTTGAAAAGAGGTAATTAGGTCCTGAGGATCGAGCCCTCCTGGATGGGAATCCTGCCAGGGATGAAGGGGTGAGGGAGAGTGGGCTTTCTGCCCCGCACCCCTACAGGGACCTGCACAGCAGGATGTGACCAAATTACATCGGTCCTAGACTGCTCACCTTCAGAACTGTGAAAAATAAACGTCTGTGGTTTAATCCACCTTTCCCTTTTTGGGGGTGGTGGCAGCGCTGTCCGCGCAGGAAGCGCCAGCATTAGCCCTCCAAGCTGTCTTCCCCGGCCCTGACGTCAGCAGTTTATGTATTTTGGGGATAGCAGCCTGAGGTGACCCAGACAAGAGGAAACAAAAGTGCAGAGATGCGTGAAATTTTCTGTTTGCTCAGTTTTGTTTTATTTAATTTTTTTGGAGGGATGGCTACATCTAAAGATGTTCAGGGGTTACTCCTGGTTCTGTGCTCAGGAATTATTCCTGCTGCTCAGGGGACCCTAGGAGATGTGTGGGATTGAACCCGGGTTGACTGTGAGCAAAACAAGAACCCTCCCCACTGTACTATTGCTCCAGCCCAATTACTTGTTTTCGGAGCCACACCGTTGCCTATTCAGCTTATTTCTGGCTCTGAGCTCAGGGACCATTCCTGGCAGTGGTCAGAGGGACCCTATTCAGTGCTGGAGGTAGAACCAGGGATGGCTGCATACAAGGCAAGCCTTTATCCACTGTACTCTATCACTTCAGCCTCTTTTTTTTTTTTTTTACTGCTAAGGAAGTCACAGGTGGAGGTGCAGTGGCTAAGAGGGACTTTGGGGCCAGTAGGAGTTACAAATGGCAATTCTCAGGGGTCCATGTAATGCCCGGGATCAAAACCAGGGCCGCCTACATGCTAAGCATTCTTTTTTTTGTTTATTTGTTTTTGGGTCACACCCGATGATACTCAGGGGTTACTCCTGGCTCTGCACTCAGGAATTACTCCTGGCGGTCCTCGGGGAACCATATGGGATGCAGGGAATTGAACCCGGGTCGGCCGTGTGCGAGGCAAACCCGCTGTGCTATTGCTTCAGCCCCATGCTAAACATTCTTTATCTTTTGTGACATCTCTAAGCCCTCTCCCAAGTTCTTTTTTGGGGGGAGGGGGGCACACCTGGCAGTGCTCAGGAGTTACTCCTGGATCTGCACTCAGTAATCACTCTGGTGATGCTTGAGGGACCATAGGGATGCCAGCATCCTATCCTCTGTACTATCTCTCCACATACCCCTAGATTCGTGTGTGTATGCGCGTGCGTGTGTAGGGGACTGACATCCAGTGATGCTTAGGGGTCTCTCCTGGCTGCACTAGGGAAACCACACGGAGCTGGAGACTGAATCCAGGCCTGCTACCTTTGAAGTTTGAGCCCCTCCTCTCCGTAGGAGCCATTGGTTGGCAACCCTCCCAAATCCCTTCTCCCACCATTGAGTGTCATGGCACTTTCCCATTTCACAGAAGAGAAAATGGTGTCGCAGCAAGAGGCGGGACAAATTGCAGGGAGTTGGGCAGCCCTTGAGTGAGGACCAATACTTTAGCTAGGAGGGCTTGGGCTTTAGAGGCACCAGTTTTCACAGAAAGGTCCGGGGCACAAACACAGCCAAGAAAAGCCGAGCGCCCAGTGTCCGCCCAGTGCCCACCTGTCTTGCCAGTCCCATATAGCTGGCATCGCCATGCAGGATGCTCACCATGTATTCTCAGGACACTGCCCCCTCGGGTCACTAATGGTACCGCCTCCCCATCAGAAGGGGGACTCAAAATTCCCACCCAGGCTCCCGGAGTGCCCTGTGAGGGATCGGCTTGGGTGCTTCGGAGGCAGCCAGCAGCCCACGAGCCACACAATTGGGAGCACAGAACAGACCAGCTTCCAGCTCTGGAACCCTCCTATGGGCCAGGCACGGAGCATGTGTCAAATATCCACGGGCTTCCCACACTGAAATGTCACCTCCCCCCGCCCCCCACGGTGTCTCCTGTGAGAGAGGGGAATGACGGGGGAGGTGGCAGAGAACCCTTGGTCCCAGGACCCCAGGGCCTATGGGGTTACAGACTTCACACCTCTCCGCCACCACACTCCCCCCCATGCTGTCCTGGATTCTATGAGCCTCCAGCGGGGACCCCAAGGATTCAGCTACTAATCTGCCCAGCTCCCTCCCATCTGCGCTCCAGCTTAGCGCGATCAGTGTCGCTTTTCCCAGACTGCGTCTGAGCCGGCTCAGCTGCTAATGGGGATGGGATTAGTGGAGGCCACACCTGCCTGTGTGGTCGGGAAGATGGACGGATGGAGTGAGTTCTGGCGGCTGTCTGGGGGACAGACAGAGACGCAGAGACAATTGCCGAGCAAGGAGCCACCCTCGGCCACTCCCCAAACAGTCCCTAGGGTCCACGCTTCTCTCTGGCTCAGTCGGCTCTGCCCTCCCCCAGCTCCCCTCTCTTCTCCCTCCCCTCGCCCCTCTCTGGCCCATTCTTCAACTCTGATTTTTTGGCACACATCTGACCTAGGATGTGGCCATGAAGATGCCAGAGGTCTCTTGCTGTGTCCCACTCTGTGGGACACCCCTCGGCTCCCAGCTGCACCCCCCATCACACTGACAGACACTTGGGTGACAATAGGGCATTGAGAGTCTCTGCTGGGTAAGGCTGGGCCACCACGTGGTGTCAGCTGCACCGCGGCACATCTGAGTCTTCCGCCCTCCATGCTGGGCCCTTACATCTCCCTCACTCCCCCAGCCCGGCTCAGCCATGGGGGATGCTGCCCCAGTGCTCCGGGGGAGCCATCAGGCCTCCAAAGGCCAGGCCCTGGGGTGACCTCTGGCCACACCCTCTCCCCTTTGTGCTCCGGGCTCGGGCTCCTTTCTCCAAGGGGAGGGATGGATGGGCTCCGTGCACGCCCGCGCCGCATCGTGAGGCTTCCGCGCGTTTCGAACCCAGCTGAAGCCCGCGAGGCCGAGGGCTGGACACGGAGGCAATCAGCCGAGAACCGTGGACGCGGGCCTAGGCTCTCCGGAGCCAGGTGGGTGGGTCCCCCTGCGCGGCAGGGAGGGGGGCTTGCCCCACCTGCTGCGCCGGCCACGACTCGCTGATGACGCCCGGTGTCCGGAGACACACGTCCATAGCCCCGGGGGCTCCCGGCGAGAGCCGAAGACAGAGGCCCGAGCGCCGGGACCAGACAAAGGACGCGCGGCGGCGGCGCGGAGAGTGGGGTGGCGCGGCGGGGGCGGGGTGGAGCCGGGGTGGGGCCACCACTGGTCAGCCCCGCCCCCGGGAGCCGCCCGCGCTGCCCAGTCCGGGCCCCCGGGGGCCTGGGGGCGGGGCCTAGATGGGCGTGGTAGGGGCGTGGCCAGGTCGGGCGTGGCCGGGCGTGGCCGCGCGCTCGGGAGCTGACCAGCTCGGTGGTTGCTGAAAGCACCGGGCGAGCCGGAGAGCCGGCGAGCGGCGCGGGCGGGCGCGGGCGGGCGGGCGGGCGGGCGCGCTCAAGGTCACCCCGCGGCCCAGATCCCCGGCGGGGTGGGGCGCCCGACTTAGACGGTGGCGGGGGGCGGCCCTGCCACAGCCCTCTGCCCCATCTCCCGGTGGGGGTAGGGTGCTGGGACCCAAAAGCCAGGACCTCCCCCACCTCCCCCGCGGTCCTCCTCTCCCCTCCCCCTCCCCGCAGCCGGAGGCGCCCGCGCGAGGCTACGGCCCGCGAAGAAACGCCGAGAAACAAAGGGACGCGGCGGTGGCGGGCCCGCGGGGCCTCTGGGCGCGCCCCCTCCTCTCCCCTCCCCGCTTGCCGCAAGGTCGACGGGCTCCAGAACGAGACGCCCCACTCCCGGGCGCGGCCGAGGCCCGGAGCCCGCGGTCCGACGCCACCTGCATCCCCGGGGCTCTGGGGGACTCCTGGCCTTCTGGTCCCGACCCAGCGCCAGTCCGTGGGGCCCTGCGTTTGCCTGGGGCGGCCTGCGGGTCGGGTCCGGATGGAGGAGGCATCCGCCGCCGCCGCGGCCCCTCCCCCACCAGGCCCGCGGGAGGGGGGCAATCCCGCCCCCAGGGCACCATAGGACGCCCTCCCCAAACGCCGCTCGGCTCCCTAAAGCCTCTCGGGCCAGAGTCTCAGCGCCCTCCCCCTCCCCCACCGCACTCTGGGCGCGGCCCTGCCCACACTCAGGCCCCAAGCTCGGTCCTACCCCCCCACCGGGCCTAGCTAGGCCTGGTCCTACCCCCCCCACAGTCTCCGCGGAGCCGATGCGCCTGACCCCTCCCCGACCAGATTCCCTCTTAGCGACAGGGGAATACCTACAGTGACCATTCTTGTGTGCCCGGCGGGCGCGGTCCGTGTTGAGGGCGACTCCGGGGGTCGTGCAGTCCTGGACGGGCGCTCGATGCACACGCCGGGGTCCTGGCTGGGCGGCCTTTGACGCGGCCGCTGCAGAGGTGCTGGCGAAGGCAGCGGGTCCCTCGAGGGCCGAGGACGGGCCCGGGCCCCGGGACGCGCGCGAGAAAAACCGGGCCCCGAGGTGGCCTGCAGGCGGCAGAGGATGGAAAGAAGGAGCGGGCGCGGGGTTGAGAACGTCCCCTGTACGGCCCCTCGGGGCCACTGGAGGTCGCGCTTCCCGACAGAGATCTCGGCGCTCTGCCTGCCGCCGCCGCCGCCCCTCGGCCCGGCCTGTCGGGTCCCGGTGCTCGGTCCTCTTCCCTCACCCGCCCTCCCTCCCTCCCTCCGGCCCGCGCTGCGCGCTCCGCGTTCTGGGCCGCGCCGCCGCCGCCCCCAGCCCTTTATAGCCGCAGCTGCCAGCGCCGGCGTTGCTCATTGGCTGCGCCCTCAGAGCCCCGCCTCCTCGCGGTGTCCGACGGCGCGGCAGGTGGAAACCAGCGCGCGCTGCCAGGGACTCAACATTCCCCCTAAAGTACTTTCTGGGAAGCGTCTCGGGTACCGCATGGGGGCCCGTTTACCCCTTCCCACCCCGCAGGACCTGCTTCGTCCCTCTGGCGCCTCATCTTGGTCAAACTTTTCTGTTGGGAAGCTAAAGCAGGGTTCCCTTCTCTGTTCAGCACCCAGGGCAGAGGACCAGGAGGTATGGAGAGGGGGGAGGGGACCAATTTTCGACCTTCCGTAGGTGTCATCCACCACGAGAATTGGAAAGGGACAAGGTGAGACCAGGTGTAGTTCCCAATGCCACGGAAGACTGTGACAGCGCCGTCACACTGCAGGGGAATCCGTCACTGCTTCCAAGGAGCGAGGAGGTTTGGGCGCTGAGGGTTCCGAGAGAACTTCATGGCTTCTGTGCAGCCCCAGAAAACCACTGGACCTTCTCCGACCCCATGAATTTGGGGTGAATGATTTTGTATGTAAATATCCTGGTTTTCCGGGTCTGTGATTGGTCCGCATGTGGAGTCACGCTTCCTCTCTGCTGGTGTGTGGGTGGGGGACCCTGCGTCTACTCAGGCGACAGCCTCCTTGGGTGCGCGGGTGCAAGAGTACATTTCCAACGTCTGGGAGGCAGCAGGGATGGCAGGCGAGGGTGCGGGGTGATTTCTCCAGGATTGAGAGACCTTCAGGAGACACTTCAGGGGCTGGAGTGATAGCACAGCGGGTAGGGCGTTTGCCTTGCACGCGGCCGACCCGGGTTCAATTCCCAGCATCCCATGTGCTCCCTGAGCACCGCCAGGAGTAATTCCTGAGTGCAAAAGCCAGGAATAACCCCTGAGCATCGCCAGGTGTGACCCAAAAAGCCAGAGAGAGAGAGAGAGAGAGAGAGAGAGAGAGAGAGAGAGACTTCAGCACCACAGACAGCGGCCCTCCCGCCAGGTCGAAGGTGCGGCGGGCGGTGGAACTCCCTAACCGAACTCCCTAACCCGTGAGTTCCTCCCCGCACCCCGACTATCTCCTCGTCCCTGGACGCCCTTCTAAGGCTCCTGATTTTCCCAGCCCGGCGGAGAGAGCCTGAGTTGACCAATCAGGCACGACCCTGGAGCGAACCAATAGCGGGAGGAGGCTCTCGAGGCTGAGCCAATGAGAGCGCGCGCAGACGAGCGCGCAGCCACGCCGGTGGGGAGGACGGGCCAATCGTAGGGGCCCGCACAATCAGGGCGGCGGTGGTGCGGGGCCCCGGGTGGCCTCTCTTGGGTTTGCCGGGCCGACGTCGCTGCCCACCCCGGGGAGCTCTGGGGGATGGGAGACGCGCTTCCCACCCCAAGCTCCTTCCGGCTCCTGTCGGGTGGGAGGGGGCCACTCCTGGGCGCGTAGTCCCGCTGCTGTTCCCATGGAAACGGCTGCCTTGAGCAGTGCGGAGATGGGAAAGGGGGCTGAGCCGGGAGGCTGGGGAAGGGGCGTCTCAGTGGCGGGACTCATTCATTCGCGCGAACGCGTTCACCCCTTGCTCTAGTAGACACGGACCTCGGATCTGATGGGGAGGAAGCCTAGCGGGGACACGAACCGGCGGGCCCAGTCTGCGCGTGGCGCCACTGGGCTTCTCTGGCACGTGCCAGGGCGCCCGGCTACGGCCCGGGGTCACGTGGGTGCGGCCAGCGGGGGTGCCTACGCGGCTTGCGCGCCACCTGGCGGCCTCAGGGACTTGGCACGGCTCGCCGTCCCCCTCCCAGGCGGCCTGCAGGAGATTGTGGAGGCGGCGGCCTCTGCATCCTCCTCCGGGAAATGGGGCCAGGGCAGCCTCTCTGCTCCTGCCAACTCCCCTCCCCGCCGTGGCTTTGGCTTCCTGTTCCAGGAACACACTGAGCCCGTTCTACCTCGGGGCTTTGGCACTGACTGTTCCTGAGCCCGGGAATCGCCTCCCCCGCCTTTCTTCGGGGATGATACCTCTGCCGTTCTGGGCTAGGCTCCCATGCCACCTCCTCCGCGAGGCCCTCCCTGACCACCCATCTGAATTGCACCCTCGGGAACGAACACAGCCGTTTCCTTCCAGGCGCTCACCGCCACCACCGGGGATGTCATCCTTGGGTTTACAAACAGCCCCCCAATTGGTCCCAGAGCAGTGGGTAGGGAATGAATGCTGCGTGAGGGATGTGGGGTGCGGTCAGGGTTCCCAACCTCCCTCCCTTCTTTTGGTGAGAGGACCTGTCAGGTCAGATCAGAGGCAGTGCGGATTGTGGGGTACCCCTTTGTCCCCCCCAGGGGCCAGCAACCCCCGCCACCAATCATCCAGGCCCAGGGGAAGGGCGTTCATCTCCTTTCTTGCTCTTTAATCTCTGCTCTCCTGACACAGTTCCAGCAGGCTTCCTCCGGGGAAAGTGGGGAGGAACGCAGAAGCGGGGGGGGGGGGGGGCGGGAACCTGCCCCGGGGACCCAGCCCTGGGGCGGGGCAGGGGCGCCTCCTTCCAGCCCGGCCCGCGGTCCAGGCGGCCCCCGCTGCTCGCCGGGCCTCAGCAGAGCCCTGGCCTGGTGTCCCAGCGGTCAAATAAATAGGGGCGGTCAGAGGGTGGTCCGTGGGTCAGGTGGGCTTGTGGTCCGGGTGGCTTTTCAGCGTGTGGAACTTGACACTGTCCAGCTTCTCGAAGCGCTTCCCGCAGCGCTCGCACGTGAAGTTGTACTGCACCTCCGCCGTGTGCTTCTTCATGTGCCAGTTGAGCGAGGCGCGCTGCCTGCACTGGTAGCCGCAGATCTCGCACCTGCACGGGGTGGGGGTGGGGGGCGGCACCGAGGGCGTGGTTAGAGGGGCGTGGCCAGGAGGGGCGGGGCTGTTCTGGTGGGCGTGGCCAGGACAGGACCGACGCATCTCGGCGTGGTCGGGTGGGCTTGTCGCAAGGGTCTTTCATCTCGGGCGGTTCGCGAAGGGGGTGCCCAGGGTGGAGCTGACTGTGGGAACCCCTGGCTCGGCCACCCCTCCCACCCTCCCTGACTCACTGCAGGGGTGTCTCCCCAGTGTGCGTGCGCCGATGCACCTCCAGGTGATTCTTCCTTTTGAAGGACTTGCCACAGGTTTCACAGGTAAATTCACGGACCCCTGAGGGAGACATGTGGCAGGGGGATTGTGGCGGTTGTGGAGTGATGGGCCAGCTGCAGGAGGCCCTGCTCCCAGACCCTCCCAGTCTCTCGGGACTCAGAGCCCAGGTTGCCCCAACCTCCTGCCCCAACTTCTGTACTACAGTGGGGTTCCTCGTGGGGTGAGACTGGGAAGGGTACCTGGGAATGAGCCTGGGCAGAGCTGGAGTTTGAGCTTGCACCCCTGAAGGGCAGAGGGTGCAAACTGTCACAATGGGGCTGGGGACCAGGGAGATGGGTACCCCAGCACCCCATGGGTCTCCAAGTATCACTTCAGCATGGCCCCCAAACCCCAAAAAAGAAATGTGGCTGGGCCAGGGCTGTTCAGTGGTTATGCAGCACTTCCCTTGCAGGGGTGACATCCAGACCCCCAGCCCTGGCCCCTCCCACCCCACAAAATAAAGTTGTGACAGGTCTAAACGTGAGCCTAGCATGTGGACCTTGGGGTAACTTCACAATCAGATCTCCAGCGTTCCGAAGCTGGGTTTGCCTTTGGGGCATGAAGCCTGGACTCCCTGCCTGCCCACAGCCCACTCCCGGGGGCCAGCCTTGCCAGCGTGAGGGCAGAGAGGCCGTGAGCTCCATCCCCAGTATGGCCCCACTGGTTGGGATCCCTGTGCCACCACCCGGGTGTCATCTCCAAACCAAGAGTGGGCAGCCCCTGGTCAGAGGGCAGGAGAAAAACTGACCAACAGTAAAAAATAAAGGAGGTCCTTGAAGCCGGCTCCCCCACCCTACAGGTCTCTGAGCTCCACCCCCACCTCACCCCTGGAAAGGGGTGGGGCCCTGGGCCCAGGGTGTGAGGGAAGCACCAGGGCCATTCTGGCCGTTATCCGGGGCCTCACCAGAGTGGATGATCATGTGTCGCCGCAGATGATTGGACAAGTAGAACTTCTTGCCGCAGCCAGGGTGCGGACACACTTTGGTCTTCCCCTTCCGGTGCACGAGGTTGACATGGTTCTGGGGGTGAGAGCAGCAGGAGGGAGTCCGTGGGGTGGGTAGGGTTCGACAGGAGCAAACATCTGGCAACCATGGCCAGAGGCCAGTGTAGGGGGGTGGGGGACAGGCCCAGGGCAGGGCCCAGGCACAGATGGGGAAATCAAGGCTTGGTGCTTTGGTGCAGGCTTCCCAGGAGGGAGGCCAGGGCTGGGTGCCACCAAGGACACACAAAGCTGACCAACGTGATCATTCATTCCTTGTCAGTTTCATTCATTCATTCACTGGCACATGACGTCTTGCAGCATCTGGCCCAGCCAGAAGGACACTGTGACTTGAGATGTGGCAGTGAAAAGGGTCACTGCCCCGTGTGGGGGCATGCGCAGGGGCCCAAGCCAAGAACCCAGCCAGCCAGAAGCAAGTCTAGTACTCTGCAGAATAAGCCCCCAGAAGGGGGCCTGGGGGGCACAGAGGAGGACCGGGAATGGAGGTGCACATGGGGCCGCCTGTCTCTTTGGAGGGGCGCTGGAATCAGTTGGGGTGCAGGGCGCGGGGTGCTGGGGCAGGGCCCACCTGGAAACTGCTGAGGGCGGCGTAGACCTGGCCGCAGCCCTCGTGGGGACAGTGAAACATCTCCAGCAGCCCGTCAGCATCAGTCACCCGGGAGCGCTTGCTCCGACGCCGCCTGCAGGGGAAGGGCCCAGGTGGTGGCTGGCAGCCCCCCTAACACCACCACCACCCCCCTCCCGCCCTAGGCTGGTCTTCCCCACCTCCCGCCACCACTGCGCTCCCCCCACGACACCCACTTCTCCGGCTCCTTGGGGATCTCGTAGATGATGGCGGACACGTCACTGCTGTCCAGGAACTCCCCATCGGCCTCAGGCACCGCCGCCGTCAACTCGGCCAGCTCTGGGGCCAGGGGCTCCTCCCGCTCCTCCTTCTTGAGTACATACAGGTCCTCCTTCTCTGTGGGGAGACGCGGGCTGGGTCCGTGGGGGCCGTCCCAGTACCGCCCACCCCCGCCCTGGGAACACAGGGCCCGTGCCAACCTTTCTTAGTCTCGATGGTGGCCAGTGCGGTGGGGTCCAGCGTGCCCGGCTGGCTGCCCTCGGGCTCCGTCTGGGTGTAGGCCGCCACGCCCTCCATCATGGCACAGGGCACCTGGTCGCCCAGTCCACCGCCGCCAGATGCCCCGCTGCCCGCCGCCACGTTGAGGTGCAGGCCCTCGGCCGTGAGGGCATCGTAGGTGGGGCCGGCGATGATGATGACCTGTGAGCCGGACACCATGCCGGGCACCGGGCAGCTGGCGACCACCTCGCCCAATGCCTCCTGAGGCACGTTGTCGAAGAGGCCACCGGGCCCCGTGCCCACCTGTACGGGCACGGGCACACATACCACCGTCTCCAGGGCATCGGGCCCGCTGGCGGCCGGGCCGGGGCCTAGCGGGGCTCCTGGCTCGGCCAGGCTGTCCACGTGGTGGAGGTCGAAGGGGATGTGCACACCCTCCTGCGTGATGAGGCCGCTGCTGCCTGCTGGGCTGGCGGGGGTGACGGCCGCAGCGGCCCCCGCACTCCCCTTGGCCAGGGGACCCTCAGAGGGCTCCTCGGAGTCGGAGCTGGAGCTGGAGCTGGATGTGTCGGAGCTACCAGCCGCCAGGCCATGGCCCACTGTGGTGACAGAGGATAGGGAGGTCATGGCCACAGCCCATGTCGGGGGCATGGGGGAGAGCCCCGCTCCCTCAGCCTCTGGAGGCCCTCTCTGGATTCCTGGATCCCCCACAAGCCCCCAGAGTCTCTGGCTCGGGTCAGGCATCTTGAAGCTCCACCCTGCCCTGCCCTAGGGGCTCGGACTGGCTTCCAGGTCACATCTCTGCATCTTCAGATCGGTGCCCTCAGCACCTCTGGGGTTCCCCTGGGCTGAAGGCTTGGGTTGCACTCTGCCTGAAGACAGTCCGCTGCTCCCATGCTGGGACAGAGGGCCCCCCCCAACCTCCTGCACCCACCCTTCTGCCAATCTGCCGGCCAGTCCTCTGGGGGTTGTCCCCAATGTCCTCACCGGTCAGTGGCTCCTTCCCACCTCCCTGTGGATCCAGCTCACGGTCTCTGTCCCTCATGGGAGAGCTGCTGTCCCGGCCGGCCGGCCGGCTGGCTCCTCCCTGCCGAGACCAGCTCCCCAGGCCAGAAGCTGCCTGAGGGGTCAGGACGGTGGGGCGGAGCTGGGGCTCAGAGTGCCCCTCTCTCTCCTCCCCGGGTCTCTGCACAGGATTGGTGCTGTGTTCCCCATTTCCAGCCCCCCAAGGGTGCAGGAGCCCTGGCAGGCCCAGTCCTGAACCTGTGTTAACCCCTGAGGACCAGGCCAGGTCCAATGTTGGGTTGGGGCACAGGGTGCTCCTGGGGCACCACCCAGATGGACCCATCCCCAGCCTCACACCCAGGGTCCTAGGTGGTGGCAGGGAGGCTGGGGAGAGGCAGGGGAGGGAGCCCAGTTGCAGGCTGACCCCTGGCCAGGATGCCCACTTGGAACACCTCTTTCTCCCGGCTTCCCTGGGGCCAGCTGGGAAGCCACCTGCTCCGAGCTGCCTGCCAGGGGGGACTCAGCCTTGATGGACAGAACCACCCTCAGCCCTGGTAGGGCACCTGTCTGCAGGCTGGCAGCCCTGCACCCCCCATGGCGTGGAATCTGCTCACCCCACACCCCCACACTGAGGCCAGCTGGGCCCATGAGAGCCAGCCCCGCCCGGCGCTCAACCCACAGGCACTGCATGTGAGCAGGGAAGGAGCAGGAGGCGGGGGGGGGGGGGAGGAAGGCAGAGAGATGGGGGAGACAGAGATGGGGGAGGCAGAGAGATGGGGGAGACAGAGATGGGGGAGGCAGAGAGAGGGGGAAACAGAGATGGGGGAGGCAGAGATGGGGGAGGCAGAGAGACGGGGGAGACAGATGGGGAGGCAGAGAGATGGGGTTGGGAGAAATGGGGGTCAAGATAGGAGAGGTGGAGTTCAGGAGAGGTGGGGGAAGCAGGAGAGATGGGGGTCAGGAGATACGTGGGGTCAGGAGAGAGAGGGCGAAGAGGTGACGTAGACAGGAGGGCGTAGGCGAGGGAGCTAGCCAGGTAACAGAGATGAGGTGGCAGCGTTTGGGCCCCCATGCGCCAGGGCCTGGCTGGCAGCTCTGTGGTGTGCTGTGGTTTGCAGCCCTGCGCCGGGCCATAGGAGTGCGACCCTTGGCGAGCCCCACGGCTGCCAAACTACAGGGACACTTCCGGGCACGTTCGGGCCCCAGGTGACCGAACATCCCCCAACTCCAGGGCCAGCTGCGCAGAGCACAAAGGCGAGCACGGGCTCAGCACACGGTACAGCTCTGGGAGAGGGGCCTGAGTGCAGGCCGTGCACTAGGGTCCCAGGTTCATCCCTCAAGCACCACCCGGAGCATAAAACCAGACAGCCCCCCCCCAAAAAAAAAGGAAAAGGGGAGAGAGTTTTGAATTTTCAAATAAGAAAGGGCAGCAGAAAGAGGTGCAAACAAGGGCCAGAGAGATAGCACAGCAGGTAGAGGACTCGCCTTTCCCTGGCAGATCCAGGTTCGATACAGGCATTGCATATGGTCCCAGGTACACCCCCAAACTCCCCTCCTCATAAAAGGGAAGAGATTCAAAGGCAGAGGCAGAAGGAGGGAGGGAGAGAGCCAGCCTGGGGATGAGATGGGGAGAACGCCTGGTGCCAGCCTGTGTCTGCGCTCAGCACTGCTGCGTCCCTCTGTACCAGGCGAGCCACCCACAGGGTCTACCGCGACCCACAAGTGGCCGGACACACCCACAGCATTCCTGACACTGGCCGACCTCAGCTGCCCAGCGCCCAGCCCGCGTCCCCATGTCCCCTGTCTGTCTGTGCTCGGGGCCCCACCTTTGTCACTGTCGGGGTCTGAATCGCTCAGCGGTTTCAGGGGCGAGTGCAGGTCCTGGAAGTAGCGGTGGCCGGCCTCGCACTGCCACACGGCCGTGGTATACAGCCCGAAGGTGGGGTCCAGCTCGACCAGGTGCGGTTCGTAGGGGCAGCGGTGCTTGTGGTCCTCGTACCAGATGACCACGTTCTTCAGGCAGTTCACGTTGCGGCGCCGCCCTGAGCAGGGAGGATGTGTGTGTGGGGAGGGGTGGAGGGGTGGCCCATCCCCCATTCCCCTTCGCAGGGCTTTTAGGGCTGGTGCCCCCCTCTCGAACCCTGGCCCTCGCCCACAGAGCAAGAGGCTGAGACCTGGAGAGGGGACACCCTGGCCACCGGCTGGCAAGAGCCTGGCCTCACTGGCCGAGCCACATCAATGCTGACTCAGAGGCCGGCACACAGCGGGGCACACCCGCTGAGCTGCTTGTTAACCTCAACCTCCTCCTCCTCCTCCTCCTCCTCCTCCTCCTCCTCCTCCTCCACCTCCTCCTCCTCCTCCTCCGCCCCCAACCCCCGCCGCAGCGGACAGCTGCTGGGGGGACCTTTTCCCTCTTCGAACCTGCCTCTACACTGGACTAGCCACCGCCAGCCGACAGAGGGCATGCGCGAGACCCCGAGCCTAAGTGGGCGCCACGCCGCCCCCCGAGGCCCCGCCCCTCGCCCCACCCACCCCGGGAGAACGGGGGAGGGGGGGTGGGAGCGAGGGATCACCCTGCCAGCCCGGTGCTCCTCCCGGACCCGGGGCCACGCAGTAAGGGCGGGGAAAGTGGCCATCCCATGCTGCCTGGGTTCCAGTCCTGGCTCTGCCTCCTCCTGACTGGGGGGAAAAGGGGCTGCAGGCAGGGCTGTGGCCCCTCCCAGAGCCCAAGGGTCCCCTCTGCAGAGGATTCAAGGGACACCTAAAGGTGCCCACTGCCTGAACGCTCCCAGGGAGGGAGTGAAAATACTGTGAGGCTCAGAACGCTGCCAGAGCCTGCGCCATCCCCTCCCAGCACACACAACTTGACAGTCCTGGTCCCTTGGCTGACTGAGAGGGGTCCAAGATCCCTGGGCCGAGGGAGGGTCCCGGGGGGCTGCCCCCAGTGACCACCGAAGCACCACCAGCACACGCCCTACCCCTTTGGGATTTGGAGGATCCCCAGGCTCAGCCTGGGAGAAGCTGGGGTACCGGAGCCAGTCCTGACCTGCTGGTGCCCAGTCCCCAGCGCCCACCCGCTGGTTCCTGCTTCCCTCTCCCTGCCTGACCGGGCACCTCGCAGTCTTACTCACTTTTCTTCCGCTTTGGCTTTTTCGGGACTTGCTCCCAAGGCTTCCTGTAGGAGAGAGAGGCGGGGAGGCAGACTGGTGAGCTTAAAGCTGGGACCCCAGGACTGGGGAGATGGTCCTGGGGAAAGAGTCCCAGCGTGGAGGACTCAGGTCCATACTGCCAGCCTCCTGAGCCACAGAATCGTGACTTGAACACGTGCATGGCTTTGGGTCCTATCTGGACTCCTGTGGATCCAACCCCCCACTCCCCGAGGCTGGCCAGCAGTCTGAGGGAGATGGAGCCTCTGTTAGCCACACCTGGCTGGGGCCCCACACCCCGACTGTATGCCCCAGTGAGTCAAGGTCCCCGGGACCCCAGGTAGAGCCAGGCGCCCCAAAGCAGGCTGGGGAACTAGATCTGAGAGGTGCTTCCTGTTTAGCTCAGCCACCTACTTGAGGTCATGCACCTACTCTGCAGTCTACTTTGGAACCTGCTAGAACCCTCCCTCTGGGCACACCCACCCCTGCTGGGTCCAGGCAGCTCTGGGACCCTGGGAGGGGGAGAACTGAGCCTTGGTCTCCCCACCTGCAGCAGAGCCTCTGCTTCCCGTAAAGAGCTGGGTGCAGCTCCCCTCTGCTTGTAATGATTTGGCAGGTGGGCGGTTGGGGCAATATTGTCAGGATCCAGTCTGGAAACACTTGCTTGAGAAGGGCGCATGGGCCACATTCTGGGGTCTTGGCTCTACATCCTGCTTCTGACGCCAGAAGGTCTGATGACAATCTCTGCCTGCACCTCCTTTGTCTGATCCTGGGGGAGGTACTGGGGAATCTCCACCCCTTCCATCCCTCTTACTGTGAGTTCTGCCATGGCCTCTTCAGTATTCAGCTCCTCTGCCTCATTAAAAATGGGTTTTGGGGGGACCCCGTCTGGGCAGCTTCCGCCTGCTCCCTCCCTTTGCCAGAGTTTCTTGCCCCCTCTGTGTCTTCCTGGCTGGGTCTGCATCCTCTTTTGCCCTGCACAGCAGCCCCCAACCTAATCCCACTATGTAGTCCTCTCTTCCCTTGCCCCCACATTTTTCCCAGGGTGTCCTTCCTAAGCAATGCTCAGGAGGCCCAGAGGACCCTCCTGTGATTCTTTTTTTTTTTCTTTTTGGGTCACACCCGGCAATGCACAGGGGTTACTCCTGGCTCTGCACTCAGGAATTACTCCTGGCACTGCTCAGGGGACGCTGGGAATCAAACCCGGGTCGGCGGCATGCAAGGCAAACGCCCTACCTGCTGTGCTATCACTCCAGCGCCACCCCCCCATGATTCTTGACAAAAGGGTTCACAGTTCAATGTGAGGACGCAGCGCTGGATTCCCCAGGCCAGCCTCGTGGGTGGGTGATGTCTTGGGCTGTGCCTAGGATATGGGGGGCTCCAGAACAGTAGCCAGCAATGCCTGAGATTCTACAGGCTGCGGATGCTGAACCAGTCTTGCTGCATGTGAGGTATGTGCCTGAACCTCTGTACTGCCTCTCTGGCCCCTCCCTTCACTTTCTTTTTTGCCTTCTCTTCCCCATGGGATAGGCCTGGCACAGAATTCCTTCCAGATCCAAGACTGGCTGTAAACGACTTGACCCTTGAAATCACAGCACTCCGTACGAGGACCCCTCACTCAGGTTTCTTTACCCCAAGTCACCCACACAACAGGGGGTCGGGTTATTGTCAGACAGGGCCTGGGTTGTCTCAGAATCTCTGACTCAAAACTGCAGGGCCAATAGTACCCAGCTCAGTTACACCAACCTGCAAACCTCCACGTTTGGTTCAGGAACCTCCCAGCGGTTTCCTCTGTCCTGGGGGTCTGGGATTGAATTGATAGGCTCAGTCAGACCCCAGGAGAGGCTTGGCAGAAACAAAACAGCAGAGCCTTCAGTGTCACTCGGTACTGAGACTGAATCTGAAATGCTACTGGCGTAGAGTTGCTGCCCTGCCCTGCTCTGTGGTGTGTAAGCAGCTTGTGACCCTGGGCAGAGAGTGAGTGTGGTTTCAGTAGGATCCCAGACTCCTCAGAGAGGCATAAGCCAGCAAGTGTAAGGCCAGAGAGGTCCATCAAGGACGGTGCTGGGACACGGAACCAACTTGGCCCTAAGAGCAGATCAGGGTTCACTGTGGACCAGGCAAGGCACTAAGCCTCTTCCTGCATGTCTGATGTTGCTGTTGTTGTTTTAGGGCCACATCCAGCGATGCTCAGAGCTTACTCCTGGTTCTGTGCTCAAGAATCACTCCTGGAGGAGTTCAGGGGACGCTTGAGATTGAACTCAGGGTCAGCTGCGAGCAAGGCAAGAACCCTACTTGCTTACTATCACTCAGGACCTCTGCATTTTTCGTGTTTTGGTTTTAGGTCACACCTGGGGGTGCTCAGGGCTTAATCCTGGTTCTGCGCTCAGGGATCACTAACTGGCTGGGCTCCAGGGACCATATGCGGTGTCGGGGATTGAACTCTGATACACATGCGCAAAGCAAGCACACTATCCGCTGTACTATCCCTCCAGCATTTTATTTATTTTTTTGGGTCACACCCGGTGATGCACAGGGGTTACTCCTGGCTCACGCACTCAGGAATTACTCCCGGCGGTGCTCAGGGGACCAGATGGGATGCTGGGAATAGAACGCGGGTCGGCTGCGTGCAAGGCAAACGCCCTACCCGCTGTGCTATTGTTCCAGCCCCCTCCAGCATTTTAATTTCATCAACAAATCAAACTACAGAGCAGGAGTGAAAAACTCCCTCCACAGCTCACTCATCAGATGGAGACTCGCTGCAAAGGCCTCTGCTCTCTGCCATCACAGCTCAATTCAAGCTGCCGGGTCACCCGAGATCACACACACACACACACACACACACACACACACACACACACACACACACACCCTGCCCCAATCAAGCCATTTAGGGGGGACCATGATTTGGTTCATGTGGAAACATGATCGTGACAGTTTGATTCAAGCTGCCCGGTCACCCGACATCACACTCACACACACACACACACCCTGCCCCAGTCATCACAAGCTACCCGGTCACCTGACATCACACACACACACACACACACACACACACACACACACACACACCCTGCCCCAGTCATCACAAGCTGCCTGGTCACCTGACATCACACACACACATCACCCGGTCACCTGACATTACACACACACACACACACACACACACACACACCTCTGCCCCAGTCAAGCCGTCTAGGGAGAACCATCATATGGCTCATGAGGAAACATGATCACACGCGGGTCCTCCTGCGGGGCAGGATGTCCAGTCAGTCCGAGGCCACACCTAAGATCAACACACACACACACACACACACACACACACACGCCCCTCTGCCCCACGCGGTCCTCCTGTGGGGCAGGATGTCCAGTCAGTCCGAGGTCACACCTAAGATCAACACACACACACACCCTCTGCCCCAGTCAAGCCATCTAGGGGGAACCATCATCTGTCAGTCCGAGGCCACACCTAAGATCAACACACACACACACCCTCTCTGCCCCAGTCAAGCCATCTAGAGGGAACCATCATCTGGCTCATGTGGAAACATGATCACACGCGGGTCCTCCTGCGGGGCAGGATGTCCAGTCAGTCCGAGGCCACACCTAAGATCAAGGCCTCGGTGACCCCAGGACCGCTAGCCCGGGGGAGCGTGGCGTGGGAGGCGGGGCGGTCCACCAGGGACTCAGAGTCAGAAGCAGGGGGTTGGGCCTGCAGTGGGATTGGACAGCCGCAGCCTGAGGAGGCGGGGTCAGACGCCAGGGAGGCGGGCCGAGCGGCAGGGCACGCGCTCGGATTGGACCGTCGCAGCGACGGGAGGCGGGGCAGAGCGCCCGGCGCGTCTCCGGACCGGCCGCGGGAGACCCAAGACCCGCAGGCAGGGAGCAGGGCGGAGCGTCCAGGTGCCGGGGGGAGGGCCGGGGGCGGGCCCGGGTCCGGCGGGGGGTGGGGGCGTCTCCTCCCTCGAGCCCTCCCTCCCTCCGGCTTGGCCCCCTCACCCGTGGCGGCCGCTACGCTGGCCACGCTCCAGAGAGATGAGGTAGGCGGCGAGCTTGGCGTCGCTCCAGCCGCTGCGGCGCCGCAGGTCCACCCAGGGCCCGTGCGCCTCGCCCAGGTACACGCGCCGCACGTCGTACTTCTTCCGGGACTCGAGCCGCCGCCGGGCCCGGTCGGACTCCGTGAGCCGCGGCCGGCCCCGCGCCTTGCGGCCCGCCGCCTCCCCGCCTGCGCCCGCCTCAGCCTCAGCCTCCGCCTCCGCCTCCGCCTCGGGCTCGGGCGCCCGCTCCGCCATCCCCCCCTCCCTGGTTACCAGCCTCCCCCGTTGTTAGGAGCCCGGCCGGAAGTGGCGCGCATCTTCCGCGCCGCCGGGAAACTTCTCTTGGACTCTCGCTGCCCTGCGGCGCCAAAAGGGGACCCGGAGCGTCGATGACGCATGCGCGCGCCACCCGCCGGCCTCCCGCGCTCTCTAACTTAGAGACCGAGGGGGGGGGGGCCCGCGCGTTGCTAGTGCACTGGGAGGAAGCGCCGTTTGGGGGTGGGGGGCGCAGACCTGGGGGTCTTTATCTTGCATTCCTCCAAAGGTGTGGACACAGGAATGGGAGGGGGGGCGCAGCCAGGGAATTTGTTGGCGAGTTCGATCTTTTATTTGCCGAACACTCCCCGCTCAGCACGATTTCCCCAGCAGTCCAGGGCCAGCAGCCCCGGTGGCCACTCGGCTTCAGCTCTGGCCCCGCTGCCGTCGCTGTCGGTCCTGGTCGTCTTCTTCTTGGCTCTCGGGCTGCTGCTGCTGCTGCGGCGGCGGCGGCGGGGGCGGCGGCGGCGCCTCCTCCAGCCCTGTGGGTGACTGGAGCTCCCCGGCCGAGCCAGTCAGGCGGAAGACAACGGGGATCTGGGCCAGGGCCGGGTTGGTCTCCTGCAGGCCCTGGATCCATTTGGCCAGGGTGGACTGGTCATGGGCTCCTGCCACGCAGATGGCAAAGATGGGGCCTTCTTCCACTGTGGAGAGACAGGGGGCCCTCAGTTTGTGCAGTCGGGGATGGGGAACGCACCATGCCTCCTCCCCATTCTGGCCTAGACCCCCACTGGGGTCTGGAGCAGGGGCCTTAGGTAGCTCTTGCCGCCTGGCTGGTGTCGGAGCTCAGCCTTGCAGGCTCACTTGGCTGATGCCTCCTTCCAGCCAGTCCCATCTCCCCGGGGGACCTCAAGACCTGTGGGTGTGGGTAGACAGCCAAGGTGTACTAGCTGGATGCTAGGGAGCACCCCTTGTGGGAGGAAGGCCCTTGTTGTGTGCACAGCTGACCCTGGTTCAATCCTTCAATACCCTGCACCACAGTGTCCCATGAACCCCACTAGGAATGATTCCTGAACACCGAAACAGGAGTCAATCCTGAGCACTGCCAGATGTGACCCCCTCAAAAAAAAAAAAAAGAAATAATTTGATTTTAAAATTACCCTTTGGGGGCTGGAGCGAAAGCACAGTGGGAAGGGTGTTTGCCTTGCACACGGCCGACCTGGGTTCAATCCCCAGCATCCAATATGGTCCCCGAGCACAGCCAGGGGTAATTCCTGAGTGCAGTCAGGAGGAATCCCTGAGCATTGCTGGGTGTGACCCAAAAAGCAAACAAATAAATAAATAAAAATAAAATTACCCTTTGAACTTAGTCCTGTACTAAGTCCTCCTGGGCTAGTGAGTTTCTTTTCCTTACTCTTCTATTTTCCAACAAACTGTTCCATTTCCAGCTCAAAAAAATAACAATCACTTCTTTAGGGTGTTGTCTTTTGTTGGTTGGGGGACTCTCATGCTCCTTTAAGCTCTGCAGCATAATGGTTAAGGGGTGCTGCGGTGGCCACCGGGGCCACAGGGAGCAGGGAGAGGGGCCCAGTCCTGACCTTCATCAATGTCGAAATTGTAATCATCCCAGCCGCTCCGGCCGTAGTCCAGGGCCAGCTGCATTGGGTAGTAAAGGTTCCACTCTTCTGGAATCTCCTCAACTTCCTGGGCGAGGGGTGCAGGCACAATCAGAGGCCCTGATCACAGCACCCCCCTACCCGCCCAAACCCTGTGCCCCTCGGAGCTCTCACCCTGTCCTCGGGGGGCAGCGGGTCAGCTCTCAAGATGTGGTAATAGATGCATTTGTTCCGGAGCCACAGGGAAAAGGGGCCCTCCACAAACACGGGCCGGGCTGGGTCATGGCGGGCCAGGGCCGCCTGTTGATCGGTGCTCTGGATTCCTGGTATGCAGAGACACGTTTCCTTGGGTGCCTGGCCGAGGGGCACTGCCCCAAGGCCCAGAGAAGCCCTATCCCCAGCAGGCCGGCGCATGCACATGCCCGGACTCACCAACAATGTGCGGCGTGTGGGGTTCTGCCAGGCTCTGGCTTCCCGCAGGGTCTTGGGGCAAAGGCATCTGTAAGGCAGAACAGGGGTGCAGGTTTGGGGCAGCCCCTCTGGAGGCACCCAGGGAAGAAAAAGCTGCAGGGACACCCCAGCAGGGTGAGGGTCCATAGCACATCCCCTCTCTTCTCCAAGAGGCTTGACAGGACGGACTCCCAGGGGCGATTCCCACGGGTTCCAGCCTGGCTATGCCTCAAAGCCCCCTCACCCCCTCATCAAGCCCACGTGCCTCTGTTTCTCCAGCTACACAACCGGGAGACTTCTAGTCTTTCTTTTTTCTTTTTGGGTCACACCGGTGATGCACAGAGGTTACTCCTGGCAGTGCTTGGGGGACCATATGGGATGCTAGGAATCGAACCCGGGTCGGCCGCGTGTGAGGCAAACACTCTACCCGCTGTGCTATCACTCCAGCCCCCAGCCTTACTTCTGAAAGTTGCGCAGTGCCTGCGACCACAGGCCCCGGCCATGCTCAGTCCTTAGGAAATTCCAAAAGATGTTGGAGCTGTGGGAGGCACGGAGGGGAGAAAAATTCTTCATATCTTTAATTTTTTTTGTGAGGCTGGGCCACGCTGGTCAGTGCTAAGGGCTCCCTGGCTCCTAAAACTCAGCCCTGCATGTGGCTTGGCAGGAAAACACGGGAGTCCCTGGATCCCACCCCTGACACCCCCAAAACAAAGCCAGTTCTTCTCATGCTTTGTTTTGGGTCCATACCCTACGACACTCCAGTCACTCCTGGCGGGATCCTATAGAACCCAGGCTGGCCATGTGCCAGGCAAGCACTTTACCCACTGTCCTGTTGCTTTGGTCCCCAAAGTGAATTTTAGTTTAAAAACAACAATCTAGGGGGTGGCTCAGTCGCCTTACAACCACTCATGTGCACCAAGCATGGGCTCCAAAGTTCTTCTGAGGACCCCCCCCCATCAGAGATCTCAGAGCCACTCAGCTAGATGCTGTGTGGGAACTGCGGCAGAGAGAACAGAGGCCTGAGGACAGAGGAACAGAGAGGCGGGGCCAGCCACAGTCAGCATGGGACAGGGGCACGAGCAAAGGTCGAGTGTTGAGGAGCTGGAGTGACAGGAAGCAAGACAGGGAACCCGGCCACGGTCTCAGGCCCACGCAGGTGGCAGCTTTACCTGGTACACGGTGACCCTGGAGCTGAGGTTGGGCTCCATGTGCCGCAGACCCAGGCGGGCCAGGTCCACGGGGTCCTGGGGCAGCTCCGCGGGCACGGGGAAGGGGTTGACGTGCTTGAAGCGGGAGAACCACAGCTTCATGCGCACCAGTTTGAGCATGGGGTAGCTCCTGCGGCCGAAGATCTGGAGGAGCAGGAACTCCGTCTCCTTGTTGGGCATCACCCCTGAGCCGGAAATAGGACAGTGGGTAAGGTGCTGGCCGTGCAGGCGCCCGACCTGGGTTGGATCACCAGGAGTAATTCCGAGTCGCCCGCAGAACTAGGAGTAAACCCTGAGCATCTCGGAGTATGCCCCACCCTCCTGCCCCCAAGAGAAAATAGGTAAGGCAGGTGAGAAAGGGAGCTAGAAGGGATAGGGATGGAGAGAAGGGAGCAGGGATTGGGCAGGACAGAAGAGGGAGACTGGGGGGCTGGGGGCGCCGGCATGAAGGATCCAGTAGCAATCTCAGGCACGCTGAGATCCCCGATCTCAGGCCGGGAATCCCTCCAGCACAGGGCCAGGAAAAGCGCCCCCACCCCGTGCCCCCTCCAGGCACGCAGGGGCCCGGCGCGGGCAGGCACCGTGATTCTCCATCTGCTCCAGAACGGCCAGCCCGCACTCCTGCTGGCGCGGATAGTGCAGGAACATGCGCTGGAAGATGTTGCGCGGCCGGAAGACCTCCTTGGGGAAGACGTCGAGCAGCAGGTTGTAGACAGCCAGGTCGCGCTCCACGCCGAACTGCGGCATCTTGCGCAGCGCCAGGTAGATGAAGTCCACGTGGCCGCGCTTGTGCACGCTGCGCTGGGAGAAGCTCTGCACCGCGCGCAGGAAGCCCGCCTTGTTCCGCTCGCCCCCAGCGGCCGGCCCGAACAGCTCCTCGTGGGGGGCTGGAGCCTGGGGGGGCCGCCCGGAGGGCTCCGGGGGGCGCGGGACCAGGGAAGAGTCGGAGGAGGTGTGGGCAGCGCTGCTGCAGTGGAGACCCCGCTGGATCTGGGGGAACACCTAGGGGTGTGCGGGGGGAAGGGTCAGATGTGCAGTTGTCCGTGGCACTGAGTACCCCTTTGGGGCTCTGAGAAACTGAGGTGCTGTGCTAAACTCAAGCCCCGCAAAATGAGGCAGCACCCCCAAATTGGAGTGTTATTTTAACGTGGAGGGGAGTGGAGGTGACCCGAGCAATGCTCTGGGGTCCGCTCGGCAGCGCGGGTTTGGGGGGGCACCCAGAGGTGTTCAGAGGACCACCCACAACCAGGGGCGAGAACTCGGGCCCATGGGCAGCCTCCCCCACACCCCCGTGTGCGCTAATGGTGCACAGGGCAGGAACCTGGGGACAAGCTGCCCCTGTGGGCTCTGGAGACTTCCTGAGAAAGTTCTCCCAGTGCCACATTATTCAATGAAAAGGGAAAATAAGAAGGGGTGACGGACAGGTGCAGGCTGGGTGGTTGCCTGGCAGAGCATGCACGTGGCCCTGGGGCGGGCTATATCAGGGTTGCCCTGCCTTGGGCATGTTTTTTTTTTTTTTTCTCTTTTTGGGTCACACCAGGCAATGCACAGGGGCTACTCCTGGCTCATGCACTCAGGAATTACTCCTGGCGGTGCTCAGGGGACTATATGGGATGCTGAGAATTGAACCCGGGTCGGCCACATGCAAGGCAACATCCTACTCGCTGTGCTATTGCTCCAGCCCTGGGCATGGCCTTTTTTTTTCTTTTTGGGTCACACCCGGCGATGCTCAGGGGTTACT